GTATTACATAGCATAAAGCAGCCAGTGCCATAGGTGTTTTTGACCATGCCGGGTGGAAGCAGCACTGACCAACAAGTGCTGCCTGTTGATCACCAAGATCCTAAAAATCAAAACCATTAGCAGATATATTAGAACACTCTTTTATAAATCATGGCATTTGAATAATAGCAGATTTTAAACTTACGCCAGCAATCGGAATTCCCATCAACGGTCCATCAGCAATCAAGCCATAGACTTCCGATGACGATTTAACTGCTGGTAACGAGCATTTGTTCACGCCAAAAAAACTATATACATATTGAGATACTGGCAACTCACAAAAACAACTAAAGAGTATCAACCGATGTCACTTACGAAAGCATTCCGTCATCCCAGTCAAGACTCTTCAGATTAAGTAGCATAGTACGACTGGCATTGGTCACGTCAGTCACATGTATACCGCCTTGGACACCACCAGTGAGACGCTGTAGATAAAAGTGGAACGAAATGAATTAGTATTTTCTACAATTCACTATTATAAATGACACCGTAAACCCAAAACCTTGAAATCTACAGCTAATACTCACATAAATTAGCCACGAATCAATTGTGCCAAACATGAGACGGTCCGTTTGATTGGCATCTTGAACAGCTTTAATATTATCCAGTAGCCATCGCAGCTTGACAGCGCTAAAATAAGTAGACAGTGGGAGACCACAGATTGACTGGAAATGATGTTTGGATTTTGACGGGGTTGCAGCAATCAATCTTTCCACAGTATCCTGAGTACGAGTATCAAGCCAAACTGGAATATGGGTTAATTCAAACCATTTCCAAGAATGATATCAGCCAGTTTGATGGAATGATGGGTGTCAATTTACTGGACAAGATTGAGTAACCAGCATGAAAATGACAGTTGTATTTCTAAACGTGCAATCTTTTAAACTAGAACGCAAACGTATGAGATTTTGAAATACAACAAAGAGTTTGAGAATAATCAGTCCCAATGGATGAATCTGTGATTGTACAATGTACGATCATACCAAATATGGACAATTTCAGTTCAAACTCATAGTTTGATTGTGTTGTATGATGGTCAATGTTTTAAAGAATCAAGAATGACTATCAAGTCAATTTGTAGTAGAAACAAGGAATATTCAATCATTGCCTATTCCAAAGCAATCACTAGAAAGTATTCCATTCTACGTGAATACAGCTGTAAAATGAGTGACAGTATCAGAGTGTAGATCTAATAAAACAATTTGTAAATACATATGGTCAAGTTGAAAGAAGGATTGATGGAATGTTACCAATAGCATGATGTAACGGCTTGCCATCCAGTCGGTCCCATACACAAGTAGTTTCACGCTGATTAGTGATGCCAATAGCTAATATTATTATATCGAGAGCATCAGCCAAACCATAAACGCAATGATTAGTGTTAATAGTACGAGCCAATCCCTTTGATCCACACAACGACATTAAACTAACCTTTGATATCCAATGGCTGCAAGCCCATAGCAGACATGTCAGCAACTGTTTTTTGAATACAAGTCACTACTGTCTGATAAATGACTTCCAAATCATGCTCGACCCATCTAACATTCACAATAGTCAGACTGGCTGCATATCAGCACACTCATGCATAGCAAGACCAACAACACACCCAGCTTGTGGCAGCACTTGAGCAAATTCTGTCTGATGAGAAGCAATAATATGGCCAGCAGTATCAAACACCATAAAACGAGTGGAACTAGTCCCTTGGTCGATCGATCCAATGTATTGTGGCATCAAGTGATGTGAGAGCAATCAAAGGTTGCTATAGGGATAAGAAAAGTCTTGCTTGTTGTAAACGCATTCATGCTACACAGCATCTGACATGCAATCATTAAATATAAGCTATTCATGCACCATTCGTAAATTGTTGTCTTGAATATACAAATGCAGTGTTTTATTCTTGACTATATGCTGTTACATTCTATTGCACATTCCAAACTCTTTGCAATACTGTGCAAGGGATATGGTTCAGTATAGCTTAATCATCCTGCAATCAGCTTGCAATCATCCTGCAGATTCATACAACGAGCAATCGAGAAATAAACGTTATCAACCAGTTGATATCACGCAGCTCGATCATCTCCAACTACTTTGCTATTTCCATTCGTCCGTCCATGACCGTTTGTCTTGTCGTTGCCTTGATCGTGTTTTCTATTAGCAGCATTTCCGTGACCTCCACTAGTACTGCTGTTTTTCCTTCGGGTAGTTTCAAAGACTCTACGCATTTGCTCAAGCTCATCCACTAGTGTTTGATTGATATGTTCTAGTTCAATGATTCGCGAGTTTTTTCGTTCGCGAGATCGACGGGCTGCAACACGGTTTCGTGCTCGCTTGAGATCGGCATCAGTCAGTTCCATCTTTGAAATGGAGTGATAATGTCTACTGGAAGTCAATTCATGTAGCTGGGAGCGTTTAATTTCTTGATCTGCTATATTGGATGAGATGGGTGAATTGGGCGAGAGTTCTGCGGCTGGTTTGGCAAGTTGTTCAGATGGAAAGTCGAGTTGTTTATGCTGAAATCGCAACGAACGCTCCGAAATACCACTAATGATGGGGTTTGGAATAGGTGATTGGGAAATAGTTTCATGGGTAATATCCAGTGCAATGGTACTGCTTTCAGGATCAGAAATGTATGCAGAGAGATAGTCGGGTATTTGAAGAGCAGGAGCACACAGAGAATGTTGAAGCACATCAACAGGGGATGACAAATCAAACGGATCTATTGCTAGTGGTTCTTGATTGCAAAGAATTGGTAAAGTGTCTTGATAGTTGGATTTAAATTGCAATGCTTTTATCGGTATATTGGTTATAGGCTCTACAAGAGTGCTCAGTATTGTTTTGGGTTTAGTAGATTTGTTGGCAAGTATAGGTATAATAGACATAGCATCAACAGGCATAATCGGGGTACTGCAGACAGAAGTAGGAGAATAAGGTAAAATTGGCTGTGCCAATGGCTCAAACAACAAAGAAGAGTCTTGAGGTGACAAAGTAGACCATGTGGGGTGTACTTCGGGCAGAGGGTGTACCAAAAGAGATTCAAAACTTATTTGGGGCTCCCATAACGGACACGATGAAAAAATTGGTGTTGAGAAGGATGACTGTTTTTGCACCAATGACTGGGTTGACTGTTGGCATGATGGTGGTGTATGTGAACCATCAAAGAGATTCATTGGCACCAGCTGCTGGGAATGATCTGCTGGAAGTTCAGCAGAAACCGGGGACAACCCCACTCGGTGAAGGTGGTGACCAGTGTATAGAGAATCAAACAGATCTTTAGTACCTAAAGAACCACTAGTATTGCTGGACTGCGTCTGATTCACCAAAGTAGCTGGATCGGAAAAGTTGTGCGTAGATTGTATTTGGGTCACATCACGTATTACCTGCAATCCTTTTGCTATCGACTGAGGTGAATCGACCACTGCATCCAATAATTCCATTTCTGCATATGTTCCTGGAAATGCTACAAATGACTGTAAAGATGCCTGTGTAGTAGATATTGAATGATGCATTGCATGTGTCATGTGTGGCTCGGTTACTTGCACGCCTACAGAACCCGTCATCTCTATATGCACTCCCGCCCCACCATTTGAGGAAGGTGTGTCAATACTCGAATGACGATTGGTATTAGTCTTTGATTGGTGCAGTTTCGAAGAACCAGTATGTTTAGCAAATCTCTGATTGCCTCTTGAATGATCAAACTGCATAGATGTCAAACTCTTGTAAATGTGTAGATTGGAACAAGGCAGAGTACAATCTACTGTTGAAGCGTGGTACTTGATTTCAGCGTACAGTATGTGCTTCTGCTCACTGTTTCATAGTACTGGCAGTGCAAGCGCTATTTCCCACGAAGTTCACTCGGCTGCCGACTCAATTCGATCAAATTGAGTGATTGATTCCATTAGCTGTGATCATCTACATTTATAACTGAGGCTTATTTTATCCTTTGAGTCAGTCTCATAAAAGTATGATTAGTCTTTTATTGGTGTTTTATTATTAGTAAATAGCTCATCACTTTTATTTAGATCCACATGTAATATACAGGATTGCATGCTATTTATCCTAATCAAGATGAGTATGATGTCAAGTCAAAGTCAGATAATGGCGACAAGGGCAATCATATTTGCAATCAAAATGCTCATCATGCCAACCATCATGTTTGCATTGGCTATTGATCGATGAGTATTGGGCTGCATCTGAGCAGTAACAACACCAACAGGCGTAGCAAACCCAATCTGTCGACCAGTATAGTCAAAACTGGTGTAAAAGCTGCGCAGAAACCAGGCACCAAAGATGGCCATATTAGGAGGCAAGTTAGCAGAGTAGCCAAACACAGATACACAGTATTGATTTTCAATAACAAAGTATTGTTGATCCCAAGTCATGGTAAGCGTTACACCTTGAAAGTTGAACTGGATCGATGGCATTTTGCTGACCATGGTGCAATCTAGTTCATACAAGACACCCTACCATTATGAAAGTATTGATTCCAGATACATCTTATTTTAGCTTTACAATTCATCCTTGGTGAATCGACCAAACTTGTGCAATGACAAACCTGAACTGACACACCACCCATGGCACTGTTGATTGCATTAAAGGTGCCCTTGTCCAAAATGATAATGGTTGTTCCAGTATCCCTAATAAAAAACGTAAATCAATGGTCTAGGTAAATAGCAGAAATATACAAGCTATTGAGGGGATTGCATCTCAAGATTCAACCATGACCTACATCAAGGCAACAATAGGTGTTGAACTAAATGTTTTCCCATCAATAACGACAGACGAAAGAGTAAGTGCCCAGTGCGAGTCGGTTTTAACAATGGGCGACCATGAAAAGTTGCCAGTGTATCTCGCTGGATTGGGTACACCAAATGTCACTTCACCAGCATCCCGTATTTGTAATTGAGGGTTGATGGGAGTTACAGTGCGGTCGTAGTAGAAACTCACTTTGCGCTCGCTAAGTGAGTTTTCAAGATTGCTGAATAGATCTGCTGGATCAACGCTGTTTGGTGGACCTAGACCCAGGATACCATCTAAGCTGATTGACTCGATTGATTTTACCTGCGAGGCTGCACAAATTGTCTGATTTGGAATTGAGATTCCGGCAATAGAAACTACATCAGATATGATGGTGCATGTCACGGATGTACCATCACCATACTCTCTGTGCACAATCGGATGAACAACAGGTCTTTGAGTGGTGCTGTTGTTTTCAATATACAAAGTTTAATGGCTTGAAATAAATGTCTAAATATCCTTCTACAAACAACTAAATAAGCATTACCTGTCAATAGGATTGTATTTGTGAGTTTTGCACTGTCTGGAGTCAAAACAAGCAGAATCATCTATCCAAAAGGTAGACGATCCAGTGTCAATCAACACATTTACATTCACTGGTGGAGTACCGATCAGCAAATCTATGTAAAACACCATTGCGGCAGAAGAGGCGCTGATTGAAGCAGAGCCATTGTTCAATGCATCGCTAGCACGAACTATACCATGGAACGAAATACTAACTCGGCGAAAATGTCAGTATACAAACTACCGAGGGGCTAGATCATATTCAAACTACCTCAGTGAATTTGAAGTGCCAATAACAGGTATTGTATGACCAGTGATGGCTTCCAAATCAGAATTGCCAATAATACGAAAAGCAGATACAGTGGAGCATATCAGCCCTGAAAGTGTCAAGATCAAACTCCATTTCATTTTCAACACGCAGTTCTTTTGTACAAGTTGGATGAATGTGCTATATATAACCGATAAACGAAATGATGCTGCTGTCTCCACGGGTCCATCCGATTACAGCCGTATTCGCGTAAAGTGGATCATTAAAAGGTGTCAAAGTGCATAATAAATAGTCTCGCGAAATGATAATTTCCACAACATTTACTGAAAATAATATTTGGATTACAATGGATGAATCTGTGGTTGTACAATGTATAGCTATACCAAATGAGGATAATTTTGGTTTAACCTCATAGTTTGCATTATACGATGGTCAGTGCTTATTAAATTGAGAATACATTCAAGTCAATTTGTAGTAGAAACAAGGAATATTCAACCGCTGCCTATTTCAAAGTAATCATTTTACACAAGTACGGTTGTAATCAGGCAATGAAACTCCAAACAAGCTGTGCAACAGCTTAAACCAAACCAAGAACACATCAAAAATCTTGTTCATTTTGAAACATAAAAATATATATTCTTAAACCCAGCTGGCCAATTGCTCGCCATAATTCCAATCATAAAAACAATACCGTTTCTTATCGTCGATCTGTTTTTCCCATGCCACGTTTTCCAGCAAACAAATGCTTTGGCTTCTTGACCAAAATTTCACGATCACCTTCACCACGTTTGGCATACAGATTGGGCAGTCTTTGTGATTTTTTCTTGAGATTATCTGCTTCAACCTTTTGTTTGATACCACGCAAGCCCATAACGCTACGATCACGAGATGGTGCACGACTTTGGCTACGTGATGCTGCATCAACAGCCATGGTGGATTCAGAGCGAGGACGCTTACGCATTTGGCTGCGTGAACGCATGCCTTCAATGTCAGCATTAGTTCCAATTTTGCTAAGATGCTGCTCAAAATCTTCAAAGCGAGATAAGCGGGCAACGCTCTTTTTAGGAAGGACAGATCGATTGCGATTCTTGCGTTCTCGATTTTGAGCAATAATGATTTGCTTTTTGGCATTTAGACGTTTGGCAGCATCAAGAATCTCCAAGTCCTCTTCGTTATCCATCTCATCGTCAGACTGGTAAAATCCTTCGGCAATAAGGCGCTCCTCTTCCTTTTCAAGTGCGTCAAGTTTGGCTTCGATCTCTGGATCAATAAAGTCTGCCACGTTTTTACCGTTCATAATTTCGGGTATTACGTCATACTTCCAGTCATCGTTGGCAAGCATATACGGAGCTATATATAGTAAAAATGCAATTGTCAGAGCCAAATTCAAGTGTAGATGATAACCAATAAAACTTACCCTTGATATCAACATTAAAGACTCCCGCACCGCCATTTTCAACCTCAATGTCCCGTTGCAGCTTACGACGGTCAGGATCAGCAGGGTCGTACTTGAGTTTGGTTTTAGCAGCCTCTGGAATAAATGGTGCACGAACAATATCGTCACGCTGCACAGGCTGAGCTAGATGAAGCTTGTTGACAATGGTAGATACCTTGGTACCCTTCAGTTTGGTCTCAACACGTGAAGCTAGCAGCTTGTCACAGGATGCATTACGGACATCCATAACACCTTCTTCAGTGTAGCAGCTAACCTGAACAAGAGAAACCTCTTCGGCAGAAAGAACTTCATCGAGCATAGCCTTTTCTTCGGCATCTAAATCCTCTGGTTTACGAATATCAATCTTATTGACAACAAGCATGATGGGCTTATTGGCAAAAAGAGGTTTGATTGAATGATAGAGTTTAAACTGCTCAGCAACAGAATACCCGCATTGTTCTGAGAGATCGATAAAGAATAGAATGCACGCACGCAAATGAGCCATGGCAGTGATGGATTGCATCTCAATAGTGTTGCGCTGTTCCAGAGGGTGATCAAGAATTCCTGGAGTGTCAATTACCTGCCAGCGAAGATATTTGTAGTCCATATGACCAACAAAAAGAGACTTGGTGGTAAATGCATATGGCTGGACTTCAACCTCTGCGCGGGTGACCTTGTTCATGAAACTGGACTTGCCAACATTTGGATAGCCACAAATAATCAGAGTACGGGTGTTGGGATCAATCGATGGCAGACGAGATAAATGCTGACGGACTTGCTCAAGATACTGAAGAGAATCTTTTTGGCGTTTCATGATGGTAGCCATTCGACCAAGAGCTGCTTTTTTGAGCTGCTTGCAACGAAACAGAGAGTCACCGAATTTTAGCAGACGAGCATAATCCTTGGCGACAGAGTCAATCAAATGACGGGCAGTGTTGATTTGGGCAAGAGCCAGTTTGTAGTGATCCCTGTCATACAGCACATTCATCAAATCTGCATAAAATGGATGAATTTCCTAGAGTCAAAAATGGGCGTATTAGCAGCATATAAAAAATAAAAAAAACATGCATCAAAACACAATGCAGTTATATCCAGATATAAACCAAGTGCACATCAAATTCAAACCTACATCCAACTTAGGGAAATCACTCAAAATCTGTGTCAATTTTTCATCAAAACAGTCTTGTCCAAACTTGACCTTGCGCATATAGAAATGACGAATACGACTGATTTGATAGCTTGGATGAACAACAGTTGGAGTCTTTCTGTTGATTTTGGACAGCACAATGTCGACAAACTCTGAAGCCGAAGGTACGACCTGTACCTTTTTGAAATTGTAATGGGATGCCATAGTGAATTATAAACAGCTTGCACAAATATGGTATGTCTGAATTACTCTAAATTAGCAATAGGCTTGAATGCAAAGAAATAGGATGGCTATATAGCTTGTTTCTTTAAACGGAGCTGACAAATAGCGATTAAAAAAACTATTTCGGCTGAAAAGAAAAAAATCGTGTTGGGTTGGTGTTTTAGTGATTGGCTAGATTGTTGGTCACGTGGTAATAACTCACTTTTACAATGCGGGCAATCAAGCTAAATCAAACAATCACTTCAACTCCAGAATCACCGAATGTAGAAAATAAGCAGTTTTATTATCAATTCAAAATATTCAGATATAGAATTAATGGATATTGATTACAGTCGAGTACATTTGAAAAAAGAAATAAACAGTATTTCAGTATTTAGAGCAGATCTGACAGTAATGATTAGTTGCCATTGTTGCGATTTCCGCCGTTTCCATTTCTACGCTTTCCACCGTTTCCATTTCTACGGTTTCCGCCATTTCCATTTCTACGGTTTCCGCCGTTTCCATTTCTACGGTTTCCGCCGTTTCCATTTCTACGGTTTCCGCCGTTTCCATTTCTACGGTTTCCGCCGTTACGATTGCCATTGTTGTTGTTGCGATTGCCATTTCCACCAGCATTACGGTTGCCATTTCCACCAACGTTTCCGGCATTGATAGGAGCAATTACGTTGGCATCGCCAACCGTAATATCAGCGCAGGCAAAATAATGCGAGCCATCATTAGGAGCATCCCATAACCATTGAACAATAGCATTGCCAGTTTTACCCGAAGGCATTTTAACATTCAATTCTAAAATATAAGAAACAGTCAATCAATTAGTGATTTAGTATTGATGATAAATATCAATGATTGCTTGAACTAGAAATAAACTTACGACGAGAGTTGATGGAAGTTTGGCCAAGTTGTTGGAAATTAGTATCACCATCAAAGGCAATACTGACTTTGACACTTGATCCATGGTTGGCAACAATAACCCATTTGACTGTGAGTTGGCCACCTGGAAGAACTCCAGCAGTAGGAGCTCCTTTGACAGAGTTGCCACATCCCTTCGCGACAGTACCAAGATTGGCAGGTGCAGGTCCAGGAATACGGTTAATTTTTTTTGGCGTAGACAACTGGGAGCCAGAGTTTCGTGGATTTGGGCTGCTCATGAACGCATGGCCTTGGACAATGGTGGCAAAAGCAGCGACGAGACCAATGAGTGTATGAGAAAAGTGCATATTTGATGATGAATGTTCAAAGTTTTATTAGATCCCTATTTCCAATAGTAACAAAATTAAACAAGCTGGACTTGATATGTAAATGAGTTTGTCGACAGGAATACAGCACGCTTGAGAACAGAGTTCAGATACAGTGATGCTTGCTGGTTTATAACCAAGATTGAAAGTGGCGTTCCTAGTAGAATTTTGTGGCGTTTATCTATTTTGGTCATCTTGAAAACATTCGATCCAGCAAGACAGTTACGTTGACCAAATGTGAGATTTGTTTTGGTGTTTCAGTGGGTAAATATTGAGAATGCGTAAGTTGTCTATTATCAACCCGTCACTCTTGGGCTTGCATTGACCACAGAGTAGCGGGTATTGCAATGACGTCAGTGAATGAAGTGACCGTATATATTACCAAGTTCAATAGTTGGAGTTAATGCCAGATCTGTGTAAAGTAGTTATGTATGTAATGTGTCGAGACTATATTCAATACTCTATTTTACTTTTGATATGAATATTTGCTTGAATCCAACCTGTTAGCTTCATGAAACAACTAGTTTATTTGCAAGTGCCGTAGCTTGATCTCATGTGAAGCATCTGACTTTAAAATGCATATTCGTCATCAGCTTAGCTCTCAATCGCAAAATTCCCTCAATAGTGCTATTGCCACTCACTGGTGCCTGTTCAAAATGCGCTCGACCTCGACTTTCCAAACATGGGTTTTAGATAGCTATATTGGCTCAAATAATAGTACGGCAGAGTTGGTATCATTTGTTTCCAAGCACAACTTTGAATCAAACAGTTATAATGTCATTTAGCCGTTTTAGTCCAATTTCACCGCCATATTATGTAAAGACGGAACACTTGTATTGCATTAACTGCCTCTTGCTTTGGGATAGACAATAATTAAGCATCTATTGCTTTCCTACTACAAATTGGCTGCACTGTTTCTTGAATAAATACTCTCAACTCTCCTTATTGTCTGGAATCGCATGCCGTACAAAACCATTTTTATTAAAGTAATTTGCAGCAGGGTTTAGAAATGGACAATAGGAAGCTTTACCTCGTAGCATTGCTATTTGTTGGATGCTTGGCAGACCATGACGAATGAAAATTCGTAGCTTTAAGCATTCGCTGAGAACAGTGTTGTTTGATAAATCTGCTACCAGAAGCAATTACATGATGAGCAGATTTGGCAGCACGATTTTGTGCATTCGTAGCTCGGATGAATCAGCATCATCATCCTCACAACAAGGGCAAATCCTGACGCATTTTCAGTTTGTCAGGATTACAATAGTCACGCGGACATATAGTTGTGCAAAGTACATGATCTGGTTAATTCTAGTCTACCGCCTAAAGAATGCAGTCAGGAGATTTGCAGCGACTTTGTGCTCGCTCTTGCTCTGGTACAACTGCTTTCAGAAAGTAAAGTGTACGCCAATCCAAAACAAGCTTGCAATTTTATGAACCGAAACTCTCGTTTCCGAAAAGCTGTAACAGTTGCTTATTTAATTACACGATGGTGTGAATAGTCCCAACGATTTAGTATTTGGTTTTGGAATTCACTGTGCATGTGAAATGTGCGACATACCTCATGTGAATACAATAAAGACAAAAAAGCTTCATTTCCATTCATATAGGACTGACTGAACCAATATTCTTTAAGCCAACCTTCATTGCAACATCTCGCTTGTCCCATTCAGTTTGTACTGAATCACCATCAGCTTTTTGCCTCCTATACACATTTATACCTATCGCAGTTTACAAGTTCATTTAGTCCGCCTGCATCGTTATATTTTAAATTGCTAGCTACAGATATTTGAAGCATACATCTGGGTTAGTAGATGATTGACCTTTTGCGCTTTGTGCATTCACCTATTGCCTTGATTAAATAAAACTACATATTGGTCATACGATTCTAAGCACTACCGATCTTTTATGAACAATACTTTAGTTAGGTCACGGTTCACACATTTCAATTCATATAGCGGTTAGCAAGTAATTTGAGCAAGTTTACAAAATACGGTGACGTCATTCTGGTTGACTCATTGGCGATACCATTCAAAACCTATTTTTGCAAGTCTTTATTTGCTATACCACCAAGTCATTAAACATGGATTCCAATGCACAACAACGATCCTCTCGTTGGCCACGGATTAGACCAAAAAGAGAACCAGCTACGGTTGTTAACTTGCCACCAATAATGGTACCCAGCACTGATATTGTAACACCTATATGTGCCAATTCTGAATCTGAACTAAATCCATCCAAACAGATGCAATGTGATCTACACCAGGAAGAACTGTGCCAATTACATGCCAACATCAGCACAAATGAACCTTTTCAGAAAGATGCAAATAACAAAAGCTCATTAGCAGTGACTGAACCAACGCCGTATCTGTCAAGTCAAAAAAATACTACGCACGACTTTGAGCGGAGCGAATCAGGTGGATCTAGTATCAATAGTGGCAACGATACAATGCTGGCTGCGCTATCCACATCCAAAAGTTCGACAGTAACTCTTATAGGCACAGTCGCAATAAGAAACGATCGTAAAAGCAATGCTGGGCTTGATTCAAATTCAGATGGGGTTTCTTTTGTGTCCACTTCAAAATCAGCTATTGGTAAACACAAGAGCATGCCTCGTCGTGCTTTGTTATTGAGTAGTTGCCGAGAAACCGAAATGTCGGGCAACTTAAATCTTCACGCTCCAAAGCCACAATACACTTGTGCTTTAAACACCAATGATTCCAATGCTAGTAGTAGGCAACGCAGTATCAGTGTTTGTTCTGACGAGGCAACGAGTGGAGTTAACATAGCGACCGAGTCTACAAATAGTCCTAAAACAACCTGTGATTTTTGGAAAAGCATGGACTCGATCTCATCAACTATATCCTCAACACAAACATCATCCACTACTGCTTTTGAAGCTGACACAGTCGAAATACTTGCGACAATGTTTGAAGAGGTAACCATTTCCAGCACTTGTTCTTGTACAAGTGACAATATCCCGAAAAACAACGATATTGCAGAGCAAGCCTATTCAGCAGTACCGTTTACTGCTGAAGATGCAACCAATGACGATGCTGATGCAATGCATAGTTTGAGTCCATCACATTCAGAGCCTGGTATTGGTCAAGATCGTAGTGTATATGTGAATCTTGATAATTCCGAGTCATTCAATGATACGCCTGCCAATACCAGTGACGTGATTGATACCGCTACTGAACAAAGCTCTGCAGTGCAAATTCCAACTCTGATTGATCATCAAGCAGGATTGAGCACTGTTTCTCGTGGTCAGCCTGAAGCGTGTCTATTTGTAGCAAGGTTTGTTGAACTATCATGGCTATTTATATAGTAATTTTTGACTACAACTGAATTCCAATCTACGAGTTCAACCCTATAATGACAATTCGTACTAACATAAAATCAGTCTTTCTGCTGCGAAATCGGATGCTGAGCTTCAAGAGAGTGTTACAAACCATTTTCAAACGTGGGGTGAGCTGCTGAATGTGCGTGTACTCAAGGATTGGATGGGCAGACCCTATGCATTTGTTCAGTTCAAGGTAAAGCCATCGTGCTTATAATGTATAAATCCAATGCATTGCCATTCATTCAAATTCGTTTCATTTTATCCAGTCTGTAGCGGATGCTCAAAATGCATTGGTCAAAGGCCATAATACAATTGTCGATAACAGACACATTCGAATTGAACAAGCCAAAGTCAATCGCACACTTGTTGTATCTAGTACCGACTCGACATCATCAGATATTTATTCTATCATGGAAAAGTATGGCCCAATCGAGAGCTTCACTTTGCCAGATGCTTTAAAGGCACCCAGTATTTGCAAAGACGACACCTGCTGTATCGGAGAAGCAGTTGTCAAGTACAGGTATCGAGAGGATGCCATGGAAGCTTTTGCAGAATTGCGAGCAGCCGGCACGCTCTCTGTCGACTGGACATCTAGCGTAGATAAGCCCTTTCGTGATATCGATCAGTTTAGCATATTTGTTGGGAATCTTAATGCTGTAATGGTCACCGAACAACTGTTGCAAGAAAAGTTTGGTCAATATGGCGAAATTGTCGAAATGAACTTCATTAAACGCAACCAAGGCAATCCAAACAATCGACCTGCTTTTGCATTACTTAGGTTCCGAACCGATGCATCTGCCCAACGGGCAATCAGGAGCGAAAATGGTCAAACATGGTGGAATCAGTCAATGCGAGTGCAGTTGCGTGAGATTCACTCTGAAATATCTCAAGCTTCGACTCCAGTCACTCCGCCTATATCTGGGAATCCAGCTTTTTCCAACGAGTCATTGCCAATGCAGTCGCAATGGAGACCCCATCCATCATTTGCATTTCGAAACTCCTATAACCGGCATTCACGTCACCACTCATTACCCATTACTGGATCTAGCGGAGAGGGTCAGTATTTTCAAAACAATATGATGCCTAAAGCACACATGGGTATGCCGCCGTACCAGTATGGATATGCTCCCTATCCATACACTTGGATACCGCCACATGGTCATATGGCTGACCAGAGCGGATATGCAATAAATGGCTACCCTATGGTTGGACAGTTTGGAGCAGGTGCATCAGGGCCGATGATGGTTATGATGTCAGATAGGGATTCAAATGGCATAGAGGGTGGAGGGTTAGCAAAGAATCCCGGCATTGTCTTAGGTATACTTGGCATGCTCAAGTTGGATTGGAACAGTTGGATTTTGTAGAACACGAATGGTGACTAATTGGAATTAACAACTTGGTGATTAGGTGGAGCGGCAGAGGAAGCGCCTCAGCCTGAAGCGGATTCAGGATATGATTTTTATATGGGACAAGCGCCAATACAGCAGCAGGGAGGACAGCCCTTGATGATGTTGCCATTGAATCCGCTTCATCAGGATCCTCAAATACAGCAGCAATCTGTAAAATATGGTTGGTCGCCACAGCCCATGTGGTATATGCCGTCCCAATACATACAACAATCATATGCATACCCATTCGCACAGATGCGGTCGCATCCAGCATCGTGTAGCGGTTATCCGCAGCACCAACTGCCACTTCAACCTGCTCAGTGGAAGGAAATGCCAAAAAATGAATTTGATGCTGGACAATCAAGTCCCAACAACTCGGGAACAGCGGATGCTGATTTGGCATTTGCAACCAACTCCAGCTACAATGTTCAGTAAACCAGGAGTTTATGGCTATATCTGCACATGATTCCATATCTTGCATATTCAAATTGACCCTTGATGTATTCAAGGGTATTGCAGTAGTTTACAATATTTGCATTTCAACAAGACAACACTTGATTGCAGCCAGTGGAATAGACCGGGTTGTTTTATGCAGTCCAATATATTCAGGGTTGCAATTGACCGTGTATCAATCGCGCTATTTCAGTGCTGTCCAAGTGCAGTCAAATTGATATTCGATTCGACAGAAAAGGGTTTTCAGCACCTGATAGCTGCTCAGTCGTCTGCTTGGACTGCATTTAGACAACTTTTCTTCATAAATTCAAACTTTTCGTCAAACAGCTGGCTCTTGCAACATAATTGTGATCACTAATTCTTTACACTGTATACAACCACTCATGGCTCATCCTTCAATCGACGATGGTCAGTCTTCCCATGCGTCTACAATGTCATCTAGTCTGCCTGTATCCTTCTCGCTCGACTCTACTAGCGTTAAATTCTTACCCGCCATGCCTATCCCTTGCTTCACTGTCGATGCTCCCGGACTAGCTACATCCATTCAAGCATCCCCATCCACCATTATTCGTCCATCCAATCCTGCAATTCCTGCAACTCCTCCTTCATCCGCCTTTCTGGGCACTGCTGCTGCTGAATATTTTTCGCCCATGCCTTCGATCATCACTCCATCTGGCAGCTATGCCAGCGTCACCAATCTTTCTGTTCCTGTGACTGGCATTCGCTTTAGTCGCAGTCCAAACACCGTTACCAGTGGGTTTGCTGCTGCTGCTCGTAACATTCCCATGCACCACCATCGTACCAGTTCTCATCCTATCCATCAGATCAACGGAATTGCTCTTCAATCTCCTAATGAATCGATTGTCTGTCCAGTTCCTCGCAAGATTCATGCTCCTTCCATGCATCTCGAAGTACCGTTGCTTCGACGTTCAACTGGCAGGCGAAACAAGCTGTCTCCTATTACTCCTTGGCTTGATCAGTTCAATTTGTGTCCTCAGCAACCTACTGCTACCATTTCATCTCTTTCAGCTGCAATTGCCTCTGCTGGTGTGTCTATTGAACAAAACTGTACATCTCGAGTCACTTCGGTTGCTCATCCCAGAGATCCTGCTATTCTTGCCCAGCACGAGCTTGGAGAGATTCTTGGTCTGTAATCCAGTTTGTAACCCTAGATTTGAATTAGTCTTGGACAATGCAAATCTCCCTTGCTAGAAAGTTGATCTATTCAGCAGCTTGCTATATACTTTCAATGTAATATCTCTTCACTTGTTCAGCCCTTTTGTAAAAGCCTTTTCCTATATCTGCTCTCCTTGTGCCAACTAAGCTTCATGCTTTCCATTTGCTGATATCTTTTAGCCGCACCGTCCTGTTATGTTTTTGGCTGCAGCCAACTTTACCCTGTTTTACTGCTCCGACTTCCTGCAATCGCTTGTTATTTTGTTTGTCGTTCCAACACCTGTCGACCTGAATTTGTCTATTTTCAACCTTTTCATCTACTATTCTGTGCACTGTTTTATCTACCACTTTTTGTATGCCTGCTATCATTCCAAGGGGATTTATCCTCTTTCCACTTTAAATCTATCTTTTTTGTCTGGACTATATTATAAACAGTATATTTTTCAAGAATGCAATGTTGGGTTTCGGCAACTTTGCTTTCTCTATATTCTGTCCCCTCCTGCTATAAGCTCTTAGAATTGCTCAATTGTTTCATTCCTCGTAGTTCTCCCTTTTGTCCGTACCTATGTTGTTTGCTTTATTTTGTTTATAAATGATTATATTCTTTATTTGATGAAAACTTGGGGTTTAAAATTAGATTGGGATTTAGCTAGCCTGGTGATACAGGGCTGTAATGATAGGGGTTTAATATCATGTGTTGCATTGTGCATTTGATAGTCGAGCTATTGACCGTACATGCATTACAGTTGTGACTATACTTGTACCACGGCTGGGACAATGGTATGAGAATGGAGATATAATTAGAATGGTCAGCAACCTAATTCATGTGTAACAATCAGGTTGGTAATGTTGCTTTCGGTCAGCAATTTGCTCAAATCATCGAGATTGTCCAGCTCGTATTGGTCAGTGACTCAATAACCATAGTATGGTCTCAAGTAGACTGTATTTGAATTTTACGGCTGGCAACACATTCTACTAATGCGGATAATTATAGTCGTATCGTTTATTTTCAAAAAATATTAATCTTTCAACTATTACCATCTGATTAGACATCAATCAGCTGCTTTTTTTTATGGCATGCAGTAGCTATTTCTACCAATTGATCATAATCACCACTCTCACGACACATGGATGCAAACATGCCTTTGCGCTCAAGTAGCTCAAAAGGAGTACCAATTTCAGCTACTTCACCCTGATCCATCACAAGAACACGGTCATAGTCAATAACAGTTCGAAGGCGATGAGCAACAGTCAAAACTGTAGCATCGCTAAATTGCGATCGAATGGTATCTTGGATTTTGCTATCAGTGTCTGCATCTACACTTGCAGTAGCTTCATCGAGAAAAATAAGTCGGCGTGATCGAAGCAGTGCACGAGCAAGACACATGAGTTGCTTTTGACCTTGAGAAAAGTTGTTGCCGTTTTCGTTGACATGGGCATTGAGACTAAGGGATGAATTGGCCGTCCTGTCTACTCCAAACGAGTCCGTCATTGAAATAGCAGTAACGGGGGACGAGGACCCTCTTGCCAGATCGTCATCTTCCACCACAATACTGTCCGTATCACTGCGGCGCTCTTGGGGCTTCTGCAACGACTCCAAAAGATTTGTATGTTGTAAAGCTTTCCAAATCGTCTCATCATCATGCTCATTCAAGGGATCAAGATTGGATCTCAAAGTGCCCTCAAACAGTACAGGGTCTTGAGGAATAATGGTCAAACATGATCGAAGATCACGTAGACCGAGCCTTGAAATGTCAATCCCATCAATAACAATAGTGCCCTTTACAAATGGTAATATGCGGAAAAAGGCAATAGAGAGTGTGGATTTTCCAGCACCTGTGCGACCAACAATACCAAGTTTCTCGCAAGGTTGAACAGAGAATGAAATGCTTTTGAGAGCGTCGGGAAGATCTGACGCATATTTGATTGTCAAATCTTGCACCTCAATCTTGCCCTGAGTAGGCCAGTTGGCAGGTGGGCGATAGGTGTCAACGATTGCAGGTGGTTCTTGAGGCAATTTGGAATATTCTTCAACTCGCTCAACAGCATTCATGGACATTTCCATCGAGGAGTGAACTTGGATCATACGGGTCATGTTTCCAGTAAACTGGTTGGCAAAAATGAATGCCACGCCAGCCCAACCAGCAGATACACCTGAGATGATGATTGATAGACCAGCTCCAAAAACAATGATTTCAGAGAGAACCGATGTACGGAGAGCAAGCCAACGGTTGGTAGCAAAAAGATAAAAAAAGGCACGATGGTTGGCATCAACCTTGCGCTGGATCTGCTGCGTGATACGATCACCCGCTCCATAAGCGCGGATGGTGGATACACCGTTGAGGGTTTCGCTAAACTGCGCAAAAATAGGGGATGAAGAGACACTTTCAATACGCTTGAGTTCACGAGACGTCAAGAGATAGTACTGTGCAAGATAGTAATAGAAATACAAAAACACTATAGAAAACAAAAATGGAGGTGTAACAAAGGTAACTAGTCCGACACGGACAATAGACCCAAAAGTAAGCGTAAAGAATTGAAGCACCGAGTACATGACACCCATATCGACATCCGACAAATCGTTGCTAAATCGGTTGATGATTCTAATAAAAATCGATTCCATGCATTTGTAGTTAGCAAACCCAATCATGAACAATCAACTGTAGGATTAAAAGTACACTAACCTTCCAACTGGGGTCGTTTCAAAAAATCGCATAGGTGATCCCAGCACAGACTCAATAAGTCGAGAATGCATGACACGAGAGGCTCGTATACCTCCCATAAACTGCACAACGTACTTGAAAATCAATGAAAACAGTTCCGCTATACTAATCAAACCATATATCGAAATGTAGAACAGTGCATCGTTTGTTGCCTGACTTGTCGATCCCACATCACCGGCCATAGAAGTCGAAAATGCATTGGAAATCAAAGTCACAACATGACTGCTATCGGATACACTATTGATCTGAACAGAGCTGTCACCTTCAAATGCCCATGCACCATCAAAAGCGCGCACACCACGACTAGAGGCTGACATCAATGTTATATTGGACACAGGAGCGCGAATGTTATCAGTCCACCTTTGAATCCACCAGTTTGACAAGAAATCTGCCGATGTCTGCAAGAGAAATCCAAGAAGGACAAAAAACAAAAATAGAAACCCGCCGCATGCCGTAATATATGCCAAATAAGTAGCAAACTTGACAGATCCAGTAGCCTTGCCTTCTTGATCAGTCAAACGTTTACCATTTTTACGACCAGGCTTGATTGATTGGTTATCCTCTTCAGCTTCAACACACTCGTCATCATCGGATTTGTACGCTGACATAGTGCTATTCATCTCGCTGACGATAATGGCGTCTATTTCTGGATTGGCAATCATTTGCTGAGGAGTTCCTTGCCCAAACACTTCACCATTTTTCATCACAATGACATGATCGGATTGAAGCACAGTCAGTCCAATAGCGTGCGTGACAAGTAAAACAGTACGGCCTTTGAGTAAAGTCAAAATACATTGGTAAAAAAGTTGGCGCGCGGTAGGAGCATCAACAGCACTGAGTGGATCGTCTAGCAATACGATCTGAGCACGAGAGTAGGCAGCACGAGCAAGAGACACGCGCTGCTTTTGACCACCTGACAAATTAACTCCTTTTTCTCCAATCTCGGTTAAATCGCCGCCTTGAAATGTCGCAAGATCGCGCCGAAGGGAACAGGCAGTAATGACTTGATTGTATCGTTCCTCATCATACGGCTCTCCAAACAAAATGTTGTCACGGATAGTTGCATTAAGAAGCCAAGCAGTTTGTGCAACATATGCAATGTTGCTTTGCGAGATGCCTTGAGCAATAGCAGCAGGAGTTTGGTGAGGAATAAACAGGTCGCCATTGTACCGTTTCATTTCACCCAAGAGAGCACAAAGAAGACTCGTTTTTCCTGAACCGGTTGGACCAATAATTGTAGTGAGTTTGCCTATTTGGAACTGGATGGACAAGTTTCGCAGATAAAAGGTGTGGGATTCTTCGACGTTGGTCAAAGCACTAGATGCATCTGTAGAGGAAAGATCCGTTGCGCTGGATGCAGGTTTCTTTGATCCAGTACTTCCGGAAGAAATATCAGTAGAGCTTGTGTAATATCCAAACTCGGCGTTGCTAAACCCAATATTTTCGCTTCTATCACATGCCGAAATTGGCATGTTTGCAGTACTGTCAGCTATCTGATATCGCTCCAGCTCCTCCTCATTCAAAAACGATTGAATACGAGCCATTATCACCTGCACGTTAAGAATACGAGATACATCCTCACTAAGACTGCTGAGAGTAAAAGATACAGTCGTAAGCAAACTAATGCTGGTAAAGGCAGTGGCAGCATCCAATGTTTTTCCGGCAACAACAGTGTAAAAAAAGAAACTGACAAATGTCACCAGAATACTAGATCCCCACGAAATAACAACCATTATCAAGTTATTCAGCAAAAGCTTAAAACGGGAAGTCAGCTCTTTATCCCTGGCCTCTATAATTTTTTTCAAAAACTGAATTTCCCAAGCCATGTACTTGATTATACGAATACCAAGAAGAGCTTCGTTTGTTGCTTGTATACGACGATCTTGAAGTGTTCGTGTCTGTTTCAAAATCTTGTATCTTAATGCAAGAGTCCATCCAGAAATTGGCCCACTTATTACAAGTACAAACAGACCAGCCAATGCCGGTGGACCCATCAAAAACAGTAAGCCAGAAATGGACATGATAATCGACCAAGGAGTGTCAATTAGCAGTGAATGAATATCGGTAATAAAATTGCGAATCTGACGTGTATCCGTTGACATTAAGCTGACGATTTTCCCTTGTGATGCGCTATTATCATCGTCCTCGCCCTCTTCGGATTTAATGGCACCACTTCTTCCAGCACGACGAGTACTTTTTGAAAAAATCTCATGCATAAGAACAGAGCGGAGCTGAATGCCCCAGTGACGACCACTAAGATTGATCTGTGAGTTTAGAATATCGTTAAGAATTGAAAACGTAAACATGCCTACAAGCAAAACTACACCCCACACCCAGCCCTCTTCAGGCTGCCGATTTTGGATCCAGTTCAAAAGTCGATTGATGAAAAACGGGTTGGAAAAAGATAATGTTGCTGTAATAAATGAAACAAAGATCTGGAAAGCAGCATATTTGTGAGTCATACGGAGAAGGTCCCAAAAAACATTATTGCTTTTGTCAAGTTTTTTCCAGCGTTCAACCACTTGGTCCATTTGATCGTACTTTGCAAGATGAGGAATATCCTCCGACTCGAGTGGTTTAGATCGTCCTAAATTCAACAGTGGCACAACCCAGGAAAACGAAATGAGCGACATAAATGAGGCAGTCTCTTGACCGGAAATGCTTCTTTTTTGCACCCGGACACTCTTTAATCTGGCAGCATTGCGGGGTGGGTTGCTAACATCCAATATACAACAAACCCAGCCCAGAGTCAAGATGGTAACGTGGATCCAAAAAATCAAATCAATTGGATGCTCCAAAATAAACATTTGTATGACTGAAAAGAGCCGAGTGAGGGAAAATGCCAGATAGAACAATGCGACTGATCTTGGAGCATCAGAGGCAGGATGTTTAGAAGAGCGATGAAGGTATACTAAGCATAGCTAATTTTAGCAATACAGTATTGTGGTTTAGTGAAATAGCATAGAGTTGGATAATTATCAGATTAATAAAATTGCGAATAGAATTTCCGATAATCACAAAAATAACGAGTACTTACAGAAACAGCAAACCAAATCGTATCCTGCAGCAACTGCAGTGGATAGTCCATACTGCTAAAAATAAAGACTGTTACACTAGTGCCCAATAGGATGGACAACAACACAGATGCGGCCATGATGGTTTGCTCAAGAGCGGTTGCAGGAAGACTGGCTATGGTTAGATGGTCAATATCTTGCCAAGTGGTCCGTATAGAGCCATCAGCAGACTCGCCCAAGTTACTAGAAACAGAGTCTGTAGGATCAAGTCGAGCATTAGTGACAATGGAAGACGATGGAGTAGGATTATCCAATAGCTGCACGTAGCCAACCCTGCTGCGATAGTCTTTGATAGCAACCGAAAGGGCCAATATTAACACCACTAGCAATACAAGACCAGCAGCAACCAGAGGTATCCATTCCAAGCGAAGAAGGTCTAGCAGTAGCATGTTTGATCACGAATCAAATTGTATTAGAAGATACAACTATTAAAAGTGTCAAGAATGGACTAGCTCGGCAATCTTTAAATCTACAATTTTAGTAGCCGACTGTACCGACATGGCCGATTAAAAAATAGTGTTGCAATGACAAACAGCACGGACAAACCACTAGTCCGCTATTGGGCCCTTACTTGAGGCCGTTTCCATAGACCAATATTTTCCCGTTTTTACTCTCCACATGTGCAATCGCCAATTGGCTCACGCTTCGGTGTTTTGTTTTACCATCAATCTGAAAATATTTTCAATGGACTGGTCAAGCACAAGAGGGAATCACATGAATCAGAGTGTAGTTGGGTATTGGCACTCTTATCTCCTTGATCAACACTTTAGACATTCGACCGAGTCGGGTTTTCATTCCTACTTGGTGCCATTTGCTCAACCACTCGAGTTGTCGCTTTTGAAATGCAAAAGGTTAGTTGCCGAGCATAGCCACAATCATAGTCATTCATATAAAATGAACCACTTTTCTAGTAAATTGCTTTGGAATAGACAATGATAAGTATTCCTTGTTTTCCTACTACAAACTGACCTGAATAAACACAACGGACACTATAAAAACTAGTTTTGAACCGAGATTATCCCCATTTCGTGGCCGTACATTGTATGATCCCCAAATTCATTCATTGCAATTCAGAGACGGAGTTTGACTGCTCTGATACTGCCAATCAAACTTTGTGTCCTAATATCAGATACGTTCGCGCTCTAATTCAAAAAGTAGTATTGTCCAGTAAATGCAGTAGATATTATCATTTCATGAGACTAGCGGTTTATTATTTGTTTTGGTATCGTTTTATTTTACGTGAATACGGCTGTAGGGCAAGAGTAATGGAATAACAACATATGCCGTCAGCTGAGCAGAGTCTAATATGTGAGATTATCAGCTTATCCATTTTTGAGTATGATACAGATGGCTGGCAGTTTAAGCCTTGCCATTCATGTGTCCAAATCATATTAAATTCTGAAAAATTAAATCTATGCAAGTGCTAGTGAAACGCCCAAGTAGCATTAGCCATATGGTTTTAGCATCTGAGATGCCGCAAGCATATTGTTTAGATGCTTTTTGGTTTCGTTTTGCCTCATATATCAGTATGATAACTCGGAAATTGCTACGGTAGAAGGACAGCATCACACAAGCTTTGATAGTAAAGCCATAATCTAAACATGTTAGCCACACTGATGGTGATAGAGCGTATTCTAAAAATGAACAAATTGGCTGATATATCGCCAGAGAACCCAGTGCAACTTGTCGGATTATTACTAATTGCTTAGCATATCAGTATCTTGTCCAAATACTCAGCCAGATATACTACATATTGTAAACCAATTGGGCCGCTCCTATTCCTGTGTTTTGCATGTCAGGGAATTATCTATTAGCAACATATCGGCGCATGAAAGTATGACAGCCAATGCTATCAAATATCTGACTACTAACAGGCTTGTGCTTTCACTGCTATTCAGTTTCCAATCCTTAACCTCATTATGCTTTTACAAAGAAATGGTATACGCTCAGGTTTGGCCCGAGAATGCTCCAATTATTTTAAACAGTCTGGATTGGCTCGCATTCATATCTATATTCTGCATACGCGCTAAACCTCCATCTTATGGTCACGTTTGAATGTGCTGGTAATTTGTCATCTCATGCATGCTACTGTAGCTGTATAATATACCATTCAAATAAAGATTTGTTTGCTGTAAGAGTTTATCCAATAGAAGGAGTGTTTGGATTCGTTACATTTTTGAAGATTGTGGCAGGCATTGTTCCCAATATACCAAAAAAGACAAATATCTTTTGATAGATTGTCGTTCCTTTAAATCTTATTTTCAATAAATTCTTTTTTTTCTAATCTAATTTCTCACCCGAAATCTTCATACTTGCACAAAATGACACGCTCCAATACATCCACACACTCGCATACAAACAATATGCACTGTTGCATCTTTCCAAGATCGACTCTATCGCCCCTAGAGTTGAATCCTTCGATGGATATGTTTCTGGTATGTTTTGCTTGAACTTTCGAGTCTGTCTTTATACATCTGCATTGTTGCTTAGTGAATGGAATGGGCAAGTCTCATCAAGCTTGATGTGCGCGGTGACAGCCCAGTCTTTGAAATAGAATCTGCTGGGGTGTGCAAGATATAACAATCTTACTACCAAGCAACAAGGGATAGATTAGCATAGTGGTGTTATCACCGCTTACTACTATGCTGCATTGTGTATATCAATCTATTCCCTACGTTTATCTTGAATATGTCAGGGTTGTGAATATTGCATTTTATTAACTCTTGACACAACTGGTATATTATTGTTTTTGATGGACTGTATTTCTTGAAATATTTACGTGGCCAATGTAAACGCACTAGATGGCACGCAGGATGCAGTCAAGACTCAAGCATGCGTACAGTAGACTTGCTCTGAGACGCCCATACTCGTCGGGGTTTCGGCAGCCATCAGAAGCAGCACCATTAAAGCGTTCAGCTACTAATACTCGTTGCAAGCCAAATAATCTTCCAAGCCCATTTCAAGTATCGTCTGATGAATACACCCGGCAAAATGTATCACAGCAAACACTACAAGCCGTTTCTAGCCTAGACTACCAGCAACAATATATGCAAATAGACAATTTAATGCAAGACCAATCTGTCCAGTGCCACGCCGCCTTGAACCATCAACACCGTGCTGCTTCATCTTCATTTACATTGTCAGTTGATGTCAAATCTTCAACATTTTCCAACGCGCTTACCGTGTTCAACACGTCACACGCGTCACCCCCCAAAAATCTGCAAACTGACTGTAACGGCATCTCAAATTCCTTATTTCAAGTGGCTGTGGGACAAAGAATGTGGACGCGTCCAACTCATTCCTCCAATGCATCCAACATTGGTAATAGGGTCGTTGCGGTTGATTCTATAGAAACAGCGAAGGATGCTGATATGGTGAGTGCTGGTATGGTCAAAGCAAGCGGGTGCCAGATGGCATCATCCCTTGTTGATGAAATTCCATTGTCTAAATCGGCTGGTCTACTCTTTCCAAAAACTGTCTTTGACGTGTCTGCAGCTACATCTAAAGATACCCCAAATGCGGCCTTGCAATCCTCTGTATTCTGTGTTGATTCGCTGATGCCCTCCTGTCTGCATGATAATATTGCAAGTGGAAAAATCATTGGCGATCATACAGTTCCTTCATGCATATCTTCATCAGCCAACTCGCATAATACCTCTTTGCCTTCATTTGCAGCTTGTTTCGAACCAATGGTATCTACTTTACCTACTACCGCACCACGATCCTTGTCCGCCTTCAAGTCACCACCTCCTCAATCACACTCTCGTTACTCTCCAACTCGATACTCTACTTTTGAAATGGCCGCCGCTCTTTCGTTGTCTTCATTAGGCCATTCTATTGCACAGCCGTTGTTTGCTTGTGGAAACAGTGGCGCCGAAGTTAATAATCTAGCTCGTTGTACGCCTTTGCTTGAGTCGTCTACTCCATCCTCAGCATTATCTGATCTATCACTTTCGCCCGAAAGCGCTAGATCTGTTACCACCCGTGCAGCTTCAGATGAATACAGACCCTTGATACTAAATAATATCAGTCCTTCAGACTCATATATTACCGCTACACCTCGTTCCCCCATCCAACTGCAAATGCCGAGCTATTCGAATATGCATGTCCGAGTCGGACAACCTATGCAGGTCTAGTCTATTTTCATTCATGGCCGATTGCATGCTATCACATCAAGACTTTATCTAGTAGATTGAAGTCTTTTCATCTTTTCCCATAGCTGTGGAATTTGTATTTCATTCATACATACACATTCTTATCCTGATGATAGTTATACTATCTGCTTTGCAGTTGAACATGTCTCCAGGGATATTTGTCTGCATCCATACCCTGCACACCTTAGTTTCGTATATCCTTTTTACATATTTTAATACAAACAATATTTTAAATACTTTTTAATTTTGGCGGTGAAAAGCATGAGTTTGTGGCGCAAACCGTTATTGAATACTAGCTTACGGCTAGAGTTTAATCTAGCAATAAAAGTGACAGTGGTGTCCACTCGTTTGGATTTGAAGATTGGGCTGTTGCATAGTGGTATCAAACATTTGTAAATCCAACTCATGATTGTTTTTCATCATCGCGTTAGTATATATTGGATCAGCTAGATTTGCAATCTTGTATATTTTGATTGTAATGTTTTACATTATGCCGTTTTAAGCATGTGACGCCGAGACCTGATTATCCCATTGGCAATACTATTGGTCTGTGATAAACATGCAACGAGTTTGTATATTTACCACATATATGGCAATGTAGCTGTTTCAAATGATTGGTCTCTAAAAAGTATGAAACCACCTTTCTATGGCTTGATAGCAAATGCATACAGCAATGTATCCAGTACTTTATGCTCGCTAATGCACGGAAACCATCAAATTTTGAGCTTACCATTGTTTCATCCATTCCTACTGGTGGTGAGTATTCCTGCTCAATATTCAAATACCTCATTTTGTCAGGTATATTATAGCGGGTTGTTGTTTCGGTTTGAGTCTTCTGTGCATGAGGTCCCAGTTTTATTCACGCCATCATTCAAAAACCCAAGACCTGCGGAAACTAAGCAATAGCCGGCACAGTGTCTAATACAATCCATTGAATAAATCAAACTGTGCAGTTTGATTTGGTTGAAAATAGAGTTATTAGTCTATTGTCTAGCTATAACATATGTGTTTCTTGCAATTACTGCTTTACTTTCAGTTGGATACCCTCAAAATCGGTAACAGACGCGTCCCCTAATTCCATATTCAATGCAGCATCTTCAAGTGTATGAGGGTTTCAAGGGAAAGTTTTCTAAACAAGCACTGTATCTACATTTCCTACAAGGCAAGTCTCGTTAAACCATATTTTGACAATTTTATTGACCTTTAAATTCCTGTTGTACTAAAAACGCCTTCTCCTTTAACATTTTGTATAGAATTACTGGCCAATCCGATCCTCTTAGTACTGGGTCTTGGCAATAGCTTTTGGATATTACCAGACAAAACAGTTTGCATTAGACACACCTGTTTATGGACTGGTCTTCTGGTGAGTCGTTTTTTACACAATTGGCTAATTTATGTGGCATGGTTGGCTGAATTACAGGCGGCTGCAGATCGCTTTTATTGCTTTGTTCAAGCCGAAAAAGTGCACTTGATAGCACTCGGCAACCCAATATCAACACTGCCTGCAGTCGGTGCTGGATCAAGTTATACTAGGAATGCTAACCATTTGATTATCATTTCAATTCACCAAAAGCAATTCATTGGATGGTAAATATGGCCACGAATGAAACCAAAGCTGCGGCAGGATTAAAATCACCAACCGCCGACATACCGCCATCAGCCTCTACATATAGCAGCAGCACGGCATTAGCACTTGAAGGAATAGGGATCGTTTCTGTCGTCATCTGCATTTACATTTTATCACTTTTGATATACCGCAAGCCCGCGGCCGATCAAGTTCTTGATATGGGTTTGATCATTGTAAATCTAGCATTTAGCATCACTCTCATTATTGCGTCATGCCTATCTATTCTCACTCGAGCATCCACAATTGACTCGCCAATCACTATTATCACGACCGTGGCCATCTTACTTGTTATATACTCCACTTCATTGACAGTGGTCCTAAATGCATGGTCACTTTGGCAAATCAATGTCAAGGGCAAACAAAAAATCACATACTTTCAGGCCTACATCAAACTCTTTTCTATTTGGGCCATATCTCTTTTACTAGCTCTCACGAGCGTTTTGACGGGTAGTTTGCAATATAATTCAACGGGATTAATTACAAGAGCATATTCCGATCCCACTTCATCATTAGCCCTTCGTGTTATATCCGAAATTGTAAATGTGCTGGATCTTGTTATAGTCATTCCCCCTCCATTGGTTGCTGTCTATTGTTATGGAAGCATGTACTTGCATTTGCGAGAGCAATCAATTTGGATTAAACGCATGGTACAAATACAAAGGAAGGAGGAAGGCAGACTTATTCAAGAGTCGCAACGTCAGAAACCCGCCGCATCAAAATCTGGAGCCCAAACTACTCTAAAGGGATCGTTTTCTAATTTTGAAACTCAGCCCTCAATTCCAGCACGGGCATATATACCAAAACAGTCTCAGAACAGTGTCAAAAAGCGTAGCACCATTTCAGCCACATCCAGATTAGGCGACTACAAAACCGCCTTGCGAAACAGTGCTGGTCGTGGATGTGCGATATTCATCCTTTACATAGTGTTTATTGTTCCTCTGGTGATCAAAAATTCAATTTGGAGAACAAAAGCGTCCCCTTCAGATACACTTACCATGGTTACCTATATACTATTTGCATTTTCAGGTATTGTAACCCCGTTGATATTTGCGTTTTTGGATCGGCGAATCAGATATGGGTTTGAAATGAATGGCAATGAGGAGCAGCTGCCAACTAGTATTGGTCGTGAAGATACGTTTCGCCAGAGATTGCGAGGAAAGGGCACTGAATATGAGTACGAAAACGGCGCAGATTTTCAAACAGTATTTGGCAAAACTGATGCCAAGGTAGCAGCAAGTACTTTCAGCAATGGTGACAGAACCAAAGCATTCTCAAAGCGTCGTTCCAAAAACCCATTTGAAAACAACGAAACCGTCAAAGGCGTGATTGTTCTTGATCCGACCTTGGCTTTTTCAACTCGGTCTTTACATTCTGCTCCATCTGATCTAACTTTAGAAAGTGAAGAAACATACATGCCCAAAGATACTAAATCTTTTTTGACGAGCAAGACTCGTCCAGCGATCGAGCGAGCTGTCCAGAGTATTCATACTGGCATGATTGGTAGCGACGACGAGGATACTGTTTTGAGCTTATCGCGTGATCAAACTCAAAGAGAACCGGTACAATCGGGCATTGCCAAAAATACAGGGTTTAAGTCAAAGTGGAATCCATACGAGCCAACACAAAAGAATTTGAATGATGGGTTTTCAAGCAATCCTACTCTACTGAATGGTAGGCGCGTGTTTACTGAGAATATGTCCAAAACTATGCCTCCGCCTACTTTGCAGCAAACCTCGATCCAGTCTCGAACTTTCCAGCAGTACCCTACACCACAGCAAATCAAAACACAACCGCCAAAAATATATAATGTACCACCAATGACATCCAAGTACACATTGGCTCAAAACAAACCCAGGCTATATGACATAACTAAAAGCACCAATCGGGTTGAAAACGGAAACAAGTATATTTATGATCCTCAGATACAAAATACAAACATTCCTGTTCGTGGTAAGCCTAGCGCGAAATCCAATCGCAAGGCTTCTTATATTCGTGGATTGAATGTACAAGACAGCAGAACTGTGCCAGATCGATCTATAGCTCGTCCAACTACAATGTATCTCTCTATCCCAGATGAAAACGGTCGCAATGCACCAGAGCCTATTTTATCTGAAAGCGACCAGTCCCCATCCATCATATATGGTAGTGATAGACTAGCACCTGATCCATATGTGCGAGCAAATGACGCTAATGCTATAGATAAAACCAGGCCAAATCCTGCACCTCGTGGATGGAATTTACCCGATCCCAAAATATACGGAGAGCCCATGCCCAATCAATATGGATTAGATCGGCCCATGTATGATTTTGGTGATGCATCTGCACCTGCACCCTCTGTGTATGAGATTCGGCGGTCAATGCTGTTTGTCAAAGATAACCGAAGCTCGGGAAAATCTTACAACTAGCCCATGTTTCACCCGTTAACAATGGTACAAAGATACTATCTGGCAATACCAAACGCACTATTCACTGAATCACAGTAGTTTTGGCATGCCTGATCCCAAACAGTACACATTCTTAATCATTGTATCGTGTAAACGATACAAACATACTTTAAATTATAATTCTGATTCAAGACCATATCTTTGGTAGTTTACATTGCAATCCAGCAATGTGTTCAACTGCTTTGATGCTCTCAAATTTGTCGTGTCGTAAAATATCAGATATGTTCTAGCTCAAGACACACACCGCGCATCTCAGGAATGCAAGTTGTTTTCATGTCAATCGTCCAAGATGTGTAGAAAAGAGATGGATTGAACCTGTTAAAAGTCGTTCAGTTTTTATCTGGCGTTTTATTTTACGTGAATACGACTGTAATAGAAATACATGAGAGTAATAAAGTTTCAAATAGCATAATTGAACGAGATCCAACATGGTCTTATAATTTCTGCTTCAACATGTCTTCACAATACTACAAATATGAAATATGATCATACTCCATCCCACCTCTAGTCACAATCACAGCAAGCAGCTCCTTGATAAACTCTTCGAGAACAACCACATTTTTCAAAAATTCTTGATCCAGGTCTAGATCACCAAAATATCTACCAGTAGCATCGCTCAATCTTTGCCCGTTCAAGCGCTCTTCGTGTTTACTCCATTCGGAATCATTTCCCGATTTTTCACTTTCAAGCATCTTGGCTTTGCATGCAGCCAACTTGATATCAAATCCTGGCAAGCTCTCTCTTCGTTCATCAATCTCACCCATCAGTTTGGTAATTACATGGTAGAATGATGGTGCAATGGTTTCTGGATCAGACAGTGTTGCGTCACCATCTACCACACTCGCGTAGAGTACGGGGTAAGGCGACATGACCAACTGCTGCAATACACCAGTCATGGCTACATTGATTTTCATAGAGTGACTAAACAAATTTTCAAACTTGGTCATGATTTTATAAAGCGTGGGATCGGTCCGAACTCGTGTTGCTTGCTCTCTAAATGACTCTTTGGACTGAGGTGCAATCGTGCTGCCATTGGACACAACACGTACGGGACTGGTCAATACAAATGCTTCATTTGCATTACTCGACACTGGGTCTGGTTTGGATTGAAATAGGTCTTCTAAATCAATACGATCTGATTGAGCACGCGCACGTAGCGATGAGAAACCTGCCTCGGCATCGTAAATGTATGCGTCAAGCGAGGCTTGTTTACCACTGTCTCTAGGCAGTAAAGCAAAGTATCTTGCAACAAGTTGCAAATGTTGCTGAATGTCTACATCGTGATCTAATGCCATGCGATCTACGACAGGCTGCTCTCTGGGTAATTTTTCAAACAGTAGTTTGAATGAATAAGTTGGATGGTCGCGCATGAGTGTGTAGAACAGCAGCAAGGTAGAAGTGACAACTTCTTCAGAAAGAGAATTGAGTTTGGAAATGAGAATGTCGCGGATACCAAGTCGCATTTCATCATCAGATGAGCGAATGATGTCGTCGTCATCTTCGCTGCTAATCAAAAGTTTGACAAAAATTTCAGATAAATGCGGCTCGTCAATCAAAGTCACCAGTTGTTGTATATAAAACAGTGTTGTGAGAGTTGTGCCATCAAAATCGGAGCAGCTGTTAATGGATGCAGCCAGGACGGTGGATAGAAAGATGGTTTGAACATTGTACAAAATCCTTTGAGATATTTTTTTGCTAGAGCATGTATAAAGTATTTTTTGGAGAAACAACACGTAGTCTAAGAAAGACTGTAAATCAGTGTTAAACACTCTGCGGGCAGCAAGACTGGATTCAATATCAAGCATTCTATCAGCATCAGGCATGACTGTAGGTAGCTGTGCATAGAGACCACTTAGACCAACAACCAGCATAAGCGGGTAGTCATGTTTCAAAATAAACGCCTCCAGATCATCGCCTTCAGAAGCAAGAGCAAACAAGATTGGACAGGCAGTGCGAGCACGATCGCCATTGGCCTTGTCAGAATGCACATATTTCATGACATGATCAAGTAGCCCAAATGTAGAAGCAGAATTTGATTCTTTGGGTATATTGAAAAACAGCGGAAGCAATTCTGGAGAAGACTCGATCTTTGTGCAGAGATTGACTTCCAACTCGAGCATGGACTCGTGATATTTAAGATCTCTGGACGTAAAGCAGGCATTGATTAATCTGGAAATAGGTTTATGAATGCAGTGACTGAATAAAAAACGATGATGAATAAGCCCGATCAAGTTTGAAGTAAATCGAATGACTTCAGAGCGGTACCCAACAGGCACATCATTTTGAGAAAGTGTGATTAAATGGTCCAAAATGTCGTCATTAAAAAACAGCTCAGTGCAAAGACCAGTTTCCTAATAGCAGTTCAAATCATTAAATTAGAAACAGTCAGTATATTGATCATTAGAAAGTATTCCATTCTACGTGAATATGGCAGTAAAATGAATGGCAGTATCAAGTGGCGTTCAGCAGTTCAACAAGTTGTAACATGCACAGTAAAACACAATAATATAGAAATAAGTCGTACAGTGGAGTTGTTAGCGGCAGCTTGTTCCTTGACAAAGATGTCCAAGATGGATTGAAGATAACTTGGAATGCTAGTATGACCAATTTGTCTGTTCCAGTTGTGCTCAGCTCCAGATTCCTGTATGATGGTTTCCCAAGTTTGTTTAAACTAATAATATACAAAAGTAAGTAATGCTACAAACAGCGATGGGGATGAAGAGAGAGAAAAGCAGCGACTTATTCGATAAGATGGTAACAAAGTGCACCAACATGACAATCGGGCAAGTAATGAGCATTGACATCAACAAGGAAGTTTGAAAGATAAAAACAGTCAAATACCTTTGCAAGCAGAGCAGCAGGCGATGCTCTAGAACTAAAGCCTAGACCACTCAGATGCTTGTTGATGTTGAAGCGTTCAAAAAAGAAGTCTGTCATGTACACGTCAAAAGTCGACCGATGAGAAAAGTGCGATTGACACGATTCCAACTGTTGAGTTGCAACTGAATTCATACGATCGATACTTGTGCTGTTTTAGTAGAAATCTATGAACAAGTCTGCTAACATCCACGTCTGCAAGCAACTCTCATTGCAATCCTAAAAGCTTAATCTGCTTTACCGTCTGCATTCTTATCAAAATACTTATGTTGCTTTTCTATCAGTTTCTAATCTTTTGTTGCAATTGACGTTATGAATCCTACACACATTGCTGCCAATAACACCTCGAGTGTTTGTATCTCGACGATCGTGGAGGACGCAGGGTCTAAAAATCATACACTTGGGCACTCTCACAGGGCTAAAACCCATCGTCGTTTTTTATCCTGGAGTAACTCTACAGAAACCCCCTCGGCCTTGATCATCAACAACATCCCTTCGCGAACAAGAGCCGCTACCAGATCCGAATCACAGAATGATAAAAGCTTCTCTAACATCAACTCCGCATTCACTTATGGCTCAGATACAAATTCTGCATTGGCTGCCTCCAAACAGCTGCATTCGTCATCTACTACTCACCCCGATATGCTCACTACTGCTCATCCTGATTCTACGAGTGTGGTCGCTTATCACTCAAAGTTTGCATTTCCTACTGGCTTTCTCAAATACGCTCCAGCTAACACAACAGACTCTGGCCAAAAAATATCACTAACATCTCCACACACTTGTTCGTCACGTAGTGTGAGTGGTTCGAGCACGTCCACTTATGACAGCACTCCTTCCGTGACCTACCTTCGGAGCATATCTGTTCCTCATGGCATCAGCTCAAAATCCTATCACAATAAAACTAGCACTTTTGTCGACACCTCTACCTCAGACCCATGCAGATTTAAACCCCCTATTTTTAATTCACCTTTGGAAACCCAATCTACTTTACGGTCGGCTCACAGTCCTACAAAATGGTACATTCTTGAAGAATCAAGTGGGATTGATCTGGATGCTGCTGCATTAGTGTGGAAAGGAAGCATGGAACTGCTTGAATTTGGACATAGACGATTTAAAATCGATGTGGCTTCTTTGCCTACTTATGAAGTGAAGCGACAGGAAGTCATTCACGAACTAATCGAAACAGAGATGAATTACGTACAAGATCTAAGCGTCTTGGTCGAGGTAAGATTCATCAAACCTTTCATCACAATAGAAAAGATCTGTATCTTAAAATAGCAGACATGCATATATAAACTATTGGCCATTCATACTTTTATTGACAGTAACTAATACTCTTCATTTAATCAATCCTCACGAGGCAGATTTTTTTGAAAAATTTGCGTCAAATGAATATTCTTCCCGAGGATGGATTGCGAACCATATTTTCCAACACTGAACAACTTATATTACTTCACCAGGTACATATCTCATATACTTTGTACTATTTATATGAGTATGGGTCAACCCATTCCATTTGACTAGTGTCACTGATATAACATGAATCCATTTGAAAATAGGACTTTTTAAATCAACTATGCAATCGGCGTATTCGCGACTCTGGCGTGGTTCAAGACATTGGCGATCTATTTATTCGCATAGTACGTTTTAAACCATTGATCAATTCAGCTAAAATTCAGTGTATGGCACTAATAATGTCTTGACTTGTATTTATTGTGTAGGCTGAGGATCTCAAAGTATACTGTATATTCTGTTCAAACCATTCACTTGCAATCAACTACCTTCAAGATCGCAGTCTAGAGCGAGAATTCAACATATTTTTACAGGCAAGTCAATGTCAATACACAACGCTATATTCTTCTAGATGGTCAAGACTAACCTTTTATTAATATCTAGTACTGTTTAATGCGTCCAGAGTGTCAGGGAATGAACCTAGCATCATTCTTACTTAAACCTATTCAACGAATATGCAAATATCCTCTACTTTTACGGGAAATTAAAAAAAATACACCAGATGATCATACAGATCGCGATGGTTTAGACAAGGCCATTTTTCAAATAACAGGCGTAGTAGATTTTGTGAATGAAAAACGAAGAAAGGTTGAACAAGAGCAGATCATGAAGCTAACACTAAGTCGCCTTGAATTCAATGATGTAAGTTGAAATGACTGGATTTGTGGCAACTCATAGTCAGTTCTGACATACTTTCACTGATACATCTAACACGAATATGAATATTTTACGATTTAAATATGGTACACAATCAATTAGGTGTGGATTTTACCTACATTTTCTGAGCGGCGGGTAATTTGTGAAGGCATGCTTACAAAATCATCAAGTAAACCACTTAAAATGCGTCCATCTCTGCGGTTCTGCGTACTTTTTCGTGACTGCTTTGTTGTTGCAAAGCCATCTCGATTTTCTGGCGGGAAATCACAAGTGAGTTCCATCCACTCAATATGGTCTCTATCCATCACCAACATCTCAGACACAGAAAAGTCCAAAAATGAGTTTAAAATCTCTATCAATAACAAGAAGCATCAAACGTATATCGCAAGCTCTATAAAGGAAAAACGTATATGGATGGATGGGTTTCATCTGGCTTTAGATGCCTCATTCAAAGCAGTCTCTCTGGCAGATATGAATGTTATGACGGATCATCTAGCTACTTCCTCCATGAGTACTGCTTCAGAACTATTTAAGGATGACATGAAACTGCAGAATATTGCCATGTCCGAGAATAACGGTATGTGTAGCAAGTTTAATTTATTAGACGTGTTTCTCGTGGCATATATTAATACATGACAATATTATCTGCCATACTGCATCACAGTGTCTAGTTCATCAAATAGCATATATCATCAAAAAAATATACTGCATAATACGAATCAGTCAAACGAAAGTGACGAAGATGACTTGAGTTTTCTAGAGCAAGACACTCCAGTGCAAACTCCCTTTAAAAAAGATGAGCTAGCCAACGCATTACTTTATCCGCCATTAAAGTCAATAGCTACAGATAATGTAGGTGTTTTTGAAACTTTTGAGAAATGCCTTTTAATACACAACTAATTGATGTTTTAGTTCATAAAACCCGAGTCGGCACTTGCTCAAGATTCCACAAAAAGTTGGCCGGCCCAACCCAATCAGTCGAGTCCATCGCCAAGTGCTGCTGCACAAACTAAAAACATCAATCGTGTTACTGAACCCAAGTTGCGCTGCTTAGATGAAACAAAATCATCCAACACATCTACTTTATCCATGCCTCAAGCTAGCCATTATCACATATCTGCAGAACATAGATTAATTGAATTGAACATTTTACAAAAAACAGACGTATCCAAGCATCAGCCAGTAACAGATGCAAATTGCTTGGTTCCTCATCCACCCAATACACCTATTCCGCGTGTTCAATCGATTGAAAATATAAAGAATCATATTATGCCTGCAAAAATGTCATCACCTAGATCAGCTCGACATATAAAACCAATGTCACAGAGTCAATCCACATGCTCACTGTTACTACTAGAACCAAGTATACCTCGTACTCGCTCGGATATAGCATTGCCTGGACTTGAATGTGCTACAAGTATATCAATCCAAAATGAGAAAGTTGATGCTGACAACGGTCTAGTTTGCGATCATCGACAATGTGTCAAACCGCTTTGTGATATACTTCAAAATTCAGACAAATTACTGATGAAAAACACAGTCAAATAAAAACCTGTAGACTGTTGTTGGATATGTATTGGAGGTGAAACTAAATGACTTTTTTGTCATCACAAGCTTGTGCATGTAAGCCATACACTTGGAATTGGCATCTTTGGTCATTATTACTTTCCATATAATGCAATACCATATGCAATATGCCTTGAATTTTAACCAATAAACACTTTAAACATGAGTGACTTTACAAAATACTAAAAATAAGCATATGTTCATTCGTCATCAATATCGTCACGCTGTAAAAGATCCTTCATCTTTGTATTTCTTTCGGAAATCTCCTCAGCTGTAAGTTCACGATGAGAAACAAGAATTTTGGTAGGCTTCTCATACTCTACATCGTAGTCGCGCTCGCGCTTGTTCTATTAAATCAGTTCAAAGCAATAAGATATTTAGTATAAAATCAAATCAACATGATCTCAATCAAACTATAGCAAACCATACCAAAGCACGTTTTTTGCGCAGCGTCATACGTTTAGGAAGCATACTGTAAAATGCACCTCCTTCTTCTTTTCGAAGCTCAATACAAAAGGGATAGTTTGATTTGCTAACGCTTTCGTCAAAGTCACGACGAAATTTATACTCATGAGACTAAGAGTATGTATATTCAAACATGAGAGTCAGTGCCATGATTACGTTTGAACCAAACAGTTGGTAAAGCATAACATAGCCTACACTGACCTGATCTTCATCTTCATCTTCGATATCATGACCTTGTGCCATCAAATGCTTTTGGCGTTCACGATGCTCACGTACAGCACTTGCTGAAGCATCCGTTGGAGTATAGAATGCCATGGTAAAATCCGTATCATCTTCAGGATTTGCAATGGGTTTGATAATAGCTCGATCCAGTTTGAGATCGTGTTCATACTCGGTTCCCTAAAAATAGAATTTCAAATAGTAGCATGACAGATTTAATGGCCAGATCCTACATGATTTGACAGCAATAAAACAAGCCACACTTTGTAGTTTTATACAATTAAATCTCTTTAAAGCCGTGTGCTTACATCAGCATCAGTAGCTCCACCACCAGGCGCTCGAGAAATCGGATCATCATCAAAAGTAACAAGCTGATATAAATTAGGCCAAAACTCAAAATCAGGATAAATAGGGAAAATCTCTACGAGTTTGAGATCCGGATTGGTTGGATGTTTGAGATTGCTGAGAGTTGCTGCCGCTGCTGTTTCAAATGTGTTTTCAATGGCCAGCATTTGAGCCTCTTCAGATCTGTCCATAAGACTGCTAAGATGCTTATCCTTTTTAATAGAAATACCCATTCTAAATCCAATTCATTCAACAATTAGATCCTTGAGTAGCAGCAGACCAAATATACGTCAAGACACTTGCAAATACAACATGATATTCTACAGACTTACTTTGTTTCAACACCTGTATCGGCTCTACGACCGTATGTTTTGCCTTCAACTGCAACATATTCTGTCCGCCGTAGCCAAGGAACGACAGGGCGTACACGAGTAGCCTCAGCATTATCAGAAGCAAGTTTTGCATCCACAGGCGGAACCAGCAATTCAAGATCTTCTGGATCAAGCGCATCTGGGTTGGGTTGTAGTAAAGCAGCTAAATACAAATCCATCACATAGCGCATTCATACAGATCAATGACTATTCTCGAACAGGTGTGAGATGCACATAGAAGCAGTGACAAGACTGACTGAGTTGCATAGAATAGATAGGTACCATGAGGGTTACGGAATGCATTCTCCAAATATCCATGTGCAAGTAGGTTCAAAGGAAGTCCGTTTTCATCATCAGCAGCATACACGAGGTGTGGAGTGGACGCATACAAGGAATTGTAAGTGTACTTGTAGTGACGGTCTTTTGGAAACGGATGTTCTAGCAGCTTAGGATCAAAAGGGATTTCTGGCAGAGTGTTCCTATAAGATAACTTGAATGCAAAGTCTTGAAGAACTTTTCTATTGATAGATCCGGTAGTGATTTGGGATATTTCAAGTTTACATTGCAGTTAGCATTACTGTTCAAAACACTTGCATATAATCATTTGCCATTGAAAAATCTGTACTTTGGGTTGGACATGATTGCTAGCAATGAAGTTCAAGCTCGATAATGAATTATAATTGTATTCACGTAAAGTGAACTACAAAAAAGGGCGAAAAAATACATAATCAGCCAGTCTTATGATTGGCGTTAATATTGTTGGACAAGACTGTTGTTTGGACTTATTAAAGTTGGTTTTTAGTGATTGGCATGTGTGGTTGCATTTCTGAGACTACAATTCTTGTCTTTTTAAATTAGAGCGCGAGTGTATGAGTTTTTAGGATACAAAGATAAGACCAAAACAAGACTTGTTGATTGCAATCCAGATACTGAATTGAATTAAATCTGGATTAAATCTGGATTAAATCTGGATTAAATCTGGATCAAATCTGGATCAAATCTGGCTTCAAACTCTATAAACTTGGTAAGCAGCCAAAGTGTGCTGCAAGTATCACGTGATATTAAAGAGCGTAGACGTTCAAATTGGCACTAAATAACAGTTGAAAGTGCAAACAGACATAACCAAACATTGGATCAAATATTGTGGATAGAAAAAGTTTAAAGTGTCATGTCTGTTACTGAAAACAATAATGCATTGCTTTTTAAAGATATGCTGTTTGCAATTGCCGTCAATATCCATAAAGCTGAGCGAGATCAGGTGCCATTTTACTTTTTAATAATCATGTTGATCATCTATAGCATTGACGAATCAATCGTATATTATCAGCCTTCCTTCTACAATCCATACTATTAGTTTAAATGATTACAATTTTATTTAAAAACCATGGTTTTAAATATCGTTTAATTGTGTCTTGCAAACACTGACATGCATTATCACTATCGGACTATAGATTTCAAGCCTATTAAAATCACATGGAGGTTTAGTTCTTTCCAATCGCTATCCAAGTATAGGTTTTGAAAACCCAGCTTTAAAATCTAGTTTAGAGCCTTTATCAGACCAATCCGTCACTTATTCCACAACCAATGCTTCACTTTCGTCCAGCTATCCTGAAGGAACATTAATCATCACCAAAGAATTGCTACCTATTAATAGTGCTAAAAATCTCCGTCAAATTACAGTAAGAGTACTTGTCATGCAGTGTCAATGTTGTATTGCAATTTACCAGTCATTCAAACTTGATTTCCTCGATGCATTTATTGAATTTTTCACAACAAATCCAACTATGCAGCCACTTTGGGTGGACAAGGTTATACTACATAAGAGATTTTGCGGGTACGTTGTATCATTTTAAATATGGCTTGCATGAGCCATGTTGGATTACACCTGCTAACATAAACCACTTATTTTATGCATTTCGCTCAGACCCGAGTTTTATTCTCCAGATCCTGTCAAATTCTGCTCGGGAATTGTTGCTTATTGCGAAGATCAGGTTTGTCTTGCAATCTATACCAATTTTCAAACAGCATACGTGTCTGTGTTGTCCTTAAATTTGCTGATACGGTGTATTTTAGATTCCAACCTGTGATGTCGAAGTTATATATGGTGGTTTGGAAGCATTTGGAGGTCAATGGAGAACAAAACTGACGGATGATACAACTCATTTGATTGCACTTTCTGATACCACTGTAAGACATTTATTTTTGTGCGTGTTCAGTCACCATTGAAATCTTGGTATATTTGCCAATGTTTAGTCACATGTTTCCTTGGGATGAATACGAATAGGAAACCTCACGCAAAGCGCAAGCAATGAAATCCGTCAAGATTATTCTACCTCATTACTTTGATGATTGCTTTTTATTACGTAGATATTGCCCAGATGATGCATATCTGTTTCCTAATCCGCGAATTCGTGCTAAAGATATTCGCGATGTTTTCTCTGCAAAGGCTGAAAGTCTATCAGCCATAGATTCAGAACTAGCTGCTGCAAGTCTTGCATCAGCAAAAGTAGATGACCCATTTTTGCAAGGCCACACTTTGTTTATAGATCCAATTTCTCGAAAAGATTCTCATCTGACTCAATTTCTAGATAGTGTAAAAGAGGCTGGTGCGACCATTAGTTCCATCTACGAATCTGGGAAAACCACCATTGCAGTCATGGATTTTCAAAATAATATTTATTTTCGGCAAGCTTTGATAGACGGTGTGATTGTTGGAACATTTAGATGGCTTCAAGCCATTGTAGCTACAAAAGCAATCAGTTCTCCCCAATTAGCACCCTTACATTTTCCACGACCAGCAACACCAATCAAAGGAGCAGATCAGTTGGTAACTAATTTCAAAACTTGTTTGGGCATTTTACTGATTCCATCAACTAATCCTACTATCTCATGAGTTTAGATCATTAGTGTTTCAAACTATGCAGGCACTGCACGCGAGGATATTGCAACAATGGCGGTTCATATCGGAGCCCAGTTTACCAGATCTATGACCAATTCCAACACACATCTTGTTTGCTCTAGGTAAGAGTAGCATTTGTAGACTGTTTGCAAACAATGGCAATTAGTTTTATCTACTTTTTGACGCTAATTGATGAATTTGACTATTAATAGTCAAACTGGTACAAAATACATTAAAGCACTTGAATGGAACATCCATATCGTCAATCATTTATGGATTGAAGAAACATATGTTCATTGGGTGCTACAGCGTGAAACCAAACCAAGCTATTTCAGATTCACCTTTTCCTTATGCAGCATTGTGAACAAAACTCCTGTTGAATTCCAGTTGCCGCCATTGGAGTTTAGCGCTAATCTCGTCGGATCAATCAAGCCGGCCGATTCTAGCTCTTCAACTCCAAACAGGACACTAACTAAATTGGGTTCCTCTTTGACTTCTTCATCGGTTTACCAAAAAACAACTCCAACAATAATTGATAGTGCAATTAGCAATCAGAAGGGCTCAAAAAAATTTAAAGCTTTTGCAAATGCCAGTCAATCAGTTTCTAATACATCTCATTCTGCCAATTTGATTCCAGTAGTCAATACTGTGCACCAATTGCAGACTGCTAAAAATTCTTGTAATTTAAATCATAATCAGTCAAGTACTGCGCTGCACGTTGAGCCAACAGCACATCAGACATCTTTAAAAAATGCTTTTGAAAACTCGACTCCACTTGCAACAGCTCCCACAATTTCCATTGACGTGGATCCGGTAAAAGAAATTTCGTATATACAAAAGCTGTCATTGATACCGGAACGTGAACAAACGCTTATACCCCGAGCACAACTTCTACTCGATCAAACTCCTAACGAGGCTCAAACTTTGTCTAAATCATCTGTTGCATCATCTAAATCCGAACCATGCGATAAATCTAGACAACACAAAAACCAGCACGAGGTGTTCAACACAGTAGCTAAAACAGCTAATGTGTTGGAAACTACTTTTGCATCAAACCAATATATCCAGAAATCAGTCTCATCCAATAGGCCTACACGTCTTGAAAAGCCAAATAGCACTACTAAATCCTGCGCATCGACTTTTGAGCAAGAGTCGCAAGCGGTTTTAATTCACCCAACCAAACCATTATGCTTTGATGAAAATCAGCCGAATCGTGAATTTTCGAATACGCAACAGGCAGAGACAACAAGTGCAACCACTTTAAAACGAAAACGATTGCAAGTTCAAGTCACGCCTACACCAGTACCCAAATCTCAAACAGTGTTCACTACCACCATGTTCAGCATTCCTATCCAGCATAAAAAGGTAGATCCATGCTTTACGTATTTTTAAACTTTGATCTGATACCATGAATCGACCCGCTGGCATGTTTCTGTAGATAACGGAAAGTTTGAATTAACATTACATTTCAACGTGTAAACAATTTAGATCATGCTGAAGCTTGGCGCAGTAGCTGTGGATCACATGGACTTTACATGTCTTGTAGCTTCGAAAATTGTTCGTACAACCAAGTTTTTGGTTGCCGTGATCCAAGGAAAGCCTATTGTACATCCAGGATGGGTATTGGACAGTATTTCAGCAAACACACTTCTTCCCACCTATAAATATATCCTCAAAGACAAGGCTGGCGAAGATCGGTTTCGTATAACGCTCTTTGAATCCATTTCCAAAGGTATAGCACGTCCACTTCTTCGGAACATTGTGGTGTACTTTACAGTAAAAGTAGTCAATGTGATTGCACAAGATGTGGTTGAAATGTTGGTGCGCTTAGCTGGTGGATCTTCTGTGTTGATTGGATTCGGTCGAGTGCATGAAGAGAAGGTCAGGGCATTGAGAAAAATGTGCTTGAGAAGGGATACATGCACAAACGTGGTGATTGTGTATTGTAATGGCGAGTCTATTGGCGACTATGGTATCGTGCCAAAAGGCGACGGCCAATGGCCAGTGATTGTTTCTGAAAGCGATTTTATGAATTGTTTTTTGCGACAGTCACTTTCAATAAACTAGCCAATAATATTTGAAACAAAACTCAATAATTTGCTAGATGCAATCATATTAAAGATATTTATTTATCGATCATGTAAAAATGTCCACAAAGCATAGGCATATTGATCGAATAAACAAAACGAACAACGTTGAAACACATCCTACACCAAACACACCATGATCTAAATTAGATCATGATTTAATATTCGCAAAGTTTCCACGTGGTATCTGCCCATATTCTTATAACGACAGCCACAGGATATCAGTGCGGTAGCTCTCCATCAAATCAACAATTCCAAAAAATACAAATAAAGATTAATACAACAACTCGGGTATATAGACAAAACCAACATCACAGTCATTAACACCGAAAATAAGTAAAGGGTTCATTCCATGCGTAGTGAATCTGATTGTAAACTAATACTATAAAAATTGGAAACTAAATCCTGTGGTAAAAATACAGTAAGTCATAGTTTGAAAGATGCGCTACAAAATAAAAAGCCAAACTTACTCATTTTTGTGGCTGAAAGCTTTTTGCTACAAACATTTTGGTGAGAGTTGGACCGGCAAACTGGTTAATCTGTTTACAATAGGTATCAAGCTGGTTTGAGATGATCAAAGTCTCAAGCCGGCTGGGCTCATTTGAAGCAACCTTTGCAAATGATGACAAAGGAACTTTGAGATCTTCCTCGTGATGAATGGGTGGATTTCCGGCAGCAATAGCCGCGGCGTTGTCTGCGTTCATCTGGGAAATGTGGTGTTGGGATCTAATTTGCTCCTTATTGAAGCTGCGTTGCCAACCCTGCCATCTCCATTGCTCTTGACCATGCTCTTCGACAGACTCTACCATGCGTTCAAGATGCTTTTCAAGATATGTTTCCGAAGAAAGTTCAAGGTTGTCAAAATTGGGGGTTAAAGGAGCCGCATCACTTGATAGGTGAGATGCAAATTGAAACGAGGGGAATGAAAATGCGGAGCAAGTTGTGGAGGAGAGGTTGGATTGATTGCTCACTTCTAACAAGGCGGTATTAAGCAAATGGGAACTGGAAATTTTAAGGGGGATAGTTTCAAATACAGATCCAGGTGTGAGTTTGTGCTCGAGAATGTTTTCTGTGGAAAATTTGCGAGTCTCGTAGACCTGCATGAATGTGTCGGAAAGTCGAAGCGCCTTGAGTGACAAATTGCCCTGAGAAGTTCCCGAGGGATCATAGATAATCATAACGGCATGTGGGGAATTTTTTTGATAGTTGTACTGTGCATCAATGATGGCTTGGTTCCAATATGTGCCCATATATGTCGACTGATACCAACCAACCGAATTAGCGTCAAAGTTGAGAGCACGCAAACAGCATAGCATTTGTGTTTGATAGTCAGTGCCATCAAAAACATCCTCTTTGGCAGCAGCCTCAGTGATGGATAGATCTACAGTAGGAGAGGTGGTGCTGTCCGCCACGGGGGGAGGAGCCGTAGCATGAGATGTAATAAGATCTATAGCACCAGTAGCACCACCACCCACAGCAGCTTCAGCAGTAAATGGAAAGGCATTGGTGATCTGCAGCTTTCCAACAGCATCAATACCTAGCAGCTGGCCAGAACAGGTGGCTGGAAAGCCATCTTTGCAGTGCTTGATGATCTTAAGAGCAGCAAGAGCATTCAACTCGACTGACGAGATCTTCTTATTAACCAGCATAGCCTTCTTTGCTGCATGGCTCCAATCCACAGCAGGAATCTCAGGAGGAAGATCCAAGATAGTGGAGGGTTCTACAACATCAGGACTGGGTGTAAAGGCAGCAGCAGTAGCAGCTAATAAGGCAGCAGTTGTGGTCATATTTATAGCCCTTCTCAATACAAACAAGAATAAGAACAAGGGCAGGGACGTCAAACAAAAACAAGGACGGAACGACAATCAAGCAACAACAAGAATGCCAAAGTTATAAAAAGTAGTGAAAAGAAAAAAATCCAAAATACAACTTAAAGTGTGTTGCTTTGATTGGCTACTTCAAAACAACTCGCTTTGATTGGCTGGTTTTGAAAATTGATAAATTGATTCAAGATCATTGGTGCGATTCAGATCTAAGAAATTCACTGCTTTTGTCCTTGTAATTCCACCAGCACTTTGCGTAGTGCAGCCTCTGGCAGAGTGCAGTTTCTCATCAGCTGCACAAGTCTCGTTGCCAATTGCATACGTTTTTTGGACTCTTTTTCTTCTCGACTTTTCTCGTTCATTCTCGTCAATATTTCTTTTTTTTGTTGGATCTGGTCATATACATCTGTATTAGTACATATGCAACAAGCAGTGTCTACATGCCCAAAAACAAACTCACCAAATCAGAAACTTTTTTGGCACAGCTTAAAATATCTGCATTGAACCCAACAGCTTGAGCTGCCAACAACCCATACCCATTGATCGTGCTCACTCCTGGTTTAACTTTGAATGAAAACGACATCCCTATGCTATCCAGATCTTGATTTCGTGCCACAATTGTGCTAGCATGTAGATGCAATACAACAACGCCCGTGGTATCTGCACCTACAAATATTTTGGCAAGCTGCTCAAAATGCGTCACCAGAAACACAAATGCATTCGTCGTGTTCAGCAACTGTTCACAAATGGCAAAGCAAACTCCAAACCCATCACTTGTCGATGTACCACGTCCAAGCTCATCAATAATCACCAAACTAGATTCTGTCACATTGGATAGTATAAATGCTGCTTCACGCATCTCACACATAAATGTAGACGAATTTGCTTCAAAACTATCATCTGTTCCAATACGTGAAAACAGACAGTCCACTAGTCGCACTGAAATATACTCTGCTGGCACAAATGTTCCGATCTGTGCTAAAATACTCAGTAGTGCAATTTGTCGAAGGTATGTTGTTTTCCCACTCTGTTTAAATGGAAAACGATTATAAACCAAATTTTAAAACTCGAAAAGCAAAATCATTGGTCGCTTACCATATTTGGTCCTGTGATGATCTGCAATCTACTAGCAGAATCTGCAAACACATCATTTGGGACAACTTTAATTGCTGTATTCCCCATTGAAATAAGAATGGGATGGCGACCATTTTTGATTGCAAGTGTGTTTGTAAATTCTGGTCGAATGCCATTCCACGATTTCGCCACTGCAGCAAAAGAAACAATCATATCCAATAGCGCCAAAGTCTCTGAAAGTTGATATAGCATAGATAGATACTCTCGTATTTGCGCAGTAAGATCAAACATAATTCTATTTCACGCAATAATTAGTTGATTGAATTGCTACCGAGCGTGCTTTATCAAAATATCTCGGCCATAATAGATTCATACTTGTCTCCCATCAAATACACTTCAGTCAGTGATTCCTGTATGCGGTCATTTTGACTCATCTGGTTTGAATGTTCAAATTGTCATTATATGGCTAAATTGGGACAACTGGTACGCTGGATACCGTCGATCAAAACATAATATAGTAAATAGACTCACCAACTTTAAAGAAGTAAATGTAATTTGCTTGCGCTTTTTGGTAGAGTTGATAAACTCGGCAGGGAGCCTTTTGTTTTGAACAGAAATAAAATCCTCCCCCAACTGCATCTGATACTGACTTGTAGGTGTATATACAAGTTTGATTGGCAGGTTGTATGTGTTTGAATACAATTTTACAAGATCGTGCACATCAGCAGTAGCTTCTTTGAATGTCTGTCTTGCTGAATAGTACAAAAGTCATGAAAATACACAAATTAACTGGAGGCTATTAAAATGTATTAAGCTTGAGCAATATGTGCTTACCAACGTCCAAGAGACCATTAAATCCAGATCTTACAGCAAAACACCGTTGATTACGTAGTCCTATTGCAGACTTTTCAAACTTGACATTTTTGTTGATAACTTTGTCGATAGTTAAAATCAGCTCGTTTATAGACGGTTGATTCAAAGCCTATGCATTACACGTCAGCTACAATCAGCATTATAACGGCATCTATGTCAAATCAAACATGATATACCAATTCTAGTGCAGCCAATAATGCCGAGGTGGGTGCATTCAGACACGTTACTAGCGGCATTGTTTGTAGTAGAATGTGTTTAAGTATAATAATGTTGTTGATTGCTTGCTCAGAGTACTTGATTGTCTGTTTTCTATTAACTTGAATCAACTGGTATCAATATGAGCAATATGAGCAATAGTCGCAAATAATAGGAATCATTTTTAAAGTCACATACTGAACTAATCAGATGATCAATATCGAGGAATCCCTTGAGTACTATTGGTTGATAAAATAGCAAAATTATAAGGAATCTGTATATTCCCAATCATTGAATGATTGTATTAGCTACACGTGCAATAAACTGTCACTTGCCATCTTGTAAAGTACTGATCATGGCTGGATTATTCACTAGAACTGTGTATTTAGAATTCTATAGTTAAAAGCTATGCAGTAGTTTAAACCATCACCATACTAAATATTCCACCTTGAACTGCATCTAGCCGTGCATCCAGTGTTGCTATATCTATGGTTAATTTAAATTCAGTGTGATTGTTGAATGCATATATGACTCATTCAAGCACATACCAAACAGAGGCTGAAGAACACTTATTCTTAGCAAACGTGCTACAAATTTTGGAAAGCATCACAACTCATTCGAATCAATACACTACTCGATTTCAACTACGTGGCATCATATACTATGGTGGTAGCATACCTCCCATTGATGTCTTGGTTTTATTCAGCGCGCCAAAAAGAGAATTCTTGCTTTGCCTGTCGCGCAGGTTGTATACCAATTCTAGATTGCGTGCTGTTGCAGGATCTACAATTATAGAGTCCAACAGGCTATAAGCACGCAAATGCATAGAGTACTATAGTTTGATCAAACACATGAATAGAATCAAGCAATCCTACCAATCATCATAATTCCATCAATGGTGACAAACTTGAATTTGAGTGAACGATTGGTAAATACAACATTCTGAACTTTTTCAATATATTTGATCAGAGCAGCAAGTGCAGATAAACAGTAGCATCTAATAGATCAAAACATTTTGATTGAGACGTATAATAATAAAGCATTCTAGCAATCTGAAACGCCTAAAACAAAATCAAATTACATTTACTTTGTAGATAGGCCAGGAATCAAAGATTCGGTGTGTGCATAAAGACCGAGCTGTCTCACAGCAGCCAGTCCAGTCACGTCGTTGAAAAACTTGCGATTGAAGGCAACAATGTCACTGTCAGGCATACCCTGATCAATCAGCTGGTACAGCTTTGATGGGGTGGGTTCTATTGCAGTTGTTGCAAGAATGATCTGTATAGGATCAAGTGTACTAAGCCAATGCAGCGTTTTGGTATTTGTTGGGGTATCTCCGTACTGTGAGACAATACACTCGCTGGTGCGTAGATCTATAGCAGCAAACCCAACCTCACTAACCACTCCTCGACCTTGAACAAGACAAACATGAAAGCATGATAGGTGTTGTCTGGTATGCGCAGTGCCTGGTCGTGCTGCTGATGAGGTAAATGCGGTCGAATAACTAGCAGTCGAGCAAATAGCTGTACTTGAACGAATGTGATCTTTGTTTGTGGATGTAGTACTCGATGCGGTTGTATCTACCATGACTGCAGTAGATGGTGGCAGACTTGTTGAAATATCCATGCAGAATACTCTCAAGTGGTAATATGGTATAATGCTAATCCTAGTAGCTTCCACTTTACACCTAATTAAACTTTATCAATCCACATGGTCGTGTCACAAGACATGAACAATCAATTACTACAAAACTGAACATAACTCTCTCTTATTAATAAACAACTTTCCAAACTAATTCAATCTTATTACTAATTTATTATATCTTTTCATTACTCTTGAAAGAATAAAGTCTGTTGATCTTGAGTTATTATGCAACTTTTATAACTACTGACAGTTAGACTATATTTTATATCTCTTTGCTATCAATAATTAAAGATAGGAAATACAAATGGAAGCTGCTAAAGGCATGCCATGATTGCATAGCGTGTCTTGTTAGCAATCGCCCCATTTAAGTCAACTTGTTCAGTGAATTATAGTCAAAACAACCAACAAAGTTAAATCAACTTGTTAGATTATACACAGTATTGATACAAATAAATAATAAATTGATTGATAGTTGTTGATCATAGTATGCTGCTTTAATAGTATTCAGACTTGGTTACAATTCACACCACTAGAAAATATCTCAACAAATCCATCTGTCTAGTTCAGCAAAACTTTTTAATCACGGATTAACCTCTGTCATGGACCAATCCCCCTCTTTGTTGGCCGCATATACCAATCGAACTGGCGGACTGGCGTGATTGGGTGCATACACAAGATGCTCAACTCGGGTTGGCTTGAATACCAACAGACAAAAACTGTCAAATGCACTGTTATGTGCCCATCTGAGCTCATCTTCTGGATTAAGTGGTTGGTTAGGCTCGGATGCAGTAATACAGGATTGTGAAGGGGTAGTGCCATCCGTGGTTGAAAGACGGCCCGGAGAGCTATTGGGAGTGCCATTACTTGCCCCAGAAACATTTGTGTTGCTACCAAAAGATCCTGTAATACTATAGGTTCGGTTCACGGATGTATGATTGGTGGTAGTATCTTCAATTGCATCAAGCCGCGTGTATTTAAATCCAACATTATGTCCAGGTGTCAGCACTTTGAGAACAGGATCTTCATATACTGACCAAGATGACGTTTCAGAAAGCTTCCTCTGCTCCCCAGGAGGAGGCCAGGAAAAACAAACTCGATATGTTGGGCTGATTTTCTTCCAGAGTCGTAATCGTTCACCTTCCCAAAAGTCTTCGGGTGGAGCATTGCCAGTCACGCCAATTTTTTTTGGTGGTGTACCGAATCTGTACGAGAAATTGGGTGCAGGTACAAGAAAAACTCTTCCTGTGAATGTATAATTTTCGTTTGTCTTTGGCATTGACCTAACATACAATGTATTCATATCAAAATCAGTAAGCAAAAACTGGACATTTTGATGTGGCGTATTGGACAATTGAATTGTCACGAAACGAATTTGAATGGATAAACAGGCTTTGCAATACATGAAAAGTGACCATCATGTTGCAGACCATTGTAAAACTAGAAAGATAGGAAAGTAAATATTGGGCTAAGATACAATATAGTGGTCAAGTCTGTCCTATAAGCCTTTGCAGGGTCAATAGCTGATATACATGTATCCTATAAGCTGGTTTAAACAGCAACTCATGATCAACACAGTAAATAGCTTACCAATACAAGACATGGTTTTTAGTTCCCTTGAGAGAGCTCATTAGGTCAGCATTGCGGGCAGCTCCTGAAAGAACAATGATTTTGTTATCGGTTGGAAATTGCTCATGGAATGCAATCTCGTGAATAGCAGGTGAGCCATCCTGTTTAACTGAAGCCAATGGGATTCGGACTGTTTGCATGAAGCAGATAATCAAGATGGGATAAATAAACAGAGCAACATAGCATTGCATTGTGTTAGTAGATGAATTTTACACATGATTGCGAATGATGAATGGTCAATCCAGTTGCAGTGGCTTGACCATTATCAGCCAAAGTCGGCTCCAAGCGCAGCAGTAGCTCTCCCAATCCATTGTGTTGGGTTAAAATAGCCTTACCAGTCTCTTTTGAAGTGCTTTCATAGTTTTTGCTGATGCTGATTTTCAAGGATTTTACCCATGCTGGATCAGCCATATGTTGGTATGCTACTTGAAAATTGAAATGTGGCAACACTGTCAGAGAAAATGCAAACTGAAGCGAATTTTCGCTTCTTGCTCACATCACAATAGTCCATCACGTTACCTATTATTTATCCTTTCTAGCCCAATTTCTTATACACCTACCAATAAACTGGAATGTGATTTAAATCTATAGACCTCAATGAATATGCAGTTTAATTACTGATACAACAGTATCAGACTTTAGCACTACATGTTTTTAACAGTGAATATAAAGCAAGAGGCCTGAAATTCAAATCATTGTATATAAGATTCTTGCGGCTAGTGGCGAATTCATGCAAGAGTATATCACTGATGTGACTAGAAAGAAGCTTTTTGATTTCTTGCAAAAAATAATTTGCGACTTTATTGCAACCACCTCGAACAACTAAACGAACCGATCATTCTCTATCGAGTCGCTAATCTCCAGCCCTCGACATCTTACAGGACTAATATCTTTGTCTATTCGTGATAATCCATATGTATTTATCATAGCATAATGCATGCCTTTTATTTCACAGATCCTAGTTGGCAAACCAATCCAATCCAGCTATTCGAGCTCAACATATATCTACAGATACCATTATATTGCAAGTCAAATTAATTGTCATTTCATCTGATCCATCAGTGGGAAACTACTCTAATAACTATAAATCTACTGAAAAACATGCCATTTGTCTTTATAAACTCATCTTTACTGTATCCTAAAATCTCAGATATGTGTAGTTCAAAAAACAATGATTGCACATTTCAGGAATACATTGTTATTTCCATTCCGATTACCAGGAAAATATCAGCCAACTTTAACAAGTTCAAAGAGCACAATGTTGTCCAGTAAATTGGCACTAATCATTTCATGGGACTGGCGGTTTATTATGTATTTTAGCACCTTTATTTAATATTCCATTCTACATGAATACGGTTATAGACTCTTGACCAAGCAATAATGGGAGCTGCCATTTTGATGTGCAAATTAGGGTACGTTATGGTTAACCTCGGCACCGTCATAATTCTTTTGAAAATGGTAAATCAATAGTAGCGCTTTAACAATACGATGAAAGGGCACAAATCGATACATGATAAATATTGCTAGCAAGCTAACCAACGCCATTCCACCCAGCTGAGCAAGTGACGATCCTTGCCGATTCATTGCAATCGAATCATCCCCAGCCTGCAATGTAATGCCTATCCAGTACCCGAGCATGCATACCAGCACCATAAAAAGCACAAATACAAACATCTCAATTCCCAAGACCCATAAGCAATGCCGTAATCTCTTTACAGTAAAAGTAGATACCCTGATGCTTGGCAAGGATAGTAGGTATGCTGTAGCTTCAGGGTTGCCGCTATACACCGATGCATAGAGTGGTAGTCCATTCCAAGCATTAATCAAATCGGCAGAAGTTTGCTCCAGAGACGATACAGACACACCAGGTGTTGACGTGAACGGATATGTCAATCGATGCATCTCCTCGTTCTTTACACATCGGGAAATAATAGCCTCTGCTGCACCTGGAACACCCAGTTCAATACTGGATTTCAGCATATGTGCTGCGGTACGTTGGAAATCCGTCTCATTTAGACTTTGAATACATAGCTTAAGATGATTTGCAAAGCGTGATCGATTACCAAGACATACACGCCAGATACCTGCACGTGTAATGATGCTTTGCACCATTTCAATTGAAGCTGATACCCCAGCTTCTTTAATAAGAATATTAGCAATATCAATATGATTTTGGGCAAGCGCACACGACAATGCAGCTGACAATGTTTTATAAGACACTTTGCCTCGTTTGATTTTCGTATTGAACCATGAGTTTTGTGATTGTAATCTTTGACGGGTTTCATCCAAGGTTGTCGTATCTAGTCCAAGAAGAATTCGAATAAGCGGCATATGATGGGAAAAAACAGCTTGATAAAAAATAGATCTTAAAATATCCGCATCGTACTCCCAGCTATCGTCTGGAAACAGGCTTGCTACACCGACTCGAAACAATGCATTGGGATTTTCAAGATTTACTTCATCTGGAACAGTGGTGAATGCTCGAAAAGAATTTGCATCGTTTTCCGAGACAAGCGAGTCCAGGTTTTGACTTGTTTCGTGGTTTTGATTTGAGTTGTTTAAAGCATGTGTAGTGGTTGTATTCCAATCGAATGTGTTCCCAATCACAGCAATATTGATATGCGATTGTTCGGCAAGAATAAAATGATAAGGTACAATGTGTTGAGAATTTTGGGGATTTAAACTTGGTGGTGCCGATCCTGAATCTCGAAAATACTGATTGTGCCGATATCGGCTGAATTGTTTTTGGCGAAGATTATAATGTGGTAGCATTTGCTTTGATTCAAAAAACAGGTTTAGTTTGTATGTCGCTTCTTTTAATGCCAAAGCACTCTTGTATGGAGATATTCGGGCTGTCGAAAGTCTATGGCGTCCAATCCGTGCTTCTGGATTTGCTCCTAGAAGTAATACTAAAGCTACTAAATTTAAATGGCCATATTGTACTGCCATGCAAAGAGTCAAGTTATAGACTGAGGAAATATCACCGCCATAGTAAGCTAAACATGATAAGAGTTCCATTTGGTATTTTTCAAGAGGACAAATTGAAGCAGTTTGTGGTTTTTGTGGTATAGGGATTGTAGGCCGAGTATCTAGATGTTGATGAGCTGCATCATGTAGCGGTTGAACCAGTTCACTTATTTGTAGAAACGATTCTTTTTGGCAAGTAAATTGAGCGAGGTTACACAATGCGTTCCAGGAAAATGGCCATTGGTGATTTGATTGAGTTTGATATTGAGAAGCCCTAACAGCAACTTTGTCGCATTTGCATCCACATTTCCCATTTACGCAGTGCATGAACTTATAGTTCCACATCATTGCCATTGCTTCCGCTTGACTATATCGATATAATAGCCATTTAGCCCGATAATGGTTGTTGGACGCGACCTGATAGAATGCGCGGTTGATGGTGGATAGATGAGGGTTACTTGATAAAATACCGATGCATGATATAATTTCTAATGGTAAGTGCAGATTCTTGCGACGATTTAGAGTCATTGATGAAGCTGGCTGGGATTGTGGTTGTTTTTGGCTAAACAAGGGCATCTATTTAGCTATGGTTGTAAGTTGGTACAGTATTGAAAGTAGATATAGTGTCTTCCCTGTCGCTAGCTTGAATTAACATTTTTAATGTTGAATTTCAAGAGCAAACATTTGCAACTCGTGATGTTTGCACCAACTCCGCCAGCTATACTCATGTGTATTTGATGTTCTTACTGTGGTTACTATTGTCCATAATGGAGAATGCTCTAATAATGTCAAGTGGCCAATGTTAACATATCTATCAGCTTATCATCATGTATAGGCGAAGCAGTGACATTGATCGCGGTTTCGATATACCAAGCATCAAGCTACGCAATCAATTGGGATGACCCAGAACTGCTGTTGGCAAGATGCACCGGAACGTTAAAAGAATGGGCACTGATTGGTTTTAAAAGGTAGGACAGGTTTGTATATACTTTAGTGGTATCAAAATAATAACTATTTGTGGCGGTGGCAAATGAATCAACATAGTGGTGGCCGAATGTGGAGGTGGCTAAAATGGCGAGTCTATGCAGCCTAACCAAAACTGCTACCTTTATCTAAAAAGATGGGCTGGTGATGACGTAGTTGGTTTCTGCTTTCAAAGTGACCCTAATTTCAACAACAAAGTAAATGCGGATTGGAAAAGTACCACCAAGGCTATTCAATGTGGTGTGCCAAACCAGATATATGCTGTATTTTTAAATGAATGCTCTGATTGCTCAGATTGGCTAGAAGATCATAAAGTAGACCGTCACTTTTAGTGCATCATTGGTTTACCAAAAATATGAATACGACAGCATTCAAGTGTCAAATGAAAGTACATGGTTATATTCGAGCTGTACAAGTTTCAACTTTCGTGTTTAATAGTAGGCTGGAACTGTCTAGATTTACCATCCAACCAAGACTATGGAATAGATTTTCAACACAGAGCTGCACCACGCATCAAAAAATAGATGCATTGAATTGAACCAACACAAAAAAGCGCCCATCGCTTGACATTGATGACGTCTAGAATGTATGAATGATATTCAGTAGATGAAATCCAAGTGCCACGCTTTGGCGACACTGCATCAGCTGGAATTACGGCAGAGCTCAAGTCATCAACTCTGTATGATGGTCGTAACCATTACTTCCATCTATCGGTTTACTAAATGTCCATCAACATATTTAAACTATGGGGTGACTTTTGCAGCTGTTGTGGTTTGGGTGCTCATCTCACTCTGATTATCACCAATCAAACTTGGATCGTCAAATGGCTGCGGTTGTTTTACTACTTGAAATGGGAGGCGGCATTTTGTAACAATCTTGACACAAACACAAAGTGGATTTGACGTTCTATATAAAGTCGAATCTTGCCCTGCTTCTAGAACCAAGCAAATATACTCTTGTTTCGTGTTTTCGATATCCCATTTATCTATACTGCACACCGCCAGTACTCTTAATAAAAAACCATGGCTAGCTCCTTTACATCCGCCAATTCGTCCATCCAGCCTCAGCAGCAATCGCAGTCCCATGGCTTAACAACACGCAAAATCAGTATCGATGCACCCATTGCCATGCCGCTTCCCAAACGTATACCAAAACTGCCACGCATTGTTCGTTTAAATGGACACGGGCATTATCACGGCAGCCACAGTTTCGGTAACATTGCAGGTATCAAGGCCGGTTGCACCAATCAAGCTTTAAAGTGCCTAAACGAGGGCAATATGCTTGCCAATAGCTTAGAACAATCCCGAAGTCCTGCAAATGACAAGGACTACCAGTTTTCTCCTGAGCTGCATCATGTTCGTCCAGTCTACCCAAACAAGGCAAGTCACCATCATCCTATTCTTCATCAACGCCCCAACTTGGAAGTTAATCCTCCTCGTCGACCAAGCTCTGCTCCTCTGCGACCCTACCGACCTGCCGATCCCATATTTGACAATCGATTGGAAATCAATTTTGCAAACCTTGCTATCAAGAATACAGATTTCCCATTTGCAAATACAACACAGACATCTAGCCCGGTTGTTAAAGCAACTTCGTCCCCACTGTCGCAATTACTCCCAAACGTGCACCACTCATCTCCTAAACTGACAGTTCCTGTTCCAGAAATTGCTCGCTTTGCTCCTGGAGATGAATGGGATGTACGTGATTTGAAATCTGAGGTCAATTCTGCCATTGAACTTGATGGAGAGAGTGATGACAGCCAGGATGAAAGTAGTGACTACTTTGAAAGTTACACCTACCCTCTGATTCCTACTCCAATATCTGATGTTGAAAGTATGGCTAAAGAGTCTGTTCATTTTGATGCTGTTGATGCTCTCTCCGAACTGCAAACCATTATGATGACAGTGCCTCGTGTTGCCAATCCCTTTCCGAATCGTACTCGTGATAGGAAACCATCAGTTCCTTTCTTGAATTTCCTGAACGATTACAATAACGAGACAACCCATTATGCCATCCCAGCTCTTGCTTCTGGTCCCGTGTCTGCTGTATCGCCCATCTCCTCGGATGGCAGTTATCGTACAAGAGTAATTCCCAATATGATAATTCACACTGTACCAGGCGGTAATTCTCGTGCTACTACACGAATCTATCCTTCTAAATTGCATTCGCCTTGCCTTGCTGACAACCCACTGAGTCCATGGAACACTACCACTGGTGCACTGAAATGTATTCCAGATTCGCGTATTGCTTAAATAGACAATCATCTCTGACAAGCGCATGGCTTTTAAATATTTGACGGCCATTTCGCAAGCGACACCGTGGTTTCAATCTATCCCGTTATTTATCTAGCCTTTTTGGCCAACCTATTTCATTTATTGTCATGTATCTCGTCCCTGTACCTTCTTTATTGCTTTTTTCTATCTTGTATTTTGTTGCTTATTTTGAGCATCACTGTATGTATCTCAAATAAACAGAAGTAGGGCTTTTTTGCCCCAGCTGCGTGGTCGAATGCGCAAATATCTATTTCAAGAGGTACCAACTGCAAGTAGAGAAGCGAGCAATACAACGAGAAATGACTAATTTAACTCACTTTTAGCAGATATAATGAGATTCTAATCTATTCAAAAAATAAACTATAGATTTATACAGGGAATTAACGCAACTTTAATGGTTTCTTGTTGCTGGTGATGAATAGATTATATATAAAGAAGCAGACTGATGAAAAGCTTGCGAATCTAGCTCATGGGTGCGGTTTGCTGCGATGGTCATTACTTTCTTTACTAGAATTGATAACAAATGCCACAACCATATCCGAAATCCACTGCATCGGGATCAACCATTGCCAATGTGTCCAAGTCTGTTCGACTGGTAGCTGGATTGAAAGACTCTGAGGTTTGTGCTGATTATTTCATTCATGATATGGAATATTCAACTAAACGGTTGAATATCCAAGGCTACAGTGTTGAATGTTAACCTGTCCTTTCGGATTATGCATTAGTCGGACGATGCCTCAGATGACAATCATGCTAGTGTGTCAAGTGGTCGCACACAGTCATTCATGCGTCAACCATCATCGCATTCTATATCAGAAAGTACCACAAATGACAAGTCTGGTCAAAGACCATATGTTCGGACTGTTTCAAAAGCGACTCCACTTGAACTCACTCAAGACGATGCGGCTTCAAAAAACACATCCACAGCTACGTCATTATTTGGTAACCAATCGCTGGGCTCTGCTGATATCAAGCGTCGTATTGATGAACTTAGAGAGCGTCGATTGGCAAGAGCTTCCAGGTCGTCATCTGAGACTCCAAAGCAACGTTCAAAGGCTACCACTTTACCCAATCCACAATCTCATCCATATGTCAAAAGCAAATCTTCAGTCTTTGTAAATATTAGTAGCAGTGATGAAGATGATGGTAAAACGAATAGAGACCAAAGTAGTATATCCGAGCAACCCAAACAGTCCTCAGACGCAAATAGGTGGATCAAATCCAAGACTTTGCCGAGCACCGACATTTCCATGTCTGCATCAAAACCAACTACAGACACTCAATCACACACTTCATCACTACAAAAACAGGATAGTAATTTGCGACAACTGTCAAATAAAGTTGTTGTTGTCGATGCTCCAACCAAGCCAATGACTGAAACATTACCATTGCAAACTGAAGCAAATCTTGAAATCTCGGACTGTATTGACAAGATGCAAAATCATGAAAGTATCAGTGGCCATATAGGCATATTGAAAGCATCTTCTGCACTAGAAACATCTGACATGGAGTTATCATCTATAATTCAGGAAGCTCATAAACTCGAATCACACAAGGACAATCCTCATGATAACAAACAAGTCTACGCGTCAGTATCATCTCAGGAAAGCATATACGATGTTCAGGATTTTGAAAGCGGGCTATCAGACGAACAGATTTCAAAGGCGGTAATAGATGTACCCGTCACTTCTAAACAAACATTCTCAAATCTAGATACTATGTCTGATATTTCCAGCATTCAAAATCCATCCATCAAGGATGAAACACTTTATAAACATACTTCACCTGCCTTGTTAGATCATTTTAAACCATCAGAAGCCCCCATTACTCTTTTTACAGAGCCCACAAAATCTGCACACATTGAATATGAATCAGACTCGTTTGAGGATGCGGATATTTCACTACAGCTTGATACCACCGAGGATGACAAGGAAAAGTTTTTTTTGGCATTGAAGCAAGGCAGTGGCGATCGGTCTTTAGACTATGGTGCGTTGCTGGCACAGTCCGCTATAGACTCGTCAGATACCAATGACAATAGTTTAGAGGCGAATGGGCTCACCCATATATCCGAAATGCCTAAAAACATTTTGGAACCAGAAAAAAACTCGAGTATCTGCACTGTTAATGTGTCGAACCCAATAATTCAGTCTCCATCGGTCTTGGTTGAAGGCGGTGAAAAAGAAACTACTGCGAATACTTTACTAAACCCCCAATCGGTCGACACCCAAATTTGTCAAGATTTCACGCACAAGAATTCGACTAGTTCTCCAAAAGATAGTTTGGCAATTGAAACCAAGATCATGTCTTCAACAGTTGAAACCACAAATGTAAATCCAGTTGAATCTGCTGATACTCAATCTCCACATTTATCGGATTTTGATGGGGTTAAAGGGCATTCGCTAACAGAAAAACAATCAGAAAACTCCAATCTTGTGGAAACTCAAATGGACATTGAATTTAAAACTTCCATTGAATCAAACAATAGTATTGATGCTGATACTGAATTCAAAACCATGACTACAAAAAGCGCTTTAGAACCCCAAAAGGCTATTTTGGAGTCGGATACAAATTTGCATGTATCCGCATTCAATGGTGTTTCGCCTACTTTTACTGAGCAGGAAGTATTTTCAACAACAACTGCATTAATCAAAGCAATGGATGATCAGATTGCAAATCACTCTCGTTTAATACAATCATCTTCACCTACAGATTCCATCCTTGCTCAAACAGAACCTGTTATTATACAAACCGACTGTATCAACTCTACACCTATGGCTGGTAGTCCAGATTTGTCTCCACCAATAGCCCTTCAATCAAAATTTAATTTTCCTGGCAAAGGAAATGATCAAAGCTATTTAGCCTTTGCTGATTTCCTTGCAATGAATGATGAAAACGATGATAAACACACTACATTTCAGTTAAACCCTGACTCTGTAATGGCAGAAACAAAGCCGTAAGTACAGTATATTGGCAATATGTATCCTATTTAAATATGTTGTCCCCAGTTCATTCTACATTAATAATTCAATTTATATTGTAGTGATTTAGATGCTACTGCGAAACGATCTGCCACAAAGTCTCGTGAGGTACTAAAACCTAAATTTGAAAACACATCAACGATGACTTCCAAGTCAACATCCAAGAAAAAATCTACTTTAGCTTCATCAAAGATTCCTACATTGAAATATGATGCAAATACTAGCATAGCAAAGCATGAAACTAATACGAAAAAACCTCGTCCCAAAACTGCATTAAGTGCTAATGGTAAAACCCATAATACCAATGTACTGGGGTCGGATGGCGAACTATTTCAGGCCAAGAAACAGGCACTTAATCGCGCCAATGCCAGATTTGCTGGAAAGGCTAATAACGTTGTGTCTAATGGCTTAAAATCACGACCTCAATCATCGCCTGCTCGTATTGCAACAAAGCCTAAAAACGCACACGCAGACTCCAAACAACTGCAATCATCTAATCATGTGCATTCGCCAACAAAATTAGAGCTGAATGATTTTGCTAATCCACCATCTATTCAAAAAGATGCCGCAATCAGCATGTCTAAATCCGACACTCAAAAGGTGCTGTTTAAAGATTCATCTGCACAAAATGATCATAAAGATGACGTTTCTTTTTTCACTAGAGTACCAACCAGTACACCTGCTGAACCATCTGCATCCACATCATTGAATTCCAATGCCATCATAAGCAATCTACAAGCATCAGAACAGCCCATACAGCAGTCCTGCCGTCCAGCCACTGATTTTGATTTAGAAACAATGCGTGCAATGAAAGACCATATCAAATCTCTCGAGTCTGAATCGATCCAAACTGAAAATGAGATGAATACATTGCGCGAGCAAGTAGAGTTTCTTGAACGCAAACTCAGTGAGGTTCAGCTTAAAAACACGCAAACATTAATCAATGACACTGAAAACCCGAGTGCGTCCGTTGTGATGATGCTTAAAGCCGGCCCAAATATTAGTCGCAAGGATGCAGAGACGTTACGTAAAGAGTTGAATGAGCAAGAGACTTTAATTCGAGGTGTAAGTGCAATATTTAATTATTTAGGAATTGGGCAGTGTGTTTTGATCCAAATGCGAGTATTATTCATTCATGTTTTTGTTTAAAATCAATAGTATCAAAATGAGAACGAAAAACTGACAACCCAAGTCAAGACACTACGCAAGGAACTAAAAGAGTCTGATCAGCGCCACTATCTTAAGCAGAAATGCTGCTACGTGAAAATGCTATGTTGAAGACAATGGTAGGCGGCGCTTCAGCAGGGAATATTACAAGTAATGATGACACAGTAGAGTCATCTCAAGGCGTCAATAGTGATCGAAATACTATTGGATCTACTGTTCAAGGCAATCTATTACCACAAGCAGGAAATGCTTCTTATGATCCATCCATTACCCGATCTAAAACAGCTACCAACCGACCTCACCAAAGCGATTTCTCATCTGTTAAAGCTCAAGTTCGTATCGAATCTCTCGAGCAATCCTTGGCCACTCTACGTCACACATCCAGAGCCATTGAAAGCGATTTACAGGCACGTATTATTCATCTTGAAGCTCAGCTTGCTGATGCAAATTTAAAACTCGTTGCTTTGGAAAGTAGCGATCCAGAGAAACTTAAACGGCTGGAGTCGGACTTTAAACTTCGTTGCGAGACTTACGAGACCTACATTGTTGAGTTGGAGGGAAAATTGGAAATGTATATGGAAAATATGGACATTGTTGACGAGTCTCGGCAGAAATCGGATATGCAACAACATGTGATACTTGATTTAAAGAAAGAGATTGAGCGATTGGAGCAGGTGATTAGTTTTTTGACATCACAATCCCAACGTAAATCTGATAATGGTACAGGTGTGAAAACACCTCGTGGTGCTAGTAAAGTTGCACCTGATACCGTTAAGCAGATTCAAGCTGGGACAGTCCGGATTCGAGAGCTGGAGCAGCAAGTAGAGAAGTTGCGAAGAGAGAAACTGGAACTAGAAGTAGATAGGCACACAAAAACTATTGCGGACGTGACTCGTACTCCCAAACCTCCTTTGGAAGAGACTGACCATGTTCGATTGTTGAGACAGCGCGTTAAAAAATTGCAGACTGAATATGAAGCTGTGGTCGGTGAGAATAATAGCAAAACTCGGATCATGCAAGACGAGGTGTGTAGTTTATTTATGAATTCAATGTACTATCATACCATCTCTTTGTACCATATTTTGGCATAGCCTAAAATCGTGATTGGTTAGTGTTGTGATCTAATATCAACTTTTTATTTTGATACAAGATCAAGAGATTGCAAATGCAGTATGAAGCCAAAATTCAAAAACTTGAGGTAATAATCCAGGACTTGCAGGCATCTCCACCAGGTAATAAAATCGCATCATCCACTCAATTAAAAGTTGGAACCGTACCTCAGCATACCCAAGCACTAGAGAAACAGTCGGAAGCTGCAACATTGGGTACAACCAGTGATTTAGCTGAATCTCTGACATTACAAGGACAGGAACTATCGTCTATTGACTCCTTGATTGGAAACCAGCGCGAAATAGCGCTTTCTAAACGCATATTGGATTTGCAAAGTTTAGTTGATGAACAGTCTAAACGCATTGACCAGCTTTGCAGAGAACGGCAGCGTTTTGAATCAGAGACAACTGCACTCATTCAAGGCAAAGATGAACTGATTGAATCTTACCGAATCAAAATTGTCGAACAGCAAAAAGAATTCCATCACAAGGTATTTGCAGTTGACGATCATGCTCGGATGGATGAGATTCATGCCATGCGACTTGAGTTGGAATCTACTAGATCGGAATTGGCCTCTGTTCGAAATAAATTAGAGATTAGCGAGGAAACACGGCGATCAGTGCAGGAATCTACCATCTCAATTATGAGGCAAGCACAGGAGGAAAATGCCAAGATTTCTCGAGAGAATCATGAACAAGGAATTATGTGGCTTCGACAGGAGTTTCAAAAAAAGTGGAATGACTCCAACAAACACGAGGATGTTACCAATCTGCACAGTAAAATTAAAATGCTTGAAGCAGAACTTGCCATGCTGCGACAAACTGCTTCGAATACCGTGACTGGAAACAGTGATAAGGCTGTTGCATATCAGGCGCAAATCAAGGCACTTGAAGAGGAAGTGGATCATTTTAAAACACTCAGCTCAACATTGCAATCTGAAAATCAGCGACTTGTTTCTAGTTTGTCAGCTGCTAAAAAAAAGTGGCCACCGGCTATGCACCATTTTGAAGCACTTTCATCTCGTATTCGAGAGTTGGAAGAGTCTGCTCGACGACGAGAGACTGAAATCGCCAAACTTTTGGTTCAACATCGTGGAGATTTAGAATCCAAGATTCAAATGGAGCATCGCCGGTATCAAGATATGGTGCATCACAAGGACTCTGAGATTCAAGGATTTCGTAAGGAGTTGGACAAGGTGTTGCAGGGTATAAAGCTACTGCGAAAGCAGAATGCCTTGAATCAATAGTCTTCATTACCAATCTATAATAAATACAAACTGACAGTATTCTTTTTCAAATTGAGTCGCTCATTCACTAATTAGTATGGGCAACACTTGACATACCACTAGGACAATGAGGGTTGTCCATTGACTACAGAATTTGGGTTTTCAACATACAGGGACTACCAAACCATGAGCATTTAAGAAATGTCAGAGCGATCTCCAGCTGGACAACTTCCGCGTCCAACAGACGTAATCTTGGACGATGATTTGGTTGACCACGTCAAGCCTGGTGATCGTGTTCGTTTGGTTGGAACCTATCAATCTATTGGAAAACATGCGGCGTCTGTATCTGCCACATTCAAGTCTATGATTCTTGCCAACCACATCACCTTTCTTGAAAAGCTGCTGTAAATAAAATACAAAAAATGATGGTTTGCAAATCCAGATTTACATTGTGTATTGTATTGGCTTGATCAATCTGAAAACTATTGATATATTAAACATACAAACAGTTACCAGCTAAAGCGGGTGTACTCACTCGGATACCATTAATATACGAGATATACATTATTTGAATCTATTTTGCTATGGTCATGTTATAATCAATATAATGTTGAATAGAAACAGAGACTACTATTTCCAAAATCAACATGGAAATATATGCTATATACAGAAATAGCAAATTACTAGCAATACTTATCTCTAGCAATTTTAAAATGGTTGTATTTCAGATAATAACTAATCATTGACAACAACTGTTGTTTATTATGCCCAGATAGTCAAAATTGTCCTAAATAAGCTAGCGTTTGTCCATGCAGAATCTAAATCATCAGTAGCTTTAATGTTTCTGAGCACCATAGCTATATACCAATCCAGTTCAGACAACCATGAAATATGCATACGGGTAAAATAATGTATTAGTATAATGTTCTACCACTACTTCAAGATCCAGTTACCAATCAAATCCTGGAACAACATACTGTAGAATTTTTTCGATAAAATCAATATGACTGAGGACCATACGTCTGCAACAATATCTCTTAAGACCGAGTGCATCCAATGCCTTTCCTTCGGTCGTATCGCCTTGAAGAAGACTGAGATATGGCTGCCATTTATCACCAACCACCTTCCCACAGCTGTAACCGAAATCGATCAACGCAATGAAACGAAAACAAAAGTCAATACGTTGTGATGATATCCAGTTTACTCCAATACGAATGGCCGTATAGTTCAGAATAAAAAATACCTGAAGCATCGAACAGGAATAATCATTGTATGGAAACTTGAAAAACTTTTTGTGCTAAACTACTCAAGATTCCAAATGGCAGTGACAGTAGGTTTAGTGGTTTATCCAGACTCGAATCTCCACCATTGAAGCAATGATAAAAACTATGCAGTTTGAGCCCATACCTTTGGATGGAAGCTGAACCAGCAATGTTCCTTTTACAATTCAGGTAGAACCAAAAGACGAATTTGATTTTGGCTGTTTTTGTATTATTTGGCCAATTTGTCCAATTTGTCCAATTGGTCGAAATCTTGAGTGCACTTGTCAAAGGTTTATGCCATTACAATGATTGGTTTTGCCAAATTATGACCATTCAACAAAATATAATACTTTTCCTATATATCTACACTTGACTCCATCAATAATCCAGTTTGAATCTGTGATTTTGAAAAATAAATGCTCAAGCCAATATCTAATGAATAAAACATTCTTAACCAACTCCAATATCTACACTCTAGTATTCAAATGAAAAAACCACATATGCTTTTAATTACTTGACAACAACCTTGACTTTTTGGCCAGAGGTCTTTTCACTAGCACTAATATGCAAAGAATGATCTTTTTCAATAGTCAACATGACCTCGATTGATTTATCGGCAGCTTCGGGAATATCAGATATCACAACTTCAGCAAGCAACGTGTTTTTCTTGGCTGTTTTAGATTCGCCTTCGTAAATAGCCAGATAGGCGGATGCTTGTGTACTAGTGGATAGCCCCATGGTGATAGAACGACGCACAGGAATAGGTGCACCAACCGGAATTAGGGTTGCAAATGCACCGCCAGCTACTTCAATACCGATGCTTTTAGAGATGTGATCAGCATGAGCAATTTCCTTGGTGTTGGTAGAAGTGATATAATCAATATTGGCGTTGGCAAGAATAATAGATGCCTGAACTGCACATCCAAGAGAAATGGCTTCATCAGGCTCAACATCGGCGCGGAACGCAGTGGTTTCAGGGAAAAGCGACTTCATGATTTGCTGGAAACGAGGCATACGAGAAGACCCTCCAACAACAAACACTTCGTCAACGTCTTTGGCCTCGACATTAGCCTCAGCAAGAGCCTTGGCAACCGTGGCACAGCAACGCGAGTAAAGGGGTTCGGCAAGTATTTCAAAACGACCACGATTGATGTTTCCATGGTAGTCCATGCCATCATAGAGGGATTCGACGGAGCAAGGAGCAGTGTCTTGGCGGGTAAGAGCACGCTTGGTGCGTTCACAAGCCTTTCGAAGCTTTTGGAGAGCACGTCGATTATCAGCAACATCAGCCTTGGTTTTACGCATAAATTCTTGACGCACAAACTCGACAAGAATTTCGTCAAAGCTGATTCCACCAAGATCTGCCTCATCAATTGATGACTCGATCGTGTAGAGACCGTCGTGGGAGGAGAGAACAGTTACGTTAAACTGATGGGCACCCAAGTCTAGCACTACAGTTTGCTTATCGGTCTTGACTATGGGCTCAGCAGTAGAGTCTTGAGTTTGAGCAAGTTGGGTAGCAGCAGCCTCAAAAGCCAATACTGCAGCAATAGGCTCGTGGATAGGGTATGCTACATCAAATCCAGCCTCTTTGGCAGCCTTGAGAAGGTCTTGCTTTTGAGTTTCTTCAAAGTGAGGGGGGATAGAAATGACACACCCATCAACCTTGCTACTTAAAAAGTACTCTGCAGTTTCTTTGATTTTCTTTAGATATTTTGCAGTAACTGCAATGACAGAATAGATTTCGGTGGTTTCCTCGCCATCATCGTTCATCAAAGTTACCTCGTACATTGGCACGGAAGCATCATCTGCTGACCCTGCAATGGTGAAAGGATGTTTCTTGGATTGCAGCTGAACTTCTGGATCATCCATTCTAGTGGTTTAATAAAAATATAGTAGATCAAAAAGTATGTGATGTTAGCAGTCATTTCAGTACTGACTATAAAATCAAACATTGTGCACAGGTATTCAATAAAACATACTTTTTTCCAAGAACATTTCTAAAGTGAAAGATTGTGCTTTTGGCATTTGCCATGGCCTGAATGTGTGCCTGAGTTCCGCAGAGCTAAACAATCCATAAATACCCAACATTGCATTTACAAGAAAATAATGGTTAAAGATCAACGTTTCGTTCCATTGAATATAAATCTTCTTTGGATGGTTAAATTCAAAAGATTGGTGCACTATAAAATAATGAACCAAATCTGGTTCATTATTGCCAAAAAATTAAAATCCAATATTACCTCTTCGTGGGCAGTAAACGCTACATAGGATGGAATCTGTCTATCACCATCTTCATTAGCAATAGTTTCACCATTCTTGCCATCCTATCAATACCACGCACGAAGACATAAAAAATACTGTTAGTCTAGGCATGACAATATATTCTAAATTGAGGGCAAATGGCAGACTGGAAAAAAAAACATGCAATAGCTCATATGCATCAAACTCGTTCTTCACCAAGTACAATGACATTGGTTTATATCAAATAAAAAAAAGAACCAAAAGTTGGAGTAGCAACCAGTCCAGTGACAACTTTGAATCGTTGACCGAATAGAAATCATATTCCACCATTTGAACACCCCAAGCCAATACCACTTGAATTGATTACCTTGGAAACAATCGATACGGAAGAGTATACAGTACCAAAGCTGATACCAACCAGCAATGGCTGACCCTCTTCTTTAACCTCAATCTGTTTTGCCATATTCTTGTATATGTTATAAAAATCGACTAAAGTTGTGTAAAAGCAATTTTTTCTTTTCACTTTTATTTTGGATTACGAAACACCAAGTTGCAACTGCAATTTATTATCAAATCGATTCTAAACATTCAAACAAGCTTGCCTAGCATTCTGAACCATCCAACAGTAACGCATCCACTCAGGATTCCCCAAGTGGAATCTATCAATCCAGTTATCAGCAATGTTATTGTCCACACACATACATCTTCCCACACAACAGCTATTTTGGCATATCTATGTAGATTCATCCACATTTGCTTCCATGCAAGTGGTTTGGACTGAACAGGCAAACCCTCGTATAGACATGGCAAAGTGTTGGCAACAGCCAACTCCTGTTCTGACTCCTCATTAATATGTGTATATTCTGTGGCTTCCGACCTATTTGATAGCAATGACTGTCTGACACTTTTGTGCCACAATCCATCCAAATCTGCTTGCTTGGCATTTACTAAAGCATCTACAACCAATCCTTTTATGCCCGTTACGCGTTTCAAAGGTTTCCAGATAGCAGCAACAATCACTGCAGATAGTACTGGTGCAGGTATGTGTTGAAAAGGCGCTGTGAAAAAGGATATAATTAGACCAATGATTCCTACTGTTATAAGGCATGCTAATGGTGTACGCAGGTCAGTTTGGTGTGCCAAGACTGCACTACGAGAAAGTCCTGCACCAGAAACAAAGCATGTGAAAAAAGAAGAAACTAGTTGAGATAGTGACAGAGCAAGTAGTTCCTGTGCGTCTTGACCTTTTTTTAACTGTTGAGTATCAGGATTTAAATTGGAATTGGTTAACGAATGACGAGATTGCTCTTGCAAAGGCTGCACTGTCTCGGCTGAATTATGGTGCAAGCAATCATTCGTGCCATTTGCAATGATCAATTCGTCATTACCAATTGATGGATTTATAGGTCGAATAATTGTTACATTTGAAAAGGTGCAAATGATTGAAATGGAAGTCACATACGTCACTAATGCAATTGAAAACACACTGGGTAATAGAAATACTACCAGCGCAAAGAGCTCTGATAACGTAGGCTGTGGTACATCTGCTATTTGAGCAAAAGGTTGATTTTTAAATAAGGTTTTTGAAAGCGTGGCATTTGAGACGGTGTTGTAAACGCTTGGAAAGGACCATGGCAACGAAAATGTAGGAAACCCTGACTGGATATGTCCAATAGTTTTGATTTTGTAAATCTGTGGAAGATGAAAAAAGAAAGAAACTAGAGTTGAAATGAGAATTGCCACCAAGACTGCAGGAATAACTGCCCGTGATGTTGCCAAGGGTTGTGTTGGCAGGGGCTTGTTTTGACTGGATCTTTGACTCTGATCGGGAGTCTCTGTAATGGGCTCAAAAGGCATCTCACTTTGTGCGTCATAAGTTAGCGAAACTTCGGAAAAGATGTCACTATCATTCAGTAGTGGGCCATCAAGCCCATTTTGAAGCGAGTGTAGTGGCTTGTGTCCAAGTATTTTGGAACTAGAGGCTTGATTTTCCAAAGTTGTATGGATAGTTCCGTATCCTGTTCCGTGTAGAATGCTTAAACTGGTAGGATGGAGTGAATGGGCAGATGCACTAGGTGTGATCCCATATCGCGTATGTGGGTTATCTATGACAGATTCTTGTGAATTGCGCCTTTTAGGTTTTGTGCGTACTGCAAGAGATGAGTTGGTATCTGAATCATTCTCAGCTTTTATCTCATTTCCTATTGAAACTGTGGAGGCCATCTGCAATTTGTTGTTAGACTTTCGAATCCATTGACGCAGTGCTTCCTCGCATTTCGGTAGCCCAATAATCATTGCTATGGTGACTACACCCAGTACTACTGAAACCCAATTGATATTGCCAGCTTGTTTCACAAGCTGAATCCACGTATCAATATTTGGACTGATGCCCTTAGTCGCCATGATTCGCACTCCAAGGATGTTTTTAATTTGTGATGTCAGGATAGAAAAACTCGCAGCTGTTGTAAATGCATTCATCAGCTGTTTTGTAACAAGCTTTCCAAGGGGCTTATGAAGTGATACAGAATATATGCTGAGCAAAACCAGACCAAGCATAAACGCTTGAAGGGATGCAATGCAAGTTATATCAGGATATTCTTGCCATGGGGGAATGGTTGTGCTGTTGGTTGGTAAGCTTGATGACTGATTGCCAAATTGGCGTAGATCCGTAAACCACTTTGCTGCATTTAGAACAGATTCGCCCGCCATTAACGATGTCACCGCAAATGGTGCTATTTGAAATTTAAAAAAAGTATACGGGTGAGTAAATGCCATATGGCGTGCCCGATGTTTAGTTTCAACTATGGAAACCATTACCGATACTGATATATGGAGATGTCCCAAAAATAAAATAAATGATGGGAGGAATACTGGCAGTATATAATCCCTGAATAGGAGGTAGATTGGCCATGACTAAAAAAGGTATGGAATAGTCAGTGAAATGTTAATTCTTGACAGCGCGGATATGGCTTCATATCAATTAAACTCGTATGATTACTTACCTGCATACCCAATAGACTGATTTGGTTGAAAAGAGAATCCACAGTAAGAATAAAAAAAGTTAAAACTGCTTTCCATTTGATGAGTATGACACTTTGGCATGCATTCTAATGACTATCTAAATAGCCACTTGAAATCACCCAGATTGCATATATGCTCGCCACCACCAAGTTGAGTATACTGTGACCTCATCATCACCCTTTGAGCATACTCACATACCTGAGGGATCATCATTGTCACCAATGTAAATCCAGCAAGAATATCATCTGTCAAATATTCCAATCGATACCATGGCAGCCAGCTCGCACATGTGAATAGCCTAAACATTGTATGACGGGTTTATGCTAGGAAAATATAACACCTAAACAAAACAAAAATATGCTAGCTAGAGAAAGTTGTAAAGCCATCGGCAAGTTATATATAGTTCAATGGCTTTGATTGGACAAGCCGTGTATTAGTTGAAAAGCATAACTCGACGAATTGAATCTCGACTTCACCTAAATCATATCCAACCCAACTCGATGAATACATACCAGGTACAGCCGAGTTTGGCTTGGTTACTATTATACAGTGTATATACAACAAAAATACCCGCTTTTCAACATATATGTTCATCTCCATCACATTCAATTAACCTTGACTACTACAATAGGCTGTTGACCAAAAGAAGGAGGATTTTCGCAAATATCTAGAGCGGAATGGCATCATTGACGCGCTGACTAAAGGTAGATATTAAGCCTGTCCTATTCAATTCGTTGGCTAAAGGCACTATCAATAGAACATGCTATCCTTGTTTTGTATCAGTAAGCTCAAGTGCCGTATATTTACTTTTCAAATTATATAGTTCTTGTTGGTTTGTACGAAGAACCCGAAAAGCCAGATTCGCCAGTCGAGTAAGTCCAAATCTCAGCTGTCTTGTATCCATCAATTCCTAACAGCTTAAATGTGACTTTTTATCGCTACATTGATTTCCATAGCTATATCAAGCAGTTTTTAAGCGGACCATCAGATACAGATACAGAAGCACTCCGTCATGAAAATGAAGAACTAAGGCGCAGGGTGGATGAGCTGCAGTCAAGGTTGGATGAGATGTCAGCCACTGTAAGTTGACCATATATTTGTATGTTTTAAGCAAACCAGATTGACTGTAATACAATCAAACGCACTGCATTTGAACTGTTCGAGTAGAACTAACAATCTATTTTTTGGAATCAAACATTTATTTGAGCGTTTATAGCCTGCACCAACGGATCCGACTGCAACCATAGCCGAATAGAAAGCAAATAAAAAATAAACAAGTCTTGCTATCACCAATGTATTCACGTAAAATAGGACACTAGATTAGGATCTCAGAGTACATGATAACCAATCAGTTTCATGGAACGATGGGTGCCAGTTCACTGAGCAATATTATTTTTTGAATTCCTTGATAGAGTTGAATAGAAAAATGCAATGAATATTTAAGGATTGTTTATTCTGAAGCAAGAAGCAGTAACTGCAAGATAGATACAGAAAAGTTCCATTCTACGTGAATACGGCGTAAAATGAGTGATATTTTGAGATTCCAAGAATAGCACCATCATCTTACTGTCACACCATGTGCCTGATACAACAAGCTGCTGTCTGAAAAAGCATGGGTTATCTGTCGCTTCAAGTACAGCCAGGTAAAATATCTTGCATCTACAAGTCTTTCCCGTGCATTATTGATCATCCCACCAGCCACATGCGACAATTGTCTCATGTCTGCCTTGATACCAGGAATGAGCATCGAGGTATTTTCTTTCCAAAGGGTTGTATTGTAAGCAGAATGACGACTGTAGCTGTCGTCGAGATACGATTTATAAAAGTATGACATTTCTGCTGATGTGGGCTCACGGTGTGCAGAGTCATTGACTGTCATAGAATTACTCAAACAATGTTAGCAAGACTGTAATTTAATGATCGGTTGATAGACTCATACACAAACCAGAACTGGTTGGGATAGGTTTTGAGGTGTAATAAACAACTCGAATGCACTCAACTGGCTTGAATATAGGCTGATTTTTTAGATTGAAAGTCGGTATTGTTTGCAGTCCAGAAGATATGGTGTCGCTCCTGCACATCGATTCGTTTCTGAAGCATTGCAATATCTGTATCAGAGAGTGTCTGTTTGGCATAAACAGAGAGTCTCAATAATCGGATATTGGATACTGGATGTGGAGTTGATACTTGCAAGAAAAGGTTGCCATCAGTGCTAGTTTTGGTAGAACTATTGCTCGTATTGACAGAAGGGGATACAGCAGTTGCAAATCGACGGACATATGTGCTGGCCTGCAGTGAAGAGTGATGGGTGAGCTTTCAGAATAATACATGTCAATTGATAGTAACATGGACAGGATGATTGTCAATGATGCCTTGGCATTATTGAATTATGACTACTGCCTAAAGCCAACTACAGACAGTGCTCTATACCATCACAAAAATAGCTCAGTCATGAATAATACCTTTGACATTTGTGCGAGACCTGCCATTCTTGTCTAAAGCAACACTAGAGCAGTCCAAGTGATTCCTTGAATGGGTCACAAAAACAGCCAAAAAAAGAATTGAGATTTGCATGAAAATAGTCTGCTGCTCAAGTGTATTGATACTGGTCGAGACAGTAGGTTTGCACACATTAAAAGAATTCAGTCTTGATCATGCATACACACTGGAATGATTGCAAATGGAAACAGCAACAGTCAAGCTTGATCGATTTACATTGTAGCAACAGCCAAGTTTAATCAATTTACACGACTGCAGCCATGACAATCTAAACGGTAATCTTCGCGTAACCAATGCTTAGAGTCATGAATGATTAGAATACAATCCATTGATGGATGGCAAGGCTCTTTGTTCAGACATACACGTGATGGCTAGGGTCAATAACTTGCTCATCAGATCTGCACTTTCCTTTATATAGCATCACAACAGCAGATCATTTAGTTAAGCTTGCTATTATGGGAAAAACTAGCGCAAAGGTTTCTGATAGAGTTGTCTTTGAAGGCGGCGGTGGCAAGGAGTCCTTTTTCGTATACGTCGAGCCTGATATGGTATGCTGCATTATCACTTCATTCTTAATATCCTGCTATATGGTTTGCACTCAGTAATAGACTGCGTTTGTCTATTACTCGATATGTGGTACTGGCAGTAGGATGGTTGCTGATCTGCCTGCTTCTCAAGTAACCAATCGCTTCCCATTTCATATTGTCAACTTTTGTACCCTGGTTATTTGCTTAAAGTACATTCCTTGTGCTGAGCTCTCAACTTCCTTGTGTTTGTTTACTATCAACTTACTATCTGACACTGTTACTTACTGTTTTATATCCTCTGCTCAATTGTGCTGCTATGGCTAGGTCGATAAATGGCGCAAGGGTATATCTAATGCATAATTGTGTTGTTTTATTAAAGAGCCATAGGAAACTGTCATGCTGATCTAATTAATTCTGTATATTTCTACTTGGTATTGGTCTAAATAGACAAGAGTATCCCTCTTGTAGAGGTTGTTCAAGGTTGGCCAAATTCGCGGTTGTCATCCCTTTGATATGCATCTTGGTTACTATCTACTCAACTCACTAATGTATGCTTTTCTATCACGCTTAGCTTTCACCATTTTTGAAGTTGATAATGGTGGAAACCATGGCATTGCTATCAAGCCCTCCAAATCCAGCCTCCAGTAAGTTACATTTTCTCGGATTTTAGCCGTAACCCTCACGTTTGTTTGATGTTGCTGCTAACTTGCTGCACTCTTTGCTTGCCATCTTAATCAGTAGCGCTTTTGGCACTGAAGACGAGACCGTGATCGTCACGCGTATTCTGAATGATGGTCGTCTTGTGCATGGCCATCAGGGTCCGGCCAGCTCGAAGGGATATGTTCAAGCTATGAGATAATTTTCCAATCCACATGTTGCAAATGGATCACTGGGATAATCTAGCAAGCCGCCGTTTTACCATGCTTTCAAAAAGTCTCATCTAAAGAGTGGATAGTTTGAAATCTGTTTACAAGGGCGTCTATAGGCTGATCATTTCCATTCAGTGATATTAAACTATTTAGCAGGATTGCTTTTCAACTTTTGTTTTTGAAATGATATTAGTTTGGAACCAAGTATTGTGTCGAATGCACCACGCTGAACCCCAAATGTTCGGTTTGACATCCGATTGTCACTGGCTGTGTCTCTTCAGGTGATTTGGAGATTGATCACCATCGAGTGATTTCAGTCATTCATATCAAAGCAATGGTTGAAAAAGATGAATCACTGCAAACATATTAGTTTTGATTTATGCCATCACGATTTATTGTGATACATTACAGATTTAGGTACTGTGTTGGGCAGCATCGCCCAAACTGTACCCAAAGTGCCAAACACCAGTCCAAATGCTAGCACACTTATTTCAAAGCAGATCCTCCACCGTGTAATGCGTCTCCAATAGAGCTTTAAAAAACATATTTCAGGAAAGACGATGGATACGGTGCAAGAAAAAAAGCTTCCCAATATGGCCATGAGTGAATGGAATCCTGGAAACTGGATAGCAATTATAAGAACTACCATTGAAGCCATGGTACGAGTAACAATACGCAGTGCCAGTGGAGGACATGATGGGTTTGGACACATCCAGGGAATCGTAGATGCAATCGACCGCTCTAAAATTCCATAACAAAAGCAAAGCATGATTCAAGTCAGCCATCTTCTACAAACACCTCCGCAATCATCCATCCATACCTATTTGTGTATTCACTGGAGAAATCGCCAAAGAGTATTTTGTAATGGGGTTGAGCGCAACCAGCCAAATCGTAACTTGTGTCAATACCTTGTTGTAAGACTTGACAAAAGGCATATTCAAAGTGATCTATATCACCAAAAACATAAATGTGTTGGCACATGTGCTTTGATCCATAAATAGGCTATTCAATTTGAAAGTATTACCTCCTGCAGGGTCGATGGTCCGAACATGAGATAGCCAAATGAAGCAATTAGAAGGTACGTGGCTGTAATGATGATATAAGTATGATCGACTACTTTGTTGTAGTATTCAGGCTGCTTCATGTCACGATACAGATTAGGAAACACAGAATGTCCTAATAGTTTGCAACCGACACGATGTTAGTACTGTGCAGCGATCGGAAAAATGCGCATCTCATGTTGACAAGAATTAAAATCCTATACATACCACAGAATCCAGCCATAATCAGACCAAATGCCAAGGGAACAGAGTACCATGATTCAGGAAATATGTTTGTATCGGCAGGAACGATCAGTGATCCTGGACTTTCAGTAGTAGACAAACCATTAAACATCACAATTATAAGCAAGTTTAGCAATGCAATAATACCAACAATGCTCCCATACGAAGCCATGTTCAATGACAGGGGATACGTGATCGGCACAACAATAGCCACAACACATATTTTTACAACAACCAAATCGAGCATGGGGAAGAGAGCGACAATGGAGTCAGCAGTGAGAATAATCAGTGCAACAGATGCTGCACAAAGCTCAAGAACAAAGACAAAAGAAATGAAATTACGGCCTGAAAGTCCAAACGCAGCCTCTCCGAAATCACCAAATGTGCACAAAGTTTGAAATGGTAGTTTATGCTGTTGAAGAAGAGGTTCTTCGACTGTGTTGGTCGTATCAGACGTGTCGGCTGTATCGGGGGTCCAATCTAGACACAAGGCAAGCACTTTGGCAGTATGTCGCGTAACCCCACTCAAAATGCACAGACATGCCACGCCCAGAATCCAACCAGAGAGCTTGAATGCAAAGGGGAAAGCAAGAAGACCGATACCCATAAGAATATTGACACTGTTGAAGAGTGTCTGGTAATAGGTAGATTTATGAGCGCCGTCATTATAATCAACAACACAGCCATCGTACTGTTCACTGCAGCACTGTGATGGACACTGTGATGGACACTGCAAGTCAGAAGTGCAATTGCTGAGCAAGTCAGAGTCTTGGCACATTGTATCGGACTTGCTAGTTTGAAACTCGGACTGATCTAACTGCTGGTGACGAGAAGATTCACGTGCAGAGTTCCAGCGATCAATAGAGTTGGCCGCACTTGTAACTCCAGATTGACTTGGTATACCGTCAAGCTCGTCAAAAACATCGTGTTGGCCAGTAAAATTCAAATCCAACGGAGATGTAGTGCGATTAAAGTCACTAAACTCATCACCTGTGCATGGACTGTGTGTTACCTGGGAAGCTATGGAGTGCCTGGTTAAACTACGACGACATCGAGTACCAGAAGCGATGGAAGCATGGGATGGAGAAGAAAAGTTTGATTCCGAACCACCGTGTTGGCCTCTATCAAACTGAAAAGCAGCAGCCTTTTTCAACGAGTGAGCCCAGGAAGAAGTTGAAGTAGCTAGCTGGACAATGGATAAGGAACGAGGGGGAATGCTGACATTATGATTGTCGATAGATAAACTAGCATGATGAGAATGGCGTTGCGAATTGTTCAATGGGCCGTGCGGCTGAGATGCAGAGCCAGATGCAGGAATGGTAGTGCCAATGGCAGTCGTGTGCCCATCGCTCAAACGAGGATCCATGCCCAATGCAGGAGACTGACTATGAGTGCCATTGCCTTGATGAATGGGAATGGCAGTTAAAGGATTTAACTGCGATTGTCGAGGAGTGATAACATCCATGGATCCATAACCAGCATCGTTGTATGTAGGAGTGGTTGAAAGAGTGTTTTCATGAAAATTAGTTGCGATATGAGCAGGATTCCTAAGAGAGCGACGAAGATTAGGACTCGTAGAGTTCTGTGCAGAGTTCTGTGCAGGTCCACCTGACGAATAATGCATGGCAATGTGATTTTAATAATCAGCTACAATCAGCTACAATTGATGTAGTCGAGTTTATCAACAAGTGCAAGCTGCAATAAAAAATGAGTATTCGAACACTATAAAGCGCTTACAAACAAAAGAATTAAACTAACCCTTTATTGCTGTGTATATGCTCTCCCTTATGCTTGTTACTCAATATATTTTGGATTGTGTCGGCAATTTCTGTTACAAACATTGATTCTATTTTACAGCCATATTCATGTCAAATCAAATACTTTTCTGTATTGATCTTGGAATAAACAATGGTCACATTCGTGATTAGAAATGGATTATTTCTTTTATTGAAGCTACAAGTTGTTTGGTGTCAGCAGGGTTCAAGAATGAACAGTATAATGCTGTGTAGTGTAGCTCCAAACTTCGCGCTGTTTGTTGAATGGTTGGTAAACCGTGTCTAATTAGAGTTGTTTTGTGGAATGGAATGTTGTCTAGAATAAAGTGACCGTTTGGGAATGTTGCATGTCTTGACAGTACAGCGTTCATTGCTCCCTTAATCCCCAAACACAGCGATCGTCATACGAGGCACACACTATTAGACTATAGTTTGAACTGAAATGTTGTTTTTGGATTGTACTCTTTCACATCTGTTTGTATAGCCATACATTGTACAATCACCAAGTTTAAACCCCAACTCGTCCATTGCAATCCAAATATTTGATTCTATTGTACGAATGTTTTCAATACTTGACAAACTCTTTCTTGCCAATTCATCTGTTGGTTACAAGAGTGAGCTTTCACCAACATCACTTTGTCCAAGTGTTATCAAGTGAATACAACTGTAAAACTGTTCAATATTATCCTGAGGATGCGTATCCAATAAATTTTATTTTGAAATCAACTCGTTGCTGGATCTACCATCGCTTATCTATTTTAAACTGCTGCAACCATGTTCAGACAGCTACTAGAGCAATCTCGCCAGCTTACAAATCACATTGTTTCTCCTGGATTGACTCCCATTGATCGAGGATTAGAACAGATCGAGGCTCAGACTAGACGGCTGCTCAAGCGAGCAGGTGCGAGGCAAGACACTACTGCTGGTTCAGGAACCTATGCTGGATCTGCTGGTGCTAATGGTGGGCTGGCTCGCTCAGATGGAACTGTTGATCCCGCTGGAAACGAGTTTCATGGCATGTTGAGCTCATCAGATATGGAAGGGTTGTCTTCCACTGCCGTAGGTGGTCTGACTGGCAGTGGCCATCATACTGCAGCTACTCAATCCATGATAATCGATGGCTCAGACCCAGCCGTTTCTGCTGCTGCTGCCATCGACTCTCGCACTGCCTATCTCTTGGCTAAGCAAGGATTTGATCCTGAACGAGTTCAACACACTCTTGCTCAGATAGATCTTACCAACACTTTTGAGCCTTTACATGGTCTGCCCGATGCTGACATTGAAGCCTTCTTACGTAACGAGCATGAGAATATTGTATCCATTGCTATCGAGGAAACCAAGTCGCAGGTTGCCCAGGACTTTGAACGGTCGTTTGAGCTGCGTATTGGCAGAGACTGGACTGCTACAAAGAAACGTATTTTTGATCAGATGGGCCATCAACCATCAAGGTCGCTTCGGAATAGTCAGGCTGAGGCCAACTTGCTCGGATCCGGAGATAGAACCGATTCCTCCATCTTGCAACTTTCTAATAGTCGTCATACCGTATCCAATGGTACTGTGATTACCGGTAGGTCATTGGTCATGATTTTAAATGTGGACCCAAATTCGTTTATTATATTCTTCAAAATTGCAGACTGAAAGTACACTATGTACTAATTGTATTTATTTTTAAATCGTAATGGGCGGATACAAGGTGGTATCATCAGTCAACCTCGTATTCATGCATATGCTGCCGTGGTTAAAGCCTTCAACGAGGCTCGTCGAAAAAATATTCCATTTAACCCCATCGCTTCTTTTGGACGAGCTGCTGATAGTATGGCTGCCGACTCTGAACAACAATTGATCAGTCGTTGCTGGACTCTAATTTCCATGATGCTCGGTGGACGCAAAGGACTAGAAAAAAAGGCTCAGGGCCATTTCGCTACTGTTTATAAACTGGCCGAAGATCCCGATGTGTCCGAGCAAGCTACTTTGTTCCGATCTAGTCTAATCAAAGGGGGCCGATCTTGGCTACAGGAAGTGTATAGCAACTGGATATCAGATAACGTGCGAAGCCAATATGCTGAGATTGGCGGCATGCCAACAGTCCATTCAGAAGTCGATGCCCATCTTAAAATCACTCATATGAAGCATGGTAGATGGACTCTTAGCTGGCTTGACCTTTCTGTTGGTGGTACTCCATTTTGGGCCCATGTGTTTGTTTTGGTCCGTATGGGTCTTTATGATAATGCTCTCGAGCATATTCAGCGTCATCAAGCAGATCTTGCAAAAACCAACGAGCGTAATTTTCTTACGTATTTCAAGGCATGGATGGACTCTGGTGATGGTCGTTTGCCAAAGACTTACCGCGACAAACTTCTTGCTGAATGGAATGGTGGTATCCGTGACTATGCTACCAAGCCTCACCCCAAAGGTGATCTGTTCAAATATGCTTTATACAAGATTCTTGGTCGATGTGAAATGACCATCAAGACTATATCTTGCTCTGATGTCATTTTTACTGTAGACGATTACCTGTGGTTGCAGCTCATGCTTGTTCAAGAAGAAATTCTCCCAACAGATGCTGCTTACGAACGCTATACCCTGCGTGATTTTTCTTCTCGAATGCAAAAGTACGGTATCGATTATTTCAAAGCGCGACCCACTTGGTTCATGGTTCTTCTTCTTTGTGGCGAGTTTGAGCGAGCAGTGTCGGAGCTGCATAACGATCCAGCATTTTCTGCCGATGGCATTCATTTTGCAACTGCTTTGGCCTACTATGGTGCTCTGCGTGTACCCGAGAATCCTCGTGGCACCGCTGTTGGAGGAACATTTCTCAATATAAAACCCATTACATTGTCAACAGGTGCATCTTATGAAATTGCATACTTTCATTTTGCCAAGACAATTATATCTTTTGTTCGATCGTGGGGCAAGACTGACCCAATAGATACACTGCACTATATTTACCTAATTGGGCTGTTTGGTACACCTTTGGATGCTCGACAGCCATTGGTTGCATCCCCCGCAGACTTGCAGCGATCTGGTCGTGCTTTGGCTCCTCCTGCAAGCCACTCGGGACTTGAGTATACCCGTCTTGCTCATGCCATTGTATGCGAGTTTGTTCTTTCTTCCAAAATGTTTTCTGAAATGCTGGGACAAATTCGCCCTGATGGCAGTGGTCGCACGCCAGGACACATTGATACGTATCGCACCTTGCTCCATCTTACAAGCGATCAAGATTTTATTCAATGCATTGTTCTTGCCTCAGCCTACGATGCAGAAAACGAAAGTCGTTTAGAAGAGGCGATTTATCTTTACCACTTGGCTGGCATGCCGGACAAGGTTATTCATTTGCTCAATACTCATTTAGGTGAACGACTTCTCCAACAAACATTTTTTCAAACTGACGACATGTCAGCCGAGCAAGTCAACAACACTTCTACAATTCGTAGCACAACAGACATCTCTCTTCCACTACTATCTCTGACAACCAATCCAGTACAAGATACGGAGCAACTACTCAAATTTTATCAATCACGTCCACTTACAGCAGCGATGCTTACTACACAAACTGTGTCTACTTGTACTACCCTTGTACAACTTTCCAGATTCCATATCCAGCATGGTCAAGGCAGAGACGAATCGGCCTTGGCAACATTGTATACACTCAACATGTTTCCTTCAACAACGGATATAGTTGAAGTTCAAAGCAGGGTAGACGCGTTTTTGATGCTAGATGAATCGGTTGCCAGAGTCATGCCACAGATCATGTACATGGCATTGCAATCACTTGATCGGTTGTATCGGGCTTGGACAGAGCGTCGTGGAAGCTTTGGCGGTGATGGACGAGTTGTGGATGTGAGAGAACGAGCTAGAGCCTTGATGATGTTTGCTGGCTTGGTCCAATATCGTATTCCCTCAGATATCTTTGGCAAGATGAATCGATTGGATGTAATGATGGGCTGATAGGAATGCAAAAGCAGTTTTTCATTATGAGAATGATTGAGTTTTGGAAAATAGTTGAAATGTTGGCTGTTACAATAAGAGTCTACAGCCGTATTCACGTAAAACGGAGCACTAAATAAGAGTACCAAAATACATAATAAACAGCCAGTCTCATGATAATTCACACCACATTGCTAAACAACATCAAAGTAATCGAGTTCAATATTTGGATTAAAATGGATGAATCTGGTGATTATACACTGCATGGCTATAACAAAGGAGATTATTTCAGTTCAAAATTATAGTTTGATTATGAACATCATATGATGATTGTTGTATCAATTAAAACAGTCAACTTTTAGTAGAAAAGTGTAACGAATATTTATTCTGAAGCAAAACAAAGTCAATGCAAGACAAGTGTCCCATCTTACGCAAGTATGGCTACAGACAATTTGAAACACAGTATGCCATCATATTTATTTGGCGGATGTAGATTGAGCCATAAGTTGATCAATCCGTTTACCAACAGGCAAAACATCCACATGAGCACCAAGGAAATACTTTCTTAGTTTTTCTGGAATGCGAATGCTTCCATCTGGCAACTGATGGGTTTCCAGTAAAGCAATCATGAGTCTGGGTACAGCACAAGCTGTACCATTTATTGTATGAACAAACTCTGTTGCCGTGTGCGTATCTACGTCTGGTGCATTTGACGACTCGTTGGATGCGCCGGATTGCGGAAAACAGCGAATATTTAGTCGTCGTGATTGATAATCTGTGCAGTTAGATGTGCTTGAAATCTATAGTTATATGTGTTGAATGAGATGGTGTAATTTAAAATTAATACTGCAAACTAAGCTTAAATTACCTCTCCCCAAGCGTTTCGACCTGGCATCCATGCTTCCATGTCGTACTTGATATATGCAGGTGCACCCAATTCCTCGGTAGGCATATTCAAAATCCTACGATTCAAAAACAAAATTGAGTGCAACAGTCTTGATTCGACTTTTAAACATGGCAACCTTCAAATATAGTATTACCGAAAGCAAATCTCGAGCCCTTGAAAGATTTCTTTTTGAATCTGAATAAAGTGGTGAAACACATTCATGCTTTCGGTTGGTCGTGCCAATGTAAACAGCTCGACTTTTGTGAATTGATGCACTCGGTATAATCCACGATTGGTAGATCCAGATAGACCCTCGGCACGAAAAGCACGACCCATGCCTGACATGTTGATTGGAAGATGGTCGAGTACCTCACCTGCGTATTTTCCTGCAAGAGGAAACTCTGCAGTCGCAGAAAGACACAGTGTCATGGGATTGTCAGTATTGGTAATGTCTTTACCTGGCACACATGTCGATACGTAATAAGTCTGTGGATCGTCACTTCTGGGACTAAATCCACACGCTTCAAGTACTTCATGACGAATCAAATCAGGAACGAGAACAGGCGTAAATCCTCTCTGTATACATATATCCATAGCATAGCGAACTAGCGCCATTTCTAGCATTGCACCAGCATTGCGCAGATAATAAAATCTGCTCCCAGATACTTTTCCTGCTCGATCAATATCTACCATATCATGTAATTCTGCCAATGTCAGATGAGTTTTAAGTGGTGATTGCGATCCCATGAGTAGATTGGATTCCAATGTACGTGGAGAACCAATCGTATCAACCAAAACAGCTTTGGACTCATCGCCAACAGGAACACTTGGATGCACATCATTGGGCAAGTGTTTTGCTTCGTTAAACAAGTCATTATGTAGTTTTGATAGAGTTTCTTCTGTTGCTTGAACTTGCTGTTTGATGTTTTTTCCAGCTTGAATCAATCGAGTTTTAGTCGCTACACAGGCACGGATTGCATCTGCAGAAGCATTGGATTTTGTTAGTCGAGCCATTTGTTTTACTAGTTCGGCCATGTCTGCAGCAATCTGGTTCCGACGCTTCCGAAGTTCAGATACTTCAAACTCGCATTTTGAAACAGTGTTGTTTAGAGAAATGATATGAGCGAGATTGATATCAGTAATACGACGAGCAGTAAGATTGGATTGAATATGTGATGGATCGTTGCGAAGGTTTCTATAATTGAGATTAGACTGAAAGAGTCGCTGAGATGAGCCAGCCAAAGAAGTGAATGATTTTGGATTGCATGCGTACAAGTCAAGACGACGAACAGCTCTGCGTATTGTCATTCTATGCACAAATTGGTCAACCTGAATTGAAGTTGAACAAAATCAGGTTTCCCTCAAACATTCCTAATGCAAGTCTGACATCTTGACCAGACAAACATGAATGCCATTAATCCTTCTCTGCTCACTATCGAACGACAGTTTTGGCAGAATGTGCCCATGCGATCGTTTCAATGGGGGGATTCCATGCATGCGCTGCAAGATCCAAATGTACAAGATCAGCTTCTGCTCCAACTGAATCTACTGTCAATGCCAACTAATCATATTACTTGCAAGACCAACTCGTCTCAACTACAGCTCCGAGTATCAAAGCAGTATATGACGAGGTTTTTAAAAGGCTTGACCAAGACACTTGAAGCAGCCAATATCAAGTTATCTGAGCAACTTTATGTGACCTTGGCAAACACTATTGGTGCGATCGATGAGCCAGAAACCATCTGCCATCGATACTACTTTCTTCCACAACCCTTTCTGGACAAGGAGAATCCCATCAACCTCTATCACTATCAGAAAATTGCACTGGTTGAAGAGATTGCAGATATTTCTCAAGGAACGACTGGACTGCGAACTTGGCAGGCTGGATTACGAATGATCGAGTATATGGCATTGGATGAACCGGATCTGGTAGTTGGACGCAGAGTTCTTGAGCTTGGATCAGGGATTGGACTACTTGGACTTGCCATAAGCCTTATGGGAGCCAAATCTGTATGCATGACTGATGTAGCAGATTCTGTCCTTGATCGTCTGTCCGTCAACATTGCTCTCAACACACTGCCATCCGAGTCCAGTATTCAAACTATGAAACTCGATTGGGAATGGACTGATGCACAAACATTGGATGCAATCAATCAGATCCATGCAGGGTTTGATGTCATTGTCGGTGCAGATATCGTATACTCTCCATTACTAATTGATCCACTGGTCAATACAATTACTAATCTGCTCAAGGCATCAAATTTGCCTGCCATGGCCGAGTGTTGGATCTCATCTACTAAACGACATGAAGCTACTCAGCAATTGTTTCAGGATCGTTTGAATGCATCCGGACTAGTAGTTACTTCAATCCCACTAAAACCTGCACATTGGTTCCATTACGATGAAAATGCCAACTCTGTCCAGATCTTACATATCAAACTCGAATAAATGTTTTAATAGTCTACATTAATGATAGGCAAATGCTACAGTGTGATCTCCATGTGTCCAATGCAAACCAACGCACCATGAACCACATCGTCTTGATTAGCAAGCGGTTCAAAGTATTTCTTGATGGATTGAAGAGCATCGTCGTCTACTTGCACTAACTGAGTAGTGAATTGAAGCTGCGGTTGTCCATGATTGTGGTCTGTGACCGATATATCGTTAAACACTGCTGGATCCAATGTGGTTGATAATCGCACTGCATCACCACCAGTGCACATGACAGTAGAGATATCATGACTTGTGCTGGTTTGACTACTGGCAACTTTGACAGACCAGAAGTTGAGATCGGGGAGCGGACCATCTCTCCAACAGTCATGCGGTTGTGGTGGATTCAAGCAAGGTGTTCCCAAGAGTCTGAAGCTAGACTCTTGATGAGTCTTGTCATCGATGCACATGAAATGGCCTTGCCACCACCTGAATGGTGAAATGTATTTGGAATGACTAGAATGACTGCATGAGTTGGCACTGGGATCAGTGTTTAATGTAGGAGCAAAACAGAGGACAGCAATGCCCTTCTTGGTTGTCGATTCCATGTCCAATATCAGCGTATTCACGTAAAACACTAGCGTCAGTATGTGGTAAACATTTATTCATAAACTATCGTGTATACGGTGTCTCGCTGTAAGCTTGGGCCATAACCTCCAAACTATTCTGATCGTTCTGAATAAGTTTAGTAAAGTGACTTAGTCCATTCTGCATCTCCGAAAGAGCCTAGATCAATTGTCAAATAAATTAACATATCGAGGCGTATAGATTGACCAATTCACATCAATTTACCTCGAGCACTGGTGCAAGCGAGTCCTCGTCAACAATAGAAAACGTAGCATCATCACTCATACGCTTCGAGTCTTTTAACTGTTGCAGCTGAGCCCAAATCTCATTTAGTCTACCTCGGAAAATGGATGGCTTTTGAAGATCACGCTCCATTGATTCAAACCGTGACCGTAGAGCTTCCTCATCAACACGAATAGAATATCCACGATTGCGTAAAATCTGGACTGTTTTTAAAAGCTACCAAAATATTGTAAATGTCAGCAAATTCGCTTCCAACCACACCAAAACCAAACTCTAGGAATGTACCATGTAAGTCTTGTGAACCATCTGTCTTTGACGACGTCTAAATTCATCCAGTTTGACCAAAGTATCAACAAAGTGTTTTGTCTTGAGAGCATCCACTCTGGTCGCAATCATCTAATGCACGGTGTCAGAAAGCAACACTTGGATCAGTACACCTGGAAAATGCAATCAATTGCATACAAAACAAAAACTACCTCTAGCTTTTCTTTATGCACGGCTTGCTGCTGTTCTTGAACCTCCATTCTTTTTTTAAGATCTCCAAATCCAACAGCTAGTACAGGAACCATGCTGTTATTAAAAGTGACACATGTTTATCAGTAAATCATTAAAATTGCTTTACACTATGCAGCCAAAATGATTAGGCATTCAAAACTCACCATGAAGGATCAGGATTGTTCATTTGTGCTTGTTGGTATGTGCCCATTTCTTGAGGAGGAGGTTGGTATAAATGGGCTTCGCTGGCGTGAACCATATTGTAAAAATAAAACTAAACACATGACAGATATTTCATGATCAATACCAGCCATTTACCAAGTCTGAAATCCACAAATAGATTCAATCTCAACCTTAAAATTGCATAGGGGACTCTGAGGATTCCAGTATGCCTCCATTCTCATGATCGCTTCAACAATTTGCTGTTGTTGTTGCTGCTGTTGAGTTTGCACTAGCTGTTTTTGCTGTTGACCTAAAAGGATTTATACAATCCAAAGTATTTGATAGGTTGCATGATTAGTGTTTTAATAAAGGTACTGAATCCGGATAAAACTGCACTACTTTGATCTTTAACTCATGTATATACAAACCGAATAATCCAGATGTAGTCGACTGTTGTCCAAAGAGACCAGATCCACCTCCGAATGCAGCAGGTTGTGGCTGGGCAAACATCCCACCACTGCCAGCAGCATTGCCAAGTACATTACTTGCACCAATAGTTGTTGTAGCCGGAGCTCCAAATAAGGATGTACCGGGAGCAGATGTTGCAGGTGCGGCAGTTCCGAATAAAGATGAGCCCATTGTAAATGCAGGTGCAGTGGTTCCAAATCCACCAAACGCATTGCCTGCAGTAGTAGTAGGTGCAGCACCAAACAATCCTGTTTTTGGTTGTGCTGGTTGAGCACCGAATAAACCTCCAGATTGTTGCTGTTGTCCAGTCGTTCCAAATCCTGTTGTCTGAGCAGTTCCTAAAACCAAATTTACATGAGTATGGTATGCACTCATTGAATATCAACGATAGCACGACTGACTAGCTCAACCACATCAACTCATGCAGCCATGGTCGAGATGAACAAGTGGAAGTAATCAAGTTGCTCAAGTCTGTTTAAATCAATACCGATTCATATAAGCAATCAAGTATTACCAAATGCTGGAGCACTAGATTGCCCAAACATGCTTTAATAGAACAAATCTAGCTTGTCTGTTGCTGTTGGTCAAGATTCGAGTTTCTTTGAATATTAATTAAATTGATGAACGTCTACGATCTTGTTGATGCTTGAAACTGCGATTCCAATTCACTCAACATTTCATCTGGTAGCTAAACCGTAGCAATGGCTGACGATGATATTGACAACATGGACTTTGACTTGCCTTCTGAACTATTGACCAATATTGGCAATCCTTCCTTTTCTTCAGGTAAATCATCTTTTGCTGATATATTGCCGAGGCTTCGTGCTAAAACTAGCCACTACAATGGTATTGCCAACTAATTGAACTCAGGCATGCCTACACTTCAAGCCATGGGTCAAAGAGCTGATCCTCGAGTTCTAGAAGCATCAAAAAGGTGAGTACTATTATGACCTGTTATCAGAGTTGGTGATATCAACGCAGTAGCACAAACTCACTCCTACTGATCTATCAACTTGAATCAGATGGACATGTATATATCCAGTCTACATTGATCAAGACAAAAGCTATGCCGAAGGCCGTCGTGTATCTAAATCTCAAGCTGTAAAAAATCCGGCGGCAATATACATGGCAGAGGCCGTACAGCGACTTGGTCTAACATCAGTAGTAGAGCCTAAATGCCGTCACCCACGAGATCCATTCACATTCGGTCGTATCAGAGTACAGATCCATACAACAGCTGGTAAACCCATCAGTCCAATCTACTTTAACAAAAGACAGCTTTTGATCAAGATTGCATCCATGCTGCCGGCATGCAAAGAAGAACTAGATCAATCCGATTCAAAAATTGCTGGAATTGCTGCGCACTCGAGATCTGAACTGTCCAAAACGGTCGAAGAAGCTTCGCAGCCAAAAAGTGTTTCAAATGCAATCACAAGTGGATCTGAGACTCCTGCTATTGCTGCATCTTCCACTGTTTCTTCCACCTCATCAAAGAAAAAGGGCAAAAAGAAGCGTTAAAATTAGTGATTATTTAACAATAGCTTTTATAAATCATAATGAAATGCAAATGCCAAACTTTACATTGTTAGATTGTGGTGAGAGTCGAGTGATGTGATGGTTTGTATTAACATACAGGCCAACTATTCATGATAGTTCTTTGCCAAGAACCTGTTCAAGCCTCACATTCGCGCCAAATTTTTAGTCTTTATTGACCGTGTTCTGGATATTTGAATCGTCTATATTGCCTATTGGTGGTTTAAACTCCTTGAATCAACTCTTGATACGCTTTCCTGAAATATCAGAAAATATTTTTATTTGTCAAACTTGACTATGGCGCAGACATTTCCTCTGGTCTCCAACAAATCTGTAAAGATGAATAGCGAAGTGATACCTCGACGAACCAAGCTATCCCAAAACCAAGGTGGTTTAAGTGTCCTTGCATCAGGGTTTGATGAAGACCCATTTGAAACTTCTGAATCAGATACAGATTTGGACACTGGTTTAGTGCAGTATCTGAGCCATCCGACAGAAAAAACATCTCAAGTGCTCAATAAGCCTATTCCTCCGTCTTTCCATTTCAAAAAACACAATTATTTTTCTGTATCTGATATGGGGCTTGATGTAAGTGATGCATAGCATGGAAACCAAATGCGTTTAAATACACTTTTTGTTGATGACTAATGAAAACTGGTCTTGATCTATATAGCTTGAGGATGAAATGGAAACATCTACTTTTGGCCAATCAGCGAATCTATCCAATACAGCAGTATCCATTCAGCAATCTCTTGCCTATCCAATTGGACACGTACCTCTTGCCCAGCACATCAAACCTAAAGCCCATGTGGCTCCCGCGGCTGATTCGGAAAGTATCCTCAAAGAAACTGATAATCAAAGCGTATCACAAAAAACACTTGCCAAATCGAATTCCAATCTGGATATTCAAAACAACACGGCAGTTCAACCTTTAGGTAATAACAATTCTATGCATCCCAATTGTTCTGGTGTAAATGCTGGACTATCAACAATCAATCTAAACCTATAGCTGTTTGTGTATAGATCACATGGAACAAATCATAAGCTTACAAAAAACAATCGAAAAATACAAAGCAGAAAGTAGAATTAAAGACAAAGAAATTGCATCGCTCAGAAAAGAAGTGGTTGGTGAGGCATCCTGCTGTAAATATGTGTAACCAATTTTAAATGATTTATAATTATTAATGTCTTGGCGTTATGATCAAAACATTGTGGATATAGGAAGTCAGACTGGGTTTCCAGTTGGAGGAGCAGATAATACAGTTACAGATATGCTTTTAAAACCAAACATGACAAAGGATGCCAAAGTAATTGAATTGGCTAAAAAGGTAATGTTGCTCGAGTCGGATTACAATAAGAAATACGTACTAAAACAGCGATTTAGGCACGCCGATTGACTGTCGCATATGAACGAGAACGATCGATGAATGCAACCCTCCAAATTCAACTCAAGGTATGTCGGATATTAAAAATATTGTCAAATCTAATATATGATGAAAATACTAACCTTGAAACAGCAACAAAGAGAAGCTGCTGTGTCTCGGCAGGAAATTGAATCTGATGATTTAAAAAAACTACCTCGACAGTCGGAAATCAAAGTTTTGAAGGATAAAATTGCGCAGGTATGCTTTCAATATGCATAAAATTCAACACTGATTGACAAATCAGTAAAGTTAGTAATCTCAGTCTATACTATTGTACTTTTTAAGATAACAAGAAAATTGGAGGAGGAGCGTATTGCTGGGCAAAGCCTCAAATCAGACATCAGACTCGCTCAAAAGGCATTGCTGCTAGAAATTGGTGACGATGCTCCTATTCAAAATGTAAATGGCTTTAAAGGTCTAAAAATATACGCTTTATTTTAACCTTGTTTTGTATACTGACAACTGATTGTTGGATACACATATCACTTGTACCACAGATTGTCAAGGGAGATGTAGGTGGATGGAAAGGTCGTGCCGAGCAGATTGCCTTGCTCAAGGATAAAGTCAAGGAATTATCGCGTAAACTTGCCAGAATGTCATCCAACAGCAGGATATCCAATGCCAACTTTACTGGAGAAGCTGATCATTACGATCTTAAAAATCGTGAATCCATTCAAAAGATTGAAAGCACACGCAAATCAGATTTGGATAAAGCCATTGCGGAGTTGGAACAATCACGCAGCAATACCAGTAGTATAAAATCAAAGTGTGATGCATTGGTGGCTCGCAACAGGTCAGCAGCATATTATATTACATTTTATTGATTTAAAGAATTGGATATTTACTAACCAGTATTTTACTGCAACACGTTTTGAAGAATTTTGGAAAGAGAGGTCAAAGATCTTCGAACCAAGATTGGTGTGTTATTGCGAAAAGGGGAAAACGATGATCGTCTTATTCAAGCTCTAAAACAAGACGCTTTCAAAACAAAGGTAGTGTATTTTGTTTTGACTTGATAACATGGTGGTGTAGCGCATAGTTGATGCTAATCTTATTTCGGACTAGTCTGACGCGGAGCGCGGTCAAGCTGCAATATTTGATAGGTTGCGTCTGCTTTGTGCCGATCAAGAAGGACAGATTCAGCAGTTGCAGACACAGTTACAGGAAGCCAGCAACACATCCGACTGCGTGAAAAAGCATTTTGCAACGCAAACAACTCCAGAAAATATAATACCTGCATCAGAGCAAACTTCTCAGATGAATGGATTGCAATCAATAATTCACTCGTTAAAGCTAGAGATTGAATCACTACGAACATTGAATAGTGAGTTGGAACAGCGACTAAATATTTTTCCAAGTCCTAGCGTGAATTGTGAAATAGAAAGAAAAGCACCGAGTAGTTGTTTAAAAGACGGCAAGACTAAAAAGAGAACAACGACAGAAGAACATGCAATACCCAAAGTAAGTCATAACTTTTTTACATTTCAATCTACGGTTTTAATCCATGATGGGATTGACCCAAATCATTTGCAATGTTTTCTTGTAGCAACAGGATGCGATTCGAATGCAAAACAAGCTTGATCTGTTAGTGAACGAGAATGAGGCTTTGAAAAGTAAGACATCCTATAACTGATTCATTTGGATGTTTTCAGATAAAACTTGATCTGACCAACTGCACTGATATACCCAGTGTCAATTCAATCAATCAATGATGCCAAGGCAAAAGATCTAGACATGTATAAAGAACTGTTAGATACCACTAGGTCCATGTTTGACAGAGATATAAAATCACTAGTAGATCGTCTAGAGCGCCAATCGTGACAATAGAAAATAAAAAATATCAAGGTATAATTTATTGTACAAAATATTAAAAAGTACAGGATCATCAGCAACAGATCTAGTCAGAAACAAAAGTTAGCGAACCGAATAGAAAAATGCTGAGCAATCATATCAGCTATTTACAGCTATGTTCACGTAAGATGAAACACTAAATAAGAGTATCGGATGTATAATAACAGCCAATCCCATAACTGATGCCAATCACCAAACATTGTGTTCTTTGAACTCTCTAGTTCATTAGTCTTCTAGTGGTTGGTATGAAAGCAACAACTGCATTGCCAAAATGTACAATCTTTTAAACTAGAACGTACAAGGTTAAGATACAACAATGTGGAGTTGCATTGACAACAGCAAAACCCAATATATGGGTCAGTAGGAAATCACAATAAATATTTAATCATTGCTTATTCCAAAGCAAGATAAAGTGTTCCATTTTACGTGAATATGGATGTAAAGTTTGAATTGCTCAGAAACCGGATTAATCTTTGAGCCATTAATTTGAGCAACTGTTCTTCTTTGTACAATCCACCTGCAGTTTAACTAATATATGCCATCAAACTCAAAAGTGATGTGGAGGAACAAACCACCACACACTTTAGATACTGCACAAAACATTCTTGTAATAAGAATGCAGCACAAGTAAGTCTGGGCCATTAATTTAAGCGCAGGCCGAATTGTGCAAATACAAAACGATCAGTTCAAATCCCATATTAGTACTATTCCAGAGGTGGCAGACACACCTGAACCAGAAAACCTGATACAGGGGAATGCAGTTACTAGATATGCACAACACAGCAGCCCGATCAGAGAATGGATAATAACTGGTTATCATCATCGCAACAAAAGTTGTTTTAAACAGAAACATTGCGACTTTTAGACAACGCTTACCAAGATGTGCAGATTTGTTCAGAAACTTCAATTAGCAAAGAAAATTTAATTTTGGTGAACAACACAGGCAGCACAGCCAATCAGCAATGAAACCGAATTGTCCAATCAAAATCCAGTGTCAAATGCCTGAGGGTATTGTTTGATAATCCATTACTTTAATGTGGACTAAAACAACTATCAGATTCCATTTTATATCATGAAGGTCGAGTATTGTTCATTGGTTGGCAAGGGCTTGAAACTCAATACTGTCGAGGATGTTGCTCAGTATGTGGCTGAAATAGAGGCTCTTGACGGCCTGACTACTGTGCGTTTAGGAGGCAACACTTTTGGAGTGGAGGCTGCGCGTGCCATTGCTGCTGCTCTCAAGAAAAAGGATCAACTCGAGGTAATTGAAAGTGGTTGGTGGTCATGTTGATGCGATTGGATACTGCAGATTTTTATGTAATCTGTATTTGGAAATGCACTAGTGTGTTTGATTTGTTTTTGTATCTATCGAGGCTTGTTACTAATAGATTGCTTTACAGGTTATTGGGTTTTCTGATATGTTCACTGGAAGATTGAAGGACGAAATTCCACTTGCTCTAGACGCCTTTGTCGAGGCATTTGAAGACAAGGTCAGTATAGATTTGTCGTTGTATTTGTAATGTGGTTGGTTTATACAGCGAGCCGGTACTACACAGGATAGGCCGAGACTAATGCCAAATTTATCTCATTAACCAACGAGCATTCCAACTACTGTTTAAAATGTACCAAATATGTTTAATCGAAACAAATTTAATATTAAATCTGCATTTAACTTTACTACACTTTATAGAAACATCTTGTTGATTTGGATTTATCTGACAATGCATTTGGCCCTGCTGGTGCCAAACCACTCATGCGACTTCTGACTAATAATCGAAACATTGAAACTCTACGTCTCAACAACAATGGTCTCGGAATCGAAGGTGGTCGTCTTGTTTCAGAAGCACTTATTGAAGCACAGAAGCTTAACGAGGCAGAATCACGTATATCGTCACTTAAAGTTGTGATTGTAGGACGAAACAGGCTTGAGAGTGCCGGTGCGGGACATTTTGCCAAAGCATTCGAAGCACATAAAAAGTCTTTACATACTGTACGCATGCCACAGAACAGTATTCGTCCTGAAGGAATCAGCAATCTGCTCACGTCATTGCGTCAATGCGACAAACTGGAGTATTTGGATCTGCAAGACAATACGTTTACGCGTGAAGGATCGCTTGCATTAGCAGCAGGAATTCCTCACTGGCCCAATCTCCGAGTGCTTGACATTGGCGATTGTCTTCTCAAAACATCTGGTAGTGGAGCCATCATCAAAGCATTGACATCCGAAAGCACCAAATTGGAACATTTGAATCTCAGTTTTAACGAGATCAAGGAACCAGCTGCAATGCTCTTGGTTATGATGTTGGCCAACAAGACTTGTATCGAGTCTATCCAACTTAATGGAAATATTTTTGAAAGCGACTGTGACTCAGTAAATTCGATTCGCAGGATGTTGGAGACGTACGACAAGGGGGATGCTTTGGATGAGCTAGATGAGATGGAAGAGGAAGACCTGGATGAAAATGACAATGATCCAGATGGACACCTTCTCGGAGAACCGATTTTATCGGACAATCTTTCTGAAGAAGACGAGATTGAGAAACTGGCGAAAGATATCAATGAGCTGGTAGTGTAGATCCGTAAGCTAATCAAGACTTCCAATGTACAATCGAGTGTGATTTTATGGAGATTACCGAATGAAAAACACTTGGATTTGGAAGGTGAAACAGTAGTCACGTGTAGTGTAGTTTGATCACGTGTGTAATCTTATAAACTCGCGGCGTCGAAACGAACAATTGCTCGGTTTCAATCATTGCAGATGGCATTCTCTGCTGAGAACGACAGCGCATACGGTTTTGGAAAGGGCTTGACCTCTCCTACCGATTTGGGCTACTCTATTCCCAAGGCCTCTCAGACTAAGAGCTCGCTAGTTGCGAACCCCTGGGATACTGAAAGTACTGCAGGTATGTCAAGTCTATTTTCACTTTATAGTCTGTAAATATCTCCATGCTTGAACTGCTCGATAAAGGTTTTTGCAGAAATACTTTCAACAATGGAATCAAGACGATTATTGTATAATGCGTAGATGGTGTTATGTATTCAAGCAACATTGATTTGGAATCACTTTACCGTCATCAAACATTCCTTTTAGCTGAAATCTACCAATTTGCTAAAATGTTTCGAGTATCAATGCTAAACATCACTAATGAACCCAACTGAATGCTATATATGTAGCCATACACAGATCATTGAATCCTTCCGTAAACAACAATGACAGTGTATTTTCAGCACCTCTCCCTCGACAATCATCCCTCAGCGAGACTGAACAGCAACAGCTCAGGGATGCCTTTTCTTCGCGTCCAACATATCGTATGCCAGCCACTACTGTACTAGGTCATTCCGTTTTTTCTCCAGTCAATCGAATGATTCATGACGAAGTTTTGCATGAAAGTTCCAGTAGCATGGAGTCGCATTTATCTGCATATCTATCTCCAAGAACAACTCCGGCAGAACTAGAACAAGAAACCGACCCTTGGCGAAGTGTTGCACAATCGTTTGATTTTTTAAATGGGAAAAATCACCCTAATACGTTCAATTCTATTTCATCATCAGATCCTTATAATAAAATTGAGGAATTGCGCCGTCGCTCATCCAACCTTCAATCAAATGGAAATGATGTTGAATTTAACTCAAAACCTGCAACTGGCCTTTCTTCATCCGTTCCTTCCACCTCAGATGCATGGCAAGATTCTACTCCAACTTCAAAAAATATTATTGATCAGCGCTCGTCTGTTCAGTCTAATGGAAAATCTGTTTGTTTGAAGCCCTCTGTAAACTGGTCTGATGTAATTCCTCGTGTGGGTCCTCATATCCCACTTCCTATCGAGGAATTCCCTCAAGATACTATCGAGGTACTGTATCAATTGAACCTGCCAACATTTTTAAAAACGCTAATTTTATGATTTTCATGGCATTGATTTGTGTTTATAATAACTGACTTTAGGTTGCAGTAGCACCTGAACGAGGAGGTTTTGTATTCAAGCATATCAATTACACTGTGACTTCTCAGGTACTAAAGCGCTTAATTGTTTGACAAGTACTGTCTTGTTTCGGTATTATTCTGCTATACTGTTTTTACTAAACTCTTTGCATTTACGTTTTGTAGATTAGATCTAGTACAGTTCTTCGTAGATATTCCGAATTTTGGTGGTTAGCAGAAATTCTCACTAAGCGATATCCATACAGAATTCGTAAGTCCGAGGCATTTACCCTTAATGAGTTGATTAGATACTTTGCATTAAGCTGACTAATAATTGCTTTTTCATGCACTTGTTTTTAGTTCCAGTTGTAAGTTGATATCATCACTGTTACTGGCATTATTTTGATACTAATGATTTTTTCAAAATGCACTGCCAACCCATTTGATTTACTTTTAGCTACCACCAAAAAAAGCTGTGGGAGGTAATTACTTTTTTGATAGATTTTAATTGCTAGACTACTTTATTCATCAAATATTTAATTTAGTGCATCAAGAATTTATTGAACAGAGACGACAAAGACTTGCACGATTTATTAATTTTGTTGTGAATCATCCCATTTTCAGAAAAGATGATATGGTGTTTATTTTCATGACATGGAATTCAGTAAGTATTTCCAGTTGATTTGATAGCCAGTCCTGTATAACTCAAATACATATCTTGCATAATATAAAACCTGCTGACACTGTTTTCCATATTTGAATGGCTAGGACATTCAATCTTTTCGAAATGCACAGCAAATATCTATCGAAGAAGAGGGTAGTTTATTGCAATTGACTGACACCATGAGGCAAAGTGTGCCGTTGGATGTTCACGATCGTCTTGCTGCATTCCAATCGAGTATAGACTTTCAATTACAACAAATACACGATCAGTGTGTAATTATGCAACGAATTATTCATAGAGCCCAAGGTGAGCATATGAACCTGTGTGGTGTGTTGCAACTGAGTGTTTTTGATTTTGTGATTGTACTCATAGGCATTGTATTTAGATACTTGCGTTGACTACGTTAAATATAGTGAATTTCTACGGTGCGTATATAATTTTATTTTTTTACTGATTTTCTTGAACACGCTTGCTTATGATGTTTTCAATGCGATGTATAGTGGGCTAGCTGAAAATCAGTATGTGGTAGATCCAAACTGTGAACACCATATCCGCACTGGACGCACATATAGACAAGTTGCAGGAATTCTCCAAAGCACAAGTCAGATTTACAAAGAGCAGGTATAACGATTTTGCCAGTGTTTAGTTGTTTCTATGATTCTTTTAATTGCTATACTTTATCATGTTTGTGCTCCAGGACAATCCGCAGTTATACTTATCTAATTTGATTGATCATTGATTTTTTCAGGCACAAATGACTTTAGTGGGTCTTATAGAAGGACTGCGATCACACTCTGAAATTTTAGTAGCATTTCATGATCTTCTTATTCGAACTGATAAAGTTCTTTCTGGATTATCAGTCGAAACTACAACGAAACGAATTCAGCTAAATCGTGCCAAACTGGCAGACTTGGCCAATAAAAAGGCCTCAACAAGGGAAATGGAGCGTTTATCTCATACCATTGACCAGGTAGGGTGAAGGCAGTTTGTATCCTCAAGCTCAAGATTTTGTATTGATGCTGACTCGATTTCCACCTTTTCCCATATATCTAGGATCAACGGGAACTTGAGTTTGAAAAGGCACAAGTCATCTTTATCCACTTTTGTGTGTGGAGCGAATTGCAATTGTATCATCGCTTGGAAGACCAAGTCACTAATCTGTACAAACAACATGCAAATGAGCAGATCCTTTCATATCGAAAACATTATGAAGTAATACTTTTAAAATCAAAATTGAACAATGCCACGTTTCGACTGTCTTTGCTTACTATATGCTTTTTAAAATGTATTAGATTTGGAGCGATTTGGTCAACTCACCTGGATTTTGCTGATTCCTACTATACCGACTTTTTTTGGAAAGCACTAAATACATGATATTCTATTTTTGACGTCTTATTTTTACAAAAGCATGTATATTTTGAAAAGTGGGAAATTTGATTTAAACTGCAAAATGCAATTCTGTAACGGATATTTTGAATCAATTGGCTGTTACCATCTTCATTTATATTGAATCTTTATTTCTGGTCGTTGTGTCTCTTGTTGGAATTGCTCAACCTCTTGCTTTAGCTCTGGGTTTGCAAGTAAAGCTATCATGTTGACCCAGAGCAAATGAGTTGTCAACATACGACACGATTTGAACATTATCCAGCAGATATGCTTACCCACTGCAAATTCAGGCAAATTGACTGGTCGATGAACAAGCACTTTTTGAATAAAGTATCCAATAATATTCCTGATTTCAGGATGCTGACGTATATAAAGTTCGTTTTCGATACGAAGCTGAATCTGTATACAATAAATACTATTTCAGCACTCGACCATTGGATACAACGAAAATTGGTGACGACGTTGAAATTCACCTTGTCTTGGTCAAGCTGAGTTTGCATTTCTTTATTCAGTACAATTTTTTTTGAGGTTGCATGTGCTACGACTTGATTGGTAAGCTCAAGATTTGGTGATGCTGTAGCCATTTTGGCTGAATTGGTTTATCTGGGCAAGATTCGTCAGTACTCGACGCGTTGACATGCAAGCGCTGTGGTGATAACAGACAGTAAACGAGGTGATTCAATTCATTCGCATTAATTACCCAAAAGCTATAAAGCATGTTGATTTAAATTAATTTTACTATTCAAAATAAACAGATTGATTACTTGAGTTTGAGAAATAACGAGTATAAAGGTCTTTTTATAGACATATCAATTCCATCAGCAAATCCAATGTTTCTTTTTTGGTGCAAAACTAACGGATTGCCAAATATTAACTTACAATTGAATTTAAATGCATAATCTATCAACAGATGATCAAATTTTACACTTGTATTGCTCAATTTGAATATTGACATGTTTCCATCAATATCAGGGTTAGGGGTCAAATGGTTGAATTCATGGGTACTTGGTTGAAACTATAATAAAGCTAGTTTTATTATAAATTGTATCCGAAGCAAAAACGAGTGGTGTTTCTCTATTCCTATAAGCTTGCTTTGATCAGGTCCTAAATATTTACCGATTTTGCATGGCTTTACTAGCAAGTCTAGCAAGATCTTTAAAGTTGTAATACGGGTGCGAATTCCAGTGCTTGTTGGATAACCTAACCGTAAATATATAGTTAACTTCTAGTTTTAATTCTACGATCATAAAGTATCAGTAAAGAATACCATATTTTTGCTGGATACTTTGGACTAGAGAGACCATGAAAGATACGCGCAACAGCTCGACCTATATATAATGCATCAAAAAATAGAGATCAGCCAAAGCTTTATTAAATGCTCAAGTCAGTGCTGATTATTTTGCCTCACCTGATGTAACCTCGCTTAAATGTGCCTTGACAAACGATTTGATGGAAATCTCCACATTTATTTTTCTATAATGGATCAGTTTAGTCAAATCTAGTTGAAATCAGTCAAATCTACACAATTGACTTACGCTAATTTCTGTTTTTCAATAAGTTCTGGGTCTCTAAAGCCCCATTTATCTCCTTCCAATTGATCTTTGCCTATCTCTGGCAACTGGAAGTAGAGCATGATGCTATTCATCAATGTTTGCTGAGCAATTGGTAAACTTTCAGCTAATGTATTAGCTGCTGATTCGGATTCGTTGGTTATGCTATTAGACGGTAAAGACGTGTCCATATCCAGTGGATCCCTTATGGCAGCATATAGTGTCTCGTATAGCTGTAACCCCCATAGAAACCAAAAAATGGCATTAGTATCTCAAAAAATCAGAAATTGAAGATCAACATTTTGCTTGTAAATTAATGTCAAACAGTGGTTGGCATATCATACGCTTACATAATCCAATTTCCACGCACTTGCAGATTCAATTGCTGACATTTTTTTAAATAAACTATCGCATAAACCATCGAGAAAAGCCTGTTTCTCATTAGCATCTGTCCAAGCTCTATTAACTAGAATATTGAATGCTTTGTCGCCACTGTTAAATTTAAGTTCCTTGGATGCCTGATATTTCCACAATTCTGTGGCAACTGTTGACGGTTCAACACCTGCAGACTCGGCAACCTTAAAAACTATAAATTAGACTTGAAAAATCATCGATTTCAAGTATTAATGGAAAACAAATCGATATTGGCTACCTTGAGGGTATCAAATTCTAAACCGTATTTAATTGTGGAACCATGCACTCTTGCCCACCGAATCACATCAGAAGATTCGGCAAGTGTTTCCAACTTTGCTTTGCTGCAAAACAAGGTATATGTGGAACTCAAAGCTAGTCGATTTCAAAAATATTTACAAGGTGTTGGAAATGCGTTCAAATATCAAAACACAGGTAATATGAAAGTAATCACTTACTAGGAAACACCTTGATGGGTGGGTTATCAGTGTCGCTCAACTCAATGTAGCTTAGCATTGTGGAAATGACACTTTCGCGTATATCTAGTTGGGATTCCAGATTCTGAATAGGCAGAATCAGACGAATAGAGTCATTAGCTTTAACATTTGCAGAACCAGCTCTATTGTCACGACATCCAGCACCGGGTTTTCCCGACTTGACGGGTGGAAACAGGACTTTCAACAAACGCCATATTCCTGCCTCATCTACGCCGTCTGAAAACACAAAACTACGATGTTTGACATAATCCTCCTGTACTAAAAACAAATTACAATAGGCTGGCTCTCCATTGCGGCCCGATCGTCCAATCTCCTGCATATAGTCCTCGATGCTTCTGGGCATAGAGTAATGAATCACACTCCTGACATTTTGCTTGTTGATGCCTAGACCAAATGCAACGGTTGCTACAATAATGCGAAGTCGACCATGCTGAAAGCGAGATTGAACGTATTCACGTTGCTCAGGTGTTTTTCCAGCATGATAGGCATCAGCATCAAAGTCTCGTACACGGAGATACTGTGCAACTCGATCTGCTTGTGCCTAAAATATAGCATTGCCATTTCAATACATGTGAGTAGTGCAAGTTTGTGAGGAATTAAACAAATAAATCAATAGCACTGTCACACTGTCACAGACCAAAAATCTGGTATCAAGTGACTTGCCTGAAACATGGTATAAACAATAATTGATTCAAGATTGCGATATGGAAGAGTGCGCAGCATATCAACCAAAGTGGCATCACGACTATCATCAGCCGATACAGGAGTTACAGACACATTTAAATTGTTTCGAATAATGGAAGGAGACACAATACAGCCATTTTCTTGGTCAATATTTAGCATGCCACATATGGATCGTCGTGTTGGAAGCGTGGCTGTAGCTGACAATGCGACAAAGCACTCAACACCGAGCGTTTTCTTTAGAATATTGTGCAGATGCAAATATGAAGGCCTTGTAATAACATTAGAATACAATTAGCAACTTGATTTACATTACAACACAATGTATATACATAGTTTAATGAAATGGATATATGCACACATGCGACACGGCTTACCTAAAGTTGTGAGACCACTCAGAAAGGCAATGCGCTTCATCAATATATGCAATTTGAATAGGCATGATTTTCCCTGTTTGGATAAGCTCAACAAATGATGCGCTTTGCAGTCTTTCTGGAGCAACAAAAATAATATCTAATTCATTGAATTCAAGCTTTTTATAAATTTCTCGAGTGACTGATGCCTATTATACAGAGATTCAAACAATCAAAAGTACAAAGTTGGTATATTGGTCAATCCAAAACTAGAAACCTCAAATCACTAAGTCTTACTGATTGGTGACCGCTTGAAAGACAAGCAGCACGGATTCCAGCTGGCAGGCAACGCATCTGATCTCGCATCAATGAAATAGTTGGGGAAACAATGAGGATAAGAGACGGCTGAGCTTGAGGAATATGGCGAATAATGAATGCTGGGAGCTGGTAGCATAGTGATTTGCCGCCACCAGTAGGTAAAACTACCAACGTGCTTTTTCCTGATAGAATTCGAGCTATTGCTTCGTATTGACCTGGATGATAATGCTTGCAAGTAAGTACACAAAATATCAAGATATTTAAGCTAAATAATGCTACCAAAAAACCCACCCTCTCGAAAACTATCGAGACCACACAATCGTTGAAGTGCAAGGTTCAGATCGACATAGACCAAATTGCCACCATTTTTGTGGTAAACAGGAACACATGATGGTGTAGCAGTAGCTGATGTGTAAATAAAATCTATGGGTATATTAACTGGTGCTTCATCTACAATTGCATCGGTCATTTTAGATTTTTTATCAAGTTCTTCAATCTCGCCAAATGTATTGATCTCGCGACTTCGATCGGGGTCGTTGATTACTCTACAAAACACATTAGTCATTAAAAACCACAAGCTTTTGAACTGGCTAAAATGCATTTTTACCTCTTGCTGCCAGTTCTATGTCCAAACTTTCTACCAGAACTACCATTGACAGGCTTTTTGCCAAGTTTTAAAGCACGATAGTTTGAATTGACTACTCCTGTGCCAGTTTTTCTTGTTTTTTCTTGAGATGGCATAGACTCAGTAGCCGACTTGGATTTTGTTATTCGACTCTTTTTTGCCCTTGGCACAAGTGCAGAATCTACCTCATTATCCACTGCTCTTGATTTTCCTTTTGTACTTTCAATGTCGACACTCTCAATGTTCATAGTTTCTAGCCGAGGTTCTTTTTTAAGAGTAGGTATGCAACGGCTGGATTCCGTGTCGAAATTGGTGGCGAGACTCTCATTTTGGATCGACAAAAAATTATCATGCTTGACTACCATCACATTTGATGGCGTCAATGCTGTTTTGAATGTGTCGAAAGTAATTCCCATTCCGGTAAAAGTGTCGTGACAATCTGAAATTGCCTGATTTGATACTGTGAGTTCACTCATGGTGGACGGGCCAGGTATAGTAGTAACTATCTGATCTACATCACGAATGACATCTGCAAGCGCCTGCTGTTCTTTCAAACTAAGAAACTCGCGGTAATTGCTTGTAAGAAGCAATGTTTTGGATGTTTGTCTTTTCAGTGATCTGGCATTGATAAATTTGTTTGGGCAAGTAACTACACAATTTGATCCAAAGTCAACACTGCTATCGCTGTCATCATTTTCGTCATGAGAAAAATATGGTTTTGAACATGAAAGTGCCGGTTGCTCCTTTGGATAAATGGGAATGGATGATGTAGAATGAACTGATACAAATCCCTTTGTAGGCTTTGGTAAAGAACTTTGTAAATGCCATCTAGATGATCGAGTGCCATTAGAAAACATGCTTTGAATCTTGTACTTGTCATTTTTAGCTATATCCGTGCTACTATTTAAAACTTGATTCCTGTCTGGTAGACTCGGCAAGTCTTTCTTGTCTTCAATATGTTCTCCAGCTTGGTGGTTGGTGTTTTGATGATCTTTATTCAGGAATGTGCCAAATGGGGTGTTGATATCATCAATGCTTGTCGGTAGGGATGGATCTGACGTAGGAGCGGTAAAAACTGTATTTGGTAATACAGTTTTTGAAACTTGGCTGTTGATATCGAAATTAGCAAGTGAAGTGTTTTTGAAGAATGCAGGCATCTTTTTCAAAATGGACTCGGATTGTGTGCGTCGAGGCAGCCGCTTTGAAGTAGTGGATGCGCTAGTATGCAACATTGATTTACTCACACTGGTTAAACCCTTTTTAGGTGACTTGACAGCACTCAAGCGATCCAAAAACAAATTAGATCCTCCACTAGAAATACTCTTTTTTGAAGATTTCTCAAGCTTCTCTTCAAAACCTGTAACAAACAAAGATTCCATCAATGATGTTTGACCAGTTCGATTAGTCTTTGCAGGGGATGGGCCGATCCACTCTTCGTCCATATCATCTTTTACAAACGTGGCTCCCAACCCATTAGACTTTGTTGAGGAGAGGAGAAATGGAGATTTGCTATGGTTGTGCCTGCTAGCACTTAATGGGCTCTTGAACAAAGGGCTAGTATTTGATGCTGATTTGGAATTGGAATTGGATCTAGGTTTTGTAGGTGTTTTGAATACGGAATCTTTTTGGATCCCATCGATAGATACGTTAATATTAGACGCTAGTCCAAACGTGGATTCTGCTGGACCAGAATGTATAATTGTATCTTTTGGTTTTTGATTTTCTGAATACATCCGTTCATATGCAATCCTATCCACTTTGCTTCCAAATGGAGACTTGATAAAATGAATCGGAGACTTGGCGCAATGCTTAGAGGAGTGGTCCAACGATGTAGTTGGAACGACAGGCTTGATTTGAGAATTTGAGCTGGAAGTGCATCTCGAGTTGATTGAATCCAATTCAGAGATTGAACGAAGTGGACGTAGCTGCTTGAAATGGTTAGTAGATGTGTCTGATATTTGAGCATTATTTGATCCATTGACTCGGTTTTTCAGTTCCTGATATCGTCGATATGTCGCAGCTAAAGATTGAATATCGGACATTTGATAATTAGCCATTGAAACTCATCACACGAATGCAGTGGATAGACTTGGCAATATAGGATTCAAATAATATACTGATAAGACAACAAATGAATGCTTATTGAATATAAACCAGCTGAAGCTTGATATAGAAACGATTTTGCTCACCAACTCGAGGCCGTTTATCAATATCTGCGGGGAGTGGTTTTCGGCCATACTTTCTACAGAAATATTGTTCCCAATCAGCAAGCTGATTTCTATATTCCTCCATTAGTACAAACCAGAAAGTCGAATAAAGTGTTTTTAGAGGATAAAACACAACCGACTGAGTTGATGTTTAACTTTGAATTGGATTTATTTTTGTCGTATTCACGCAAACGAACCGCTTTATCTTGCAGCAACTATTTTGGGTTGAAATCAACGAGTTCAACAAACGTTGTCCAGCAAATTGTCATTCCATGAGAATGGCTGTTTATCATACATTCTTATTCAGTGTTTTATAAAGTGAACATGACTGTCACTCATCAAATGGCAGCACATCACCGCAAGCTATTACTGTATCAATTCATCAATTGTTACTTGAATTCGTCTGAATAGTTTATTTTAAATGATCTGACAAAACCTCATTTATGTGGTGCTGTGATCGCTTTAAGAATCTTTTGAATGGAAACATCATTCTATAACAACGAGTTATCCAATGGTCAGTTTACTAAGCTAAAATGGGTTGAATCATGATTTTACTCACCTGAATAATGGTTGCCTTGACTGTAGCTATTTTCTCATACTAAACATATATAATACATGGAGTTTAACCGCCATTAACTTTTTGATAGACTCTGGCTTGTAAACTCTTAGATTTCAAACACGCTTACCTGCAGTTCAATACTTTCTTCGATTGTCTTGAGCTGTAGCTCCAACGGTTTTAAAGAATCCAATGTAGATCTACAAAACACCACAAATTTAGATTGAATTCCCCAATAATACCTTTTCAAGTCACGTTAAACTTACTTTGCTTCAGCCTCGTATATTACTTTAAACGACTGACTCTGTAATCTCCATTCATCAAATTCCTTATTCATGCTATCCACATCCTCTTGCATATAATCCATTGTCTTGCCTAGCGGATTAGTACTTTGACAAAGAAGCTGTATGGATTCACGAAGCTGTCCAATATCTTTGATGGCTTTGCTCTTGGGGTCTTTTGGCGTCGCTGCTGTATCGCGTTTGATTGTAGTGTCTTCTAGCTCACCTTCAAGATTCTTTTTGGTTTGAAGAATACGCTGAACAAGACCACCTGATGAAGTTTATGTGATTAAATTTGTGGTAAATGTCTTGATCTGAATGTAGAAATGGGGTTTAAAGAGTGTCATGTTACCATGTTTTTCGTCGGCAGAAAGTGTCAGGCCGCTTCCAATTGCAGGCTTCTATTATTCCAACCACATTCATAGTCAATGAGTCAATTGAAAATATATCCGCATCATAAACGTCATCAATCAAAATAGTGCTTTTTACAGGTTGAAGCGATTCCATCGCCTTGACAACAAAGTCGTCATCGTCATCATCCTTTTGTTTTCCATCGGTAATAATTGCAGGCGAATCACTAATTTAATTACATAACAGTCTCCATCCAAGTTAGAATAGTGTATCAGCTGCAAAATTGTAGCCACTTGGTAATCAAATCTTTTGATAAAATGACCGTCTTACATTAGAGTTTTTTCAATTGCAACTTGTGGTGGTCGTTGTTTGGGTGGAGCTGGACGGGCACTAATGGGTCGCTCGCGGCGCCTAATAGTTGCTTGAGGAAACCGGTGATCAGGATTGGAATCATTGGCTAGTTCTTTTGCATTGAATCAAACCATTTCACTGCATTCAGCATCCAATATAAAAAATAAAATAGTTGATTCAAATAAAAAATCATAAACTCTTACCTTCAGTGGATGAATCTACAGGCACGGTTTTTGAAAAAGATTCCGAGTTTTCCAATACTTGAGGTTGCTCGCGATCTGCAGGCTTGGCTGGAGATAATACCGGTGGAGGTTTACTATTCGCAGGCTCTTGTAGTTTATCTGTTGAAGATATGTGCTGTATGGCAGGGGATGTCTCCTTTTGTATATGGCTACTTTGTCCGGGTTTGGAAGATTGGGCAGCTGGAGCCTGATGACCCGTTTCATTATGGCCTTTTAAACCTATAGTCTCGCTATGGGCTGCAGGGGCTGCGTGTACTTTAACAGGAATATCTTTTTGCACTTCACTAATCAAAATTGTAAATGTGTTAGGACAATAAACTCACATTTGTACAATTACTGATCCACCTATGTTGTAACCTGCCTATTTTGCAATTTTTTAGCCTGATCACCTTCAGATACAGACTTGGACACTGTTGGTGGTGTATCTGTTTTGGTAGGTGCTGGTACACTTTTTTTTCCTTGATGTTCGCCCGCTAATACTCGTGCAATCGCATTCTTGGTATCTACTTTTTTGATCAACACCTTGCCGATCAATTGCAAAAATGCATTGGTTTCTTCAGGTTCAAGCCCAGCCACAATTTTTAGTGGGTTGGCTCTAATTTCCAACCCAGTTGCAATTCCTGTTTAAATTCCAAGTAGCAAAAGCCGTATGTTGTAAAGGGATTGGATTAGCAGAATTTTCAACCTAGTGTGTTTTGACGTGACGAAATAAAGTGATGCGATATCCAACCGAAACGATACGTACCAATGCAGTCAATCATCTTTGTCAAATACTGCACTTTAGCTTCTTTATCCTATGTATAAATTTAAAGCTATTCAGCGATATCCAGGTTCAAGACCACTACAACAGTTGTTTATTGCAGTACGCGACCTGCAGATATACACTGTGTTGAACAAACTCAACAGCCTCCGCTCAAACCCTATCCTGGCAACACACTTATATTTAAAAGATGATATCCCACCTACCTTGATATTTTCCGAGTTCATTTCTGCCTCTGAATAAAGTCCTGGGACAAACGCACAGAGACGTATCAGCTCGCTAAAAATGTCGTGCAAGTATCTAAACGGCGGCTTGGCAAGAAGCTTTTGTGTTAGTGGAGGCTTCTTGATAACTCGTGCAAGAATATCTATGGTTTTCTTTGTCAGTTCTTCAAGGACTGGAGAGAGTCTGGGCGGTGCACCTGGCTGTTGCTGTGGAAGGGGTGTCGCATCTGTCATTTGGAAATTATTGGTGTTGGCTAAATGCAAGGCAAGTGTCGTAAATCTATGCAATATGCATCTGTACTCGAGAGTAAAATGGTCATTTAAACCCAAGATCGTGCTTTGGGTTATAACGATATCATCATTGCAATGGTTTTAGGACAATATACTCTGAATACATTGTTGAAGATTCCATTCGCATGTCGACTCATGGCAAACCAATCCATAATTTTAGTCGTATTCACGTATAATGAAACTTGTATTCATCTTGCATTGACTGCCTATTTTACTTTGGAATAGACAATGGTTAAATATTCGTTGTTTTTACTAAACATTGACTTGCATAGACATTCTCGATCCTTGTTTCAAACAACGACCATCATATGATGCACACAAACTATAGTTTTGAACTGGAACCATCTTTTTCTCATTTGGCACAACCATACATTGTACGATCACAAAGTTTGATCTACTCTAGATATTTGATTATTCTGATGTTGCCAAACTCCACTTTGTTGTATTGTAGCGTCTTACAGATACGTTCGCGCTCTAGTTCAGCAGGACAGATTGTACGTTTTGTGAATGCAACTATTGTTTCCATGTCAATCATCCAATACTTGTAATATTTGGTAGGGAGAGTTGGAGATTGAACAAGTGTCAAGAATGTGGGATTGACTGCAACTGTTGCGAGCATTCATTCAGTTTCTATACAAAACAAGCATAAAAATGGGTAAACTTTATGAATGAGTTTGGAACACATAATGCTGTCTAGTAAGCTTGGCACTCATCATTTCAAGAGAATGACAGTTGCGTATTGACATTTTATTTTGCGTAAAGTCTGCAAATCCCGTTCGGACTTTTAAATACTATTCAGACCAGTATCCAAAACCATATATAGTCATTTATGGCAAGCACATGCATGGATTTATAGGGGCTTGTTGGTATTTTGCTTACAGCAGGTTACTGATACAGTCTATATTATTGTAAAACAGACATCGCTGGAAAATATTGCACCAGAGGTGATTAAGCGTATTGCTAGAGGTGAGTAGCCATTTGTCAAGCTCGTGGACTATAATGACTAGTGCAATAACATAGCTGTCTAATTACTGTAGAGGTGGCAGATATAAAAGCCAATCCACCTGAAGGCATCTTGATTATCGAGGATGAATCCAATATACTGGATATTCAGGCATGGATACAAGGACCTGGTACAACTTGCTGACTTTAAGTGGATTATCTACATCAGACATGTACCATCTATTCTAACCAGACCTGTTTGAATTTAAAATTGCAATTTTCTATTGGCATGTCTATTGTCAAATAAGTGGGTGAGTTTTATTGGTTTATGCCATGTTTGATGGATTGACTCTTGGATGTGTAAATATCATGGATATCTTACAATTCTGACCTGATCCGGTTTACAATTTGAAATTGCATTTAATCCAGGAACCCCATTCAAAACAGGCTGTTTTCGAGTAAAGTTAATGCTGAACAGCTCTTTTCCACAATCTCCACCTAAAGGTAGTTTTAATTAAACGGATTGAGATTCAGATTCATCTGTTGACATGTCTCTAAATACTACATTGTTATGTAACTACTTGATCATTTTGAATATTGGTAGGTGTATTTCTTACTCAAATTTTCCATCCAAATGTATCTGAATCTGGCGAGATTTGTGTCAGCACATTGAAAAAGGATTGGAAAAGCGAATTTGGTATCAAGCATATACTTTTGGTAAACTGCATTGCTGTCGATGATCTTTACTAAGCTATACCAAACGCAATCAGCATTTAATCGTGTTATTTTAAAACTGCATTCAGACCATCAAGTGCTTACTTATAGTTCCAAATCCCGAATCAGCATTGAATGAGGAAGCAGGTCGTCTGATTCTAGAAGACTATGAAGAGTTTAGCAAGCATGCGATATTGATTACCAAGATTTATGGACAAAACCCAGATATTGTGTTTACAAACAGCGAAGGGAGCAATACCGCATCTGATGATAAGAAATCAGCAACAAAGACGATCAAAGCCATAGAAAAAGAGGACGGTAATCAACTAGGCAAATCGAGCGTGCAGAAACGTAGTGCTGAAAGTGCTTTGGATGGTTCAAAAACGACCAAAGTTACTTTAGATAAGCGACGTACGCTCAGACGGTTGTAAACCATTTACAATAGGGAATATGGTATGACTGGATGGGAGTTGAGTGGTTTAGAACAGGGCTGTAGACTGAATCTTTAAAGCATTACGTTTGTATTTGACGATGATGAGATTATGGCGTAAATAGGAATGCAGTGTATGAACACGTCAATCAAGACTCTTTAACAGTAAATATATTATTTTTGATCACGATGACTGACGAAGCTGTTGAAACAAGTGACACTCCAGTTTGGGTGACACTAGAAGATGTTCTTTTTGCAAGTGTATTGGTTGCCATGCGCAATGCAATTCAGCATTCGCATCCTCCTGAATCGGAAGGTAATTCTGACATAGATCCTGATTTGGATAATATATTACAATCTCAGTTGTGTGTGCACTGTGTTTATGCAGAGAGTACGATCAATGCAGTGAGACAGATTGCAGCATCATCACTTCCAGCCGAGTTTCGACAGAGTTTACGTGGACTCAGTGTCGCCAATCATGTCTCACACCAGTCCTGTCAAATGGACAGTAGTTATAATTCAATGGAGCAGCAGCTTCTTGAAGCCAGACTAGGTTGTGTCAGCATTGAATTGTGGATAGGGTTGAATGGAATGAGTTTTGACTGTTTCTATCTTACTACTGGACATCTTGGTATCAGAAATTAAGCTTTTGAGAGCACATCCCAAAAACGACAAAACATATGGCACAAGTAGGAGAGGAAAATATCCACCAAGTCGCAGATTAAACATGGCACATACAGCACGCACTGTAAAAGGTTTGTAGTACTTGTTGATAAGCAGCATCAACACTCATTCTCATATGTTTGAACCTCGTCACAGTTGCAAAGACATTTGGACTGTGCAAGTCAGATTTGTTGCATGTTCATTTTATCGACATCTGTCTCAAGTTTGGAGCATCTATTACGACTTGTCAAGAATTGAGCTGCAATCGATACGCTGTGCAACTAACCACTGCAGTTGTACGAGTTGTTCCACAGATTATTCTGTGTTTCCATAGCCATATGACATGGACACTTTTGAAACATGATGTAGTGACTGTTGAACAACACAGAGAGTGGCATCATACCACCGACTATATGTGTTATATGATGCTAGAGCAGATCAAGATTGTATCATGTGAGTTGAAACCAGCAGTTGAATTGATTTGAATTGATTTATTCATGACATGTAATGGATCAAGGTTTGTTAGAATCACAACTTTTTACAGCTATACAGCTGCAGCAGATAGGAGATGTGCTGGTAGATGCCATGAGATCTATTGTGGTAGTGCTTTTGCAGTATTATGCCATTCAGGAGCGACACTATATGCACTATGCATCAAATCTTGATTGCCAGTCAAACACCATTCAACTTGAGCAACGACTTCAACAATGCCTGTTGATTCTGTGTGGAATAGATGGCCGTCTTGGATCAGAATGTTTTCATTGGATCGTGTCAGTTTCCTATAAAATACTGAGTAAACCCAGTCATACGACAGAGCAAGACAATCAAGGGATTAATGAGATACCAGCAGGATTATTTGAAGTGTTGTGGTGGTTGTCGCAGCATCTTGATATGTGGATCACAGTAAAGAACGCACAAGGAATATGCCCAGAAGACGCGATGGAGAAGCTTATTCGACTGCTAGGAGGACGAAATGGAGCAGAGATGGCGCAACAGCATCATGTGTATGTAGGGATGCTGTTGTTGTATCAAAGACTTGTGATGTGGAACGCATCAGCAACGCAATAGTTGAATACAGCAGCAAGTCAGAGTGCAGTTGGAATCGATTCGCATCAAATCCAAATAAAATCGGAAGCTTTAGATTGTCAACCAACAATCTATTGTTATCCAGCTTGCATATACACATACAGGCTGTTGCTATAGATAGTTGATTATCAGAGCAACACCATGACTACTCCACAGGTCTCTCTCGATACAAACGACCCACCCAAACTGGACTCGACTCCTGTTACTGATGCTGATGCCAGCATGGCCGACACTTGCATTGCTGTTCAAAAACCACAGCAGGTGTCGACCTCACCGGAATCCGATGTTCTGATTGCTGCTGCTGCTGCTGCTCTCACTCAGACCTCTCTTGCGGCCAGCAATGCTGGCAAACTCTCGCGAACTCAAAGCCGCAATAGGAGCAACACAATGGCTCAAAGACCTGCAGTGAATAATCCAACGAATGGTCTCAGTGGAGGTGCTTCGTCAGCTGCTACTACGAATTCTACTACGAATCCTACTACTGTCATCCCACACCCTGGCAACACCGTTGTATCAGTTTCATCATCTACCATCACGGCAATTCCATCCATATCTCCTGGTGCTGCCAATATGACCATGTTGGCTGCACAGAATATGACATCTAATGCTCAATCTCCTATTCCTCGATCAAGTAGTTTGGTTGTTCCTAGATCAGGAAACTCTGGTTCAGGCGGGACTCTCGTAGCAGGGTTTGCATCGGCCTACTCAAATCCCAGTAGTAGCACATCTTCCCGATCCCTTACCCTTGACTCTTCTACTGCTCGGCCCGTTGGTCTCGATACTGACCTGCCCCATTCAAACAGTTTCAGAGTGCCTGTGGGTCCTCATAGACCTTCTTCACGTAATGGAAGCAGTGCTGAGACATTCACCACTGGTGGTGAATCTGTAGACATTAGCAAAGTGCCCGGTCTAAGTGGATCTCATTCGTTTGCTCATTTCAGAAAGACTGATATCCATCCAAAGAGGGAGCGTAGTATTCTCTTTGCTTTACATCTTAAACATAGCAATCAGGTCAGTCTAGGCGTTGGCTCATCTGGTCAGGACGTGATGCTAGAGACCCTGGAGACTCAGAAAGGTGGGTGTCAGATTTGGAAATCATCAGTGTCAAGTTTATTGCTGTAGATGCGCTGGTTGGCATGCTTTGATAGACTAACAGCAATTTTTGTGAAATTCTTGTCATTCCATTATTTCCATTGGTTTAACTAGACAAGAAGGAAAAACTGAGCAAACGATCTGCTGCTCTTAGTAAACTCAATGCACTGTTACGCTCCAAAAAGAAGAAGAAGACTCGAGGAGGTTGTATTTTCAATTAAATCTTACTATTGGGATTCTTGCAATATTAACAATTATTGTACAACTCATTTCAACAGGTACAATGCACAATCTAACCCTAGCTATCCATGACCGTCGCATTACATACGCCAACTCACTGATTGCTGAGCTGTCACTTAATTCTCTTAGAAAGAAACGACCGCACGAAGCCAACAAGATTTTTCTATACGCCATGGCCAACAGACTCGAGTCCGTGTGTCTAGCTTTTTTGGAAAAGGGATTTCCTTGTAACATAAATGCTCCCATATTTGGTCCTGCTAATCCCGACTTATCCAAATTCAATTTTCCCACATACTTTATTCTTGCTGTGGCCCTAGGACTGGATAATATGGCTAGATACATGCTCAAGCAAAAAGGAAACGTAAATGCATCGTGGTATCGCATTACACCTCTCGTTATTGCATGTTGCAAAGGAAACATGTCCGTCGTGCAATGGTTAGTAGAAAGTGGTGCCAACATCAATGTATCATTGCCACTTTCATACTACTTTCTCTTGCGCGGTCTACATGCTCATGATACCCACAGTTCAACTGGTGTACGCGATCCGCCTGTTTCTCGTGGCAGCATATCTGCTATTTGTGGAGAACCCATCAACATGAGTGACTTTGGTTCTTCCTTTAAGCAGTTTGGCGATCATGCCCCTGTTCGATTTTCCCCCGAATATATCGAGGGCAAGTCTCTTTTATTGATCGAAATCGCTGCTGTGTGTGGAAACAAGGATGTGGTCAAATATCTATTGCCAAGGTGTGTTTCGAGATCATTTGATCATTTGTGGATATTGGAAATGGCTTTAGCTTGCCCTGGGTTGAAACGCTGTATTTGGCTGGTATAGACTAACTTGATGCATTTATCATGATAGAACGGATATTCGCCTTTTAGCAGCAAGCAGTTTCTCACTACTAGTACAAAACGATGTTGAAACCACACTATATCTTATCAAATGTGGTGTTAATCTGAACCAGCGTGATGCTTCTGGATCAACTGCACTACATCTAGCTGCTCGCGCAGGAAAACTCGATCAAGTAGTGGCTTTGGTTCTTTCAAAAGTTGATGTAAATCTCGTTGGACAAAACGACTGGTGAGCTTTTTTCAAGACTTTTGTAGATTGCATATATACAATTTACTCGTGTTATGCCGCGATCAAGTATAGATGTGTTTGCATACAAATCAACTCAAATCTTGTCATTTTAGGACGGCCTTGCATGAGGCAGTCGGATTCTGTCGAAAAGATGTTGTACAATATTTGCTAAAAAAAGGTGCAGATATTAATGCAAAGACGTCTTCAGGCGAGACACCGGCAGATATTGCTCAACGACTTGGATTTTCTGCAGACGAACTTGGGATTTATTTTGGTATGCAAATTTGGGCTTTTGATTGGCAAATACACATTGCGGAAACCTTGTCTCATGAGCTGATGTTTTATTTTACGTTGACTTGTATATTCAGAACGGCAAATTGATGATGCATTTCTTAAACGCAAGGAAGATTCCATATCGAGCATGTCCAAACTCATTCAGGTAAACAACGACATGCGACCGCTTGGCGTGTTCCCACTGCCATCAAGCAATAGCTTATTGGGAAATTCTGGCAGCAACATGACTAGTTTGGGTGGATCCAGCGGTGGTCGTGAATCTCGCAAATCTTCCAAAAGTGGAGCTGCGCTAGGCTCGGGTGAGTCGGTCAAGCGCAAAGGCAGCGACAAATTTCCTTCCTTGCCGTCCTTTCTCACGCGAAGTAATAATGCCTCGGCAAGTGGTGCTAGCACTAGCACAGGAAGTGGGGTTACACTTGGCACGAGTATCATTCTTTCTCTCCCTCCAACTTCCAATGACAATGGATCCACATCTTCTAGTGGTGGATCAGATCATAGCTCTTTTGTTTCCGGAAGTGTGACATTGGATGGATCGACTGATCCTTCAGACCTTACTTCCTCACCCAAGTTTGGCAAGCCTGGTAAACGGAAGTTGTTTGGATCGGCGAAAAAGGGATAATTGATGAATACAATTCATCCTTTACTGTCTTTATTTGATTACTTGGCACTTTTTCACTCTTATCTACTTTTTTTTCTGCAAGGATGGAGATAAAACTAAAAACAGATTATTTTCAAATCGTATTAACGTAAACTATAATTGGGGTGTTGATACAATCGATATCAAACATTCAGTCCAGACCCATTCAGTATAGATATAAAACAAATGCATGACCAAATATAATGTTTAATGGGTCAAATTGAGGGTAAAATCAAAGATACTAAACTATGCAAAAGGGTAGCCTCATTTTGGCTATTCTATCCAAACGGGACATACTTGAAAGCAGTCCAAAGCTTTTGAACCGAACTGCTCATATCGTCTAGACATTCTGCAATACAATGCATACTGTCCACCACACCCACAGCTACTTCAGCAACTGTATTGATCCATTCCACTGCGCGTTCGGATTGGGTTTCAATCTTTTCGTTGTTGTGATGTTGAAAGGCATGAGATCGATGATGAAGAACATGGTTGCGATCAAAGTAGCAAAAGGAATGATCACGACGCAAGTCATTCGCGATGACTGCGTTCGACGTGTTTGATCTGATAGGCGGTAGGTCATTGTAGTGTGCATCACAAGATTCTAAACAGCCTTCGTGTGTGTCCATCCACTTGTCCTCATAATAACTAAACGCCGTGTCAAGACACTTTTGACCAAACGCTGCTTCCTCTGATGTTGTGGGTACAGTAGGTGCTTCAATAAAAGCAGTTTGAAATCGTCGTGGAGATGTAGGCTCTAGTGTTGCATTCAACAAGGGAATCAAAACTTGAGCATCCACATCTGATGTAGATGGAAGGAAAATGGTATTGGCATCGAGTTTCAATAAAGCTGGGGTCATGACGGTGGAAAGTGTTGGTTGCTGAGGATATGCTGACAAGCATTTACGTCTTTGCATGCGCTCAAGGTATTTTTGACGACTACGACCTGATGGAGTAGAACATGCACTTGCTGGAGACTGAGCAAGTGAGTTGGGTAATATGCCGGTCGGAGTCGTCGGTTGAGTAGGTATAATTCGTGCATTGTTAATCAGCAACATTTCTGGTAAACTGTCGATTGGCGGCTCAGTTGTAGTCGATCGGTAATGACGTTGAGCATGGGGAGGAAGACGAGATTGCAGATTACTACGGTTTCTTTCGCCTTGATTGAATGTGCACAAACTCTCATCATCTGTATAGTCCGAGTCGTCTGAATCATTCCAGTAATTGGCCAAAGGAGGATTCCATGGCGATTCCAAATCCGAGTCCAGTAAAGATTTCGAGATTGATGGATTGTAATTGATTTCCTTTGATAGACTCGAGCCCTCTATAGCACATGAATCTTGGTTTAAAGGCGAGTCTGAACCACATTGGGTCTGCTGCCCAACTTCATCATCATCTTCTGTGTCAGCGTCTATGTTTGGATCAATGCTTCGTCGTTGCTGAACAGTCCAATTAAACGAAACTTTTGATTCATCATCTCTTCTCAGATTGCCTGGAAAATCAAATTTAATTTTCAAATCGTCCGTCACATGCTCACCCAAAGTCAATACAGTGCACTCTTGTGATGAATCCAGGCTTGCTCGTCGAATAATTGGCCGAGATCGGAATGGAATATATCGATGGGTAAATGAAGAGCGTTGCATATTGGTTTGATCCAATCTCTGGCATCTACAACGTGGATGGCCGAGTGATGTTTCAGCATTACAACTGGGACAAGTGACTGGTTTGGAAGCATCGCAATTGGGTTGGGCCGGAGTGAATGCAGTTTTGTGTTTGTGTGCTTTGGGAGCAGAAGAAATGGGTTGTAAAAGCGGAACAATCAGCAGATCCATGATGATCCGTTTCTTTTTTGGACTCAAATCTGGATGTGCTTTAAGCCAAGCTAGCATCTGCATCCATTCAGGGCCGATTGCAAGAGGTTGTTGCTTTAAGCAAGATTTTAATGGCCGCATGCAAGACTTTGCTTTCGTGGTTTCATTGGGGCAGGAAGAGTGTAGATGGGGAGAGGCGTAAGACGATAGCGAGTTTTGTACAGAAAATGCAGTGGAGATGGTTGATTGAGAAGATGTGCATGAAGAGATAGAAAGTCGCGATGCAAATGAAGATGTAGCAGAAGATGAAGATGCAATGGATTCTCTACGTGTATAAATGGATGACGACGAAAGCGAAGCAAAGGTGGAAGATGGAGACGATGACGCAAGCTTCAAATACGATGGGGGTGGAGAGAAAAAGTTGCCAAAATGGTCGAGGGTATCATTTGCATTAGAAGTAAATTCGGAAGATTCAGCAAATCCTAAAGCAGGAACATGCTCTGTTTTGCAAGTAGTGGGAACTGGAGGATCGGCAACCACATACACTGTGCCAATGACATAAGTGACATCCAAGCCCTTGTCCCATTTGATTTCTTGGGGAGAGAGCTCGACAAGAGCATTTTGGGTCTGCCACCATTTGCGCCAGAGTAGGTTTTCCACACGCATGCGAGAAGAAGAAGGCGGCAACTCGGCACATCCATTTAGTAAAAACTTGTGCGAGTTGATCAAATCAATTGGACGGACAAAAGGAGTGTGTCGAGTGAGGTCTATTCCAACTGCCCATGTTCCCAATGGCAGTAATGGACCTCTCCATTCGTCATGCGATTCCTGACTGGGATTGACTTGTTTCTGTTCAGTCTCGTCAGTTGTCGATGCTTGCGACCAAAAGTCTTTTGATGCGTTGCTTGGATTATTTTTTATGTTGGTATCCCTTGCATTGCCGTTCCAAGATTCAGATCTGATGGTATACGTATCAGAAAAAGCAGCAGTACAATAGAGAGCTTCAGCATCAGCCAGTTTTTTTTGATTGAAGGCTGGAAGTGTCAGCAGTTGGCCCTGAGTTACATCAAATGCAGCAGATGACATAGATCGAGGAATAAGCTTTAGTTGGCTTGTTTGTAGTGATGCGCTGGGTCCAGCAGTGTTGTCATAAGTGGAGAAATGGTGTGATTGCATACAGGCAATTCCTGTTTCGAGCGACATCCTGCCTGATTGAAGCCAAAAGGCAGATTTAAGCAAGCTGTCCTACACAAAAGGAAATCAGTCTTGGCTGTGAATATCATAAATCTATAATAGACAGATTCTATTTCTGACAACAGCCCAATACTGTTCTGACAAACTAGTCACTACACCTATTGGTGTGCTTGACAATCACTCTAAACACCCACTTGACCTGACACCCAGAACAAGATATGCTATATAATCTACTGACAAGTACGGCTTATTGAATAAAATATGCTGATACTCCAGTTTTGACAGGAGATTAAAGCAATAACGAATTAAAGGGAGATCTTGGCCAGAACCACTCTAGTTATACTCCGCCTGTCGCAGATGCAGACAACCCATACATGTTCTTTCACACCATCAAACGGTTATTACTAAACAAGAGTAAAATACCTTTTGAAATAACAGCGGTGCAATACAGTAACTCTTGCTGTTGCTAGTAAACTTGTATTTGTGATGGGAAAGTATTTCAATTTCTCAATGGACTCGACACTCAACGCGTAGTTATCATCGAGGGAGTGAGGGGTGGCTATTGGGCACATCAGTCTTGTTCAAAGCAAAGCTGTGCACATCTTATTGCTGATCGGATTATTCTAAACGAACACTCAAGCTATAGAATACCGTTGCTTCAACTGCATTGGTTTAAACCATTACAAATAAAATTGACAGAAGCAAAAAAACAAGTTTTAATTTGTGGCTGGATTGGTTTCATAATAATCACTGGAAAGTCTTGGCAAAGTCTCCAAGAACTTGCTTGATCTTCTTGTCAGTCTCGGGTGTGATCTGGTTCTCCTTCTTAATGGCTTCAAAAATCTCGGGTGCGACACTCTGCACATGAGGAATCAATGCTGCCTCAAATGCAGTCACCTTGTTCACTGGAATCTTATCAAGGAAACCATTGACACCAGAATAGATGACAATAACCATATGTTCAACAGAGAGTGGAGAATACTGGTTTTGCTTGAGAAGCTCAGTAAGACGTGCGCCACGGTTGAGCAAAAATTGGGTCGAGGCATCCAAATCAGAACCAAATTGAGCAAAGGCTGCAACCTCACGATACTGCGCAAGGAAAAGCTTAAGAGAACCTGCAACCTGTTTCATGGCCTTGACTTGAGCTGCAGATCCGACACGAGACACGGAAAGACCAACATTAATTGCAGGGCGAATACCCTTGAAGAAAAGTTCGGCTTCAAGGAAAATCTGACCATCGGTAATGGAAATAACGTTGGTAGGAATGTAAGCAGATACATCACCACCCTGGGTTTCAATAACGGGAAGGGCAGTCATGGAACCACCACCAAAAGTCTTGTTCATCTTAGCAGCACGCTCGAGAAGACGGGAGTGAAGGTAGAAGACATCACCAGGATAAGCCTCACGACCTGGAGGACGACGGAGCAAAAGTGACATTTGACGATATGCAACAGCCTGCTTAGACAAATCATCATAGATGATGAGAGAATGCATACCGTTGTCACGGAAATGTTCACCCATGGCAGCACCAGAGTAAGGAGCAAGGAATTGCAAGGGTGCAGCATCAGAAGCAGTGGCAGCAACAACAATCGAGTACTGAAGAGCATCGTTCTCTTCAAGAGTCTGTACAAACTGAGCAACAGTGGAACGCTTCTGGCCAACAGCCACGTACACACAGTATAACCTTTTGGCTATTGATCATAAAAATCCAAGAAATTAGCTAAATTGAGGAGATCAGCCAATCAAAACAAAACTCACACTTGTCCTCGGACGAGTTCCATCGCTTCTGATTGAGAATGGTATCAAGAGCAACGGCAGTCTTTCCTGTCTGACGATCACCAATAATCAGCTCACGCTGACCACGACCAATGGGCACCATGGAGTCAATGCACTTGATACCAGTCTGCATGGGCTCGTTGACAGATTGACGTGGGATAATACCAGGGGCTTTGACTTGAACACGCTGACGCTTGACGTCTTGGAGAGGACCCTTTCCGTCAATGGGATTACCAAGAGCATCCACCACACGACCAAGAAGACCCATGCCAACGGGAACATCGACAATGGAACCAGTACGCTTAACAATGTCACCTTCCTTGATCAAACGATCGTTACCAAACACGACGATACCAACATTGTCGGCCTCCAAGTTAAGTGCCTGACCCTATATATTTAAACAAGATTCATGTAGAACAAGTAGACATGTGGTTCAAGAGTTAGAAAATAGATATTCAACAACAATAATACCCAAAATTTAAAACCATTCATGGATCAAGAGTAAAATACAAACCTTGACGCCAGAAGAAAACTCCACCATCTCTTCGGCTTGGACGTTCTTGAGACCGTAAACACGGGCAATACCATCACCAATGGAAAGAACACGGCCAGTCTCATGAATATCAATAGAGGCGCTGGCACCAAGGATACGCTCTTCAAGAATAGAAGTAACTTCTGAAGTTCCTATTATAGAAGAATAGTAGTAGCAAAAAAAAGAAATACAAAGTAAGAGACTGGATCACCAATGGGATAGTGTAAACCAAGATCATTGGTTGTATAAAGCACAGTAAACAGGATGTGTATCAGTTATAAAGAGCAATGAAATCAAGACCATTGTTATACCTGGTTTGGCAGCACGAGCAAAGGCCGAGACGGTGAGAGGGCGAGCAGCAAGGGCAGCCACACGAGTCTGAAGTTGAATCAATAGGACAATATAGAACAAGACAGCAATAGTGTGAGTGGATAGACAAAGCATTGAAACATCAATCAGCTACAGACTGCAAAAAACCGCAGATCGCTCAACCTCACTGCAAAGATCACCATGCAATACCAGCCGAAATGGACTGGTATCAACCCTACAGAGCATTCAAATGGACTAATGGCATAGTATAATCCATTGTAATAGCCATGTCTGACTACCACTGCAGTACCAACAAGACACTGTCTCACCCTCAAATTTTCAATTGAAGATCCCCTTCAAGAGCAGAAAACGAAACCTGCAAAGACCCGCAGTCACAACTAAAAGGGATGAATGGGCAGTCCACACACTGAATGATGAATGATGTACAAGCCATCAAGTACTGCAATAGCAGTATGACATGCAATTAACTCATACTCTCATTCTACCAGCCAACCATCAACCATCACCAGCAAAACAAATTCCTATTTCTTTGGTTTCGTCTTTTTTTGCAGATTGGTCTTTTGCAGCTACAATGCCGCTGATGGTCGATGCACTTCTCTCCCCATTCACTCTAAAGAGTAGATTGGAAGGCTGGATAAAACACCTCATTCTATACACAACAACAAGGAACCAGTTTTCCAGCAATGGCTTACCGAAAGCGACGAGCGCAAGATAGGCGCGAAACGGGCTGCAGTCCTAAGCATGATCAATCAACTAGTTGTAGAGAAAGGGTGAAAACAGGAAAATAATTGGATTGGATTATCTTGGATTTCCGTCTTTTCTTGTCATGCATCGCTACACTAGTCTTGTACAATCGATATGGCTCTTGATCAATCATTGACAACAAGACTGATATGCTGTTGATCTGTTATAAAATATATCACCTCTAAAAGAGATCAGTGGGATTTTTGGACTGATCTATATCGAATGCCATTCTAGTCACATTTATCATAAAGATCTGCTCTAAACTCATCATGATCCACATTAAAAGCTCTGTTTGGATAGAGATACTAATGTATTAAAATATGATTATTCATATCAAATATACTTTAATTTGTGAGTATTTAAAATTGTATAGATTCGTCATTTATCAAACTTGACAAGCCATGTTGAATTGCATTTGTGATTCAAATTATGACACCAAATATCTCAGTCATATCCACGTAAAATGAAACACTTGTATTTATTTCATATTGACTGCTTTAATAGAAATGATAATCACCAAAAAAACAGTAAACTAAAAAGTTCAAACCTAGTGTTATCTAGTAAATCTGACATGAATCATTTCATGATACTGGCTGTTTATTATTCACTTTAAAATCCTTATTTAGTGTTTCATTTACGTGAATACAGCTGTGATAGGAATCAAACCTATGTTCAACGAGAATCAACCACATCCATTTCGCAAACACGCAACAATGTGTAACTACTCGTCATACGTACATACTTGCTAATTCCACTTCGCTTCCGATGTTTCCGTTCAATCGCTTTACCAACTGTATGTTCAATGGCAGTAGCTTGAATAGTATAGTATCGAGGATCAAGGTACGGATTTCCTTGCATAATGTAATCAGGACTACCCATTTCACGCACTCGATCAAGAGTAATGACATCTCCGATTTGAAGATCATTCATACGGGGAACAATAATTACATCGTTTTTTGCAACATGATAGGGTCGATTTTTGATTTCTACTATAGCATAGAATTTTGTTTGGTTGTGCATAAGTGTGAGGGCTTCTTTGGTGTTTGTGCTAAAGTCAGTCGATGCATTCTTTGCGGATACAGACATTGGTGCTGCTTCCGAGTGTTGGAATGCAGATCCTGAAAATTGTGCTGATAACATGGCAGATCTGCAAACAAAGTCTAGCATTTAAATAATTATCAAGTCAGTATTCTTTTGAAGCAAGTCTCCGTGTTGGTAAATAGTTGCATTCTCCTATTTACGTAGATATAAAACTATTTAAAATCACCTGTTGTTCTAGTAATTGCTGGAGTGGATCGTTTTACTAAACATCCTAGTAAACCTAGTAATGATAACAAGAGATCAGCAAAGAATCAATTACCCAACAGAAAATGAGATGGGCAAGCTGGCTTCTCAATCAGCAATAACCCTGTTTCAAGTACTGAATAGAATACAAGGTTATTGACCAAAAAACTCAATGAAAGCACCAACCTGCTCGCTGGCACTGATCTATATTGCGTAGTGATTGTCGAATGGCATGCATGTTGGATATTCAATAATCAATCTAGTAAGAGTAGAAATCAAAAAACTTTCCAACTTGAATTTTGGGGCCCAGTCGCTATCGCTTGATAGCCTCTAAACTTAATCGAGTCTAGGTTAAATGTCAAACTATCCAATCCACTCACCAACAATACCATGACATCTGCTGCTCGTCCAACCTTTTTACCAGCTGTAGGAGGTCACTCTCTAAGAGACACTGGAGCTGCACCAACTCATATTGTCAGAGCAAAGGAACAGACTGCACACACCAAACTCAAGGACCGGTAGGCAATGAAATAGTTTTGATACAATCATTTGTTTGCAAGTGAATGTGAATGATGTGAACCACTACAGCTATGCTGATGACTGACTGTGTTTTTTAAATCTTATTACTGTCTATATGCAAAGATCGGATCAGTTTCATGACAAGTCTGCCATTGATTTCAAGAGAAAACTAGAAAGCAGCGAAAATGAAAATACTGCAAAGAACAGAAGCGGATTGTTAGGACCAGGTATACCAGTGTTTAGTAACCATTACAAAAAACAATGCATATATTTCTGATATGCATACAGTATTTATATTCATCTGGATCTAATCAAACTGCGCAACACTTGCAACATGTAAATATTGTGGTCTATAGGGAGAAATGAAGATCCAGGCGAAGCAGCAGCGAGGAGAAAACTATTGGAGCAGCAAAACATTGATGCAGATGACTCGGACGATTCTGAAGATTCCAATCAGTCAAGGTATATATAAAATATGTTTACATGATCCATCTACCAGTTTATCTAAGCATTATGTTGAACGAATATAGTGATGATTCTGACGAAGACGACACTGCAGAGCTTATGCGAGAACTAGCAAAAATAAAGCGAGAGAGAGCGGAAGAAGCAGAACGACAAGAGCGGGAAAAGGATGAAAACGAAGCTCGAATGATGGAAGACCGAGCAAAGACTGGAAACCCCCTCATGGCATCTGCTACAATGGGATCATCTAGTTTTACAGTTAAGCGTAGATGGGACGATGATGTGATTTTCAAGAATCAAGGAAAAAGTATAAACGATGGCAATAAGAAGCAGTTTATCAACGACATGCTACGGTCTGATTTTCACCGCAAGTTTATGAATAAATATGTGAGATGACGAGATTTCAAGGTCTGGTCATATTAGAATATAATTTCCAGAGTGTTCATTGATCAAAGTTTAAATCTCGATCACCATACATTTCGACTAGTAATATAAGTTGGCTGACTTGCTAAAGCATCACGCTCCCTTGAGAGCAGATAAACGAGATTCCATGTCGCTTTCCACTTCTGCCGTTTGTTTCTGCTTGAGTTTGGCTTTTGGCTGCAATACATTATTCAAATCAAGACAAAATAAGCTCAAGTGAATAATTGCAAACCTTTTGACCTGAACAATTCTGGAATACAAAAAAACATACCAGATCCTCTCCAACAGCCCCGGCTTGACCCAATAGTCCTAGTTTCATAAAATAGATTTCAAGAGTAGTTTAGAATGATTGTTGATTGAGATGAGTATGACTCTGAACCAGAATAAAACGGAATACTCCCAAAACTCCATACCACTAGTGATCTCAGTAATAACTTTGTCGACTTCTTCATCAGCTTCCTCTTCGATGCCTTCATCGTCCATTTCAAGTGTATCGCTGACCATCTCCTCAATAATTCCTGCCTAGAATCACAAAATAATAGATGTAATAAACCTGTTAAATCCAGTCACTCATATAAACTCGATCCATCATTCTAAAGCAATGTATAAAATTGAGCCAACATGGTGTGAATGCACCTTCATCATTTCCATGGACATTTCCTGCATGGAAGCTGAGATCTGAGGCAGTTTAACCAGAGAGTTGACAATCTTCATCACCTCTCCACTCTTTTGCAGCGCACCAGTCACCTTGACTAAAGCTAAATCCAAAAGAGTCTACAAGATTAGATGAACATCATCACACTCCAATCCACGAATGCATTAGAAAAACACTCACCAAGTTGCTGCTGCATGCTCATAATCAAGGAATTCAGCTGTGCTTTGGAAGTATGCATCCTATCTTTGGCCTTCCGACTTCTTACTATTTCCTTTGCAAGAGTTTTACATGAGACTGCATCGTTTCGCTTTGCTGCGTCCTTGAGGAGCCGTTTGGCCTTGACTTCTTCTGTTTCAATGCCTCGAAGAGATTTGTCCAAGTCTCGTTGCTGAGCTCGAATAGATTGCCGCCACTTTTTAACCAGGTCTTCAGGTGTGAGTCGTTTCCCTAGAAACATGTCAATGATGGGTGGCATGGAAAAGTAGTGTGCTATTCAGCAATGTCTTGGTTTGTATGAGGACTGGATTGAATCTGTTAGTCGCTGAATCGTGTTGGAAAAATCAAACTCGAACACCATTCTGAGCTTATCCAAGTCTTGTATAATATCTGGCATTTTAAAAACATTGAATCTTGACAGACTCGAATTCTCTTTATTTCAAGTTCATTCACAACGCTTTGAGGGAGCTTTATCAGAACACTCACTTTAGTCGATATCTAAATGTGAAATCCCTTTATAATGCAGTGTTGCAAATCCATTAACAGTATCCAAGATTTGACTATCAAGAGATACGATTAGCACATTATTTGGTAACCATTCTATGATTCAATCGTTGTAGCATTTCCATTTCTATCTGTAGCCGATATGGTACTGTTTCCTGCGCCGTCTTCATCACATCCACACTTCCACATATCTCCAACTTTAGAGCAATCGAATATGGGTTTATGTAGCCGTTTGTTGACGACATTATGCACCGTGCAAGCCCATTGGGATAGTGCTTCACGATCTGTTACTATGGGAGGATGAGCTTGTAAAATAATTTTAAAATGAGATGCACAGTCACCACATGGATAGAGACGAGCAAATAGGTAGATAAAGTCCTTGATTGCAGTTTGTTCATCCTTGGTTGGATTGTAAGGAAATTTGCCTGCCATGGTATGTAAAAGTCGCCATGCTGATCTACCCAACTCAGCTCTACGTTGAAATGTTTAGATTAACCCAATGCAACGGCAGATTTAAAAATGAATGCACAAGAAAGCATAATCTGGTTAGCCAACTAATAACCAGAAAAACTCGATCCAACATCACCCATATAAAAAGGTTATATGCAGGTTGATTTTTGATAGAAATGACAGTTCAATCCACATAAAAGTGCTACTCAATCAAATCGACTTACTTGAGAGTTTCGTTGCTCATTTTGCCCATGATTACCTTGCCAGGCAATCGCTCATGTGGTTTTGTGACTTCCACAATTGATTTCCACCATCCGAGCGGTTTGTCTTGCAAAGGCATCTGCTCCTGTGGATCAACCAATGACTGCATACTGTAGACACTTGCTCCATATTGCTCATGCATTGATGTATCCAAACCAGAACCATCAGAATCATCCATGCTAAACGAGACTGCAATGGTCAGAATAGCAATCAAAAAAACAAAAAGTAGTATAAAGCGTCGTTTTGCAGTCATCCTACACAATCTAGACTGTCTTGAACAAGTAGTTGAAAAAAGCCAACGAGTTACTCGTCCAGGTAGCTGAAGATAAAAAGGTCAAGTTCAAACCCGGCAATACACATGTTGTGTAGACAAGCCACTTGCTACTGCAATCCTGAAACAACTTAGACTCGCCCTATAATAAAGCATCTAGTATAGATTTCTACTCATCTTGCTTGTACTACCTGCACTGGAACGTATTTTATCACCCCTTGTACAATGATTTAATATCATACTTTTCATCCAACACCAAATGAATGAATCTGCTACACATTACACGTCCAACTTCAACTTGTCCTTTACATTCGTGTTCACATATAAAACACTATTGCTTTGAAATGACTTGTGACAATAAGCAACAATTAATCATGTATTGTGCTACTGACATGGCCATGTTTAGTGGTTTAAACACAATATTCATCATATAATACAAACTGTAGTTTTGAATAGACTTTTCTCATTTGACATCACCATACATTGTACAATCACCAGATTATCGTCATCCAGATATTAGATTTGACTGTTTTCAAACTCTACAGACTTTTGAATCCTAAAGCCTTGGATGCATTTGCGTTCTAGTTCAGCAAATACTGTACATTTCAAGAATGCAACTCTATATGGCAATCACAAAAATCAACCAATTTGATCAAGAAGCTTCAATGATCATATTGTGAAATGATCGACATGTATTCTTGTTTAAACCAAAAGATATTATACGATGTTCATTATATATTACTTGTAAGATGTAGATTCATGCTAAGCATTGGAGAGCATGGTGAAGCAAAATGGCTTTCCAGTGGAGATCTTAGTGGAATAATCTCACTATCAACTGAAGACTGTGACATGACTGGAGTGTTGAATATACCCATAAGATTATCTGCAGGAGTATGTGTTGGGCCAAACCGCAAAACCATTGGGCAGCGATTAAATTCCATGGATCTTCGTGCCATATCATGAAATGATGGTGATATGTTCACTGGGACATCATGGTTTTCATTGGATTGAAACATGTCACCACCACCGAGATCGGGTAAAGAAATATTCATATTGTGAGATCCAGAGGTGCGATCAAATGAATGTGCATGATTTAACGCTATGATATCAAAAGTGGGAGATGCTGGTCGCTGTGGTGTAGCAGTAGAAGCATTGGATGGTTTGAGCATTTTCTGTTTAGCTTGTGTGATGGCTGCCACATTTTGTTTTTGGGTTTGTAAAAATACAAGAAAGTTGATGAAGCCTCGCATTGGTGATACAATGCTCTGGAGGAGTGCAAGAGCAAAAACTGGCTGTTTTGTAAATGCAGTTGTCAAACGATTGATAGCAGAGGGTGTCCATGCAATCACAAAGCCAATAGTATAAAGTAGCATCCGTCGTGCCATGAGTTGTGTAGCCATTTGAGCTGCAGTGTATCTTGCTTTGGCAGTAACATGTTGCTGAGATTGGCGCAGCTTGATCCATGTCAACACATATGCAATGGAGTTGAATGAGAAAATAAAAAACAGTTCTGCGTAGAAAAAGTATATTTGATAATCTGATAGCTCGCTCGGAATCCAGCACCATCTAGAGTAATGCATTGAATTTCAAACAGTTATAATATACCGCAGAATAAGAGAATCCATGGAATGCAAAAGACTTACTGTTGCGCATCCTGATATAGACGTGTAGGTACTGGTGGCAAGTTTATGTCATGGCTAGGAGTGTCTACTTTGTAAAATATGGGAAGAATACTAAGCGGTAAAGGAATACAAAAACAGAGAGCAATCATCACCCAGGCATGCTTGTGCAGCACAGATACTGATCCAGAGAAAAAAACAATATACACGGCATTAAGAGTCATGGACAGTGAAATGAATATGGATGCAAGCGTGCCTTCTTGAATCATGGCTGCCTGTATTTGGCAAATAGCACTGTCAATGCCAGCATTGGGTCCTGCCTGACCAACTAATTTACTAGCTAGATATGGCCACAAGAAAATAAAACTATTGTGAGTATTGAATCTGACTACCCAAGCAGTATGGTTTCGAGCGAATGAGCTCTAGATACACAGATGGATAAATGGTAAACAAATCCTAGCGAATTAAAAAATAAAGTGGAATAATAACAACCCGAGCAGCATGGTGGCAATACAATGTCAATAATCATACTGATGTCAACCTGACAAACTCGGTCAATTACACGAAATGAAGGACGAGTTTGAAATCAAAGGAACTCGATAGCTGCTTGACAGCAGCGAAAAACCAGCTCATTGGATGGAATAAATAGTCCTGTCTGCATGTATTAAAATGACCGCAAACACCAATTACCTGCATCGATAAAATCCGCAACTGCCAATGCGGTGACCAGTCTTCCAGTTGGATTTGAGAATGATTTGGAGGATTTAATGAGCATCTAATTAGCAAAAAGCTATATTAATCAACTAAACTGTATAATGGTGGCCATGCAAGCATTCGATAGCACAAAATGAGTCTAATGAACATTGAAAAGTGGATGACATCAAAGCCTCGAATCGGCCATTTCTCTAAATATCCGCATAATTCAATCCAACTTGGTTGCCAAACATTACATCAGGATTTGGCATAAGCAACCAAACCTCATGCAATCTCAAGAATTCGCTCGAGGCAATGCATAATCCAAAGCATGCTTTGTTTGTCAAAGCCTCGAGTACCAAATTTTGGCTCTAAGCTAATAGCTAGCATATTAGTCTAGTTTGTTTAATAATGAACCGAGTGTTCATTGCCATTTTGGAGCATACTAGACTGTAAGTCGAGTTGGTAGGGGTATTGTTCCTAATAAACATGGATGCCCAATTGCATGATCAAAATGCATCCCTAGAAATGCACATGTCATTGATCCCTACATTCTTGGCAAAGAGTGCACCAAATAGCACAACTATAATAAGCATAGTCTAGGAAGCAAGAATTGACTCAACATGCCGCATGTATACATACATATGAAATTCCAAAAACGCCCAGCAGACCAATAACTGCTGATATCTGAGTAAAAATCTGCAAGACAAGTCTGTCATGGTCGCCGAATGAAGTGGTTACGGTCGAGTTATATAACATATGAGCTATGAATTATGAATGGTGTGATTTGAATTGAATTGATCCAGACTGATGAATATTGGGTTGTGCTGACAACTACTGCTGGTCTAAAGATGCAAGTCAGCACAAGAAATACTAAGAATATGTACTGAAACAGCAAGAAGGTTTCAGCAATTCAAGCGCCAGGGAGTAGTCAAATTGTAATGTCGAGAAAACAAAAACTTGCGATTTTAACGCAATTGTATAAACATCTGAAACCCACATGAATTTCGATTAACAAATTCAAGTAAACCGGACAGCCGTAATTTTCGCTTAATAAATAGTAATTTTACATCGAGTATGCAGTTAAACCCTCTAAATTAGCCATTGTTCGTCTGGTTTGTCCATTCTTCAACAATGCTCACTACGGGTTTCTATCAAGTTTAAGCTTTGATTGCACCCAACAATCACTACAGCAGCTTTATCTGCTACATGCCATCACAAAACTACCAGTAAAATGGAAATGTCACCGGTATAGTACCTAAAGTGAACCAAGTATTTTCATTCAGCAGACACCTTGAATCCAACTCTATACTGAAGTTCCGATTCCAGGCAAGTTCATAAACTTTCTCTTTGAAAAGCACATCCACCATTTGCTTGGCTTGTCCTCCTCATACACTCGCAGAACCAGCCGCAAAGAAACCTCTTGGCGCAGCTGGGTTAGATACTGCTTCATCAAATCTGCATCAGGTCGAGTTGTGGGTTTCTCGTACATGGCATTCAAGGGAAAGTTTGCATCGCCTGGAATAGCAAAGTTTTGCACTGCGTGTGTAGCAAGAACCTTTTGTCCCTCGATCAGATTGGGTAGTTTGGATAGTTTTCCAAGGCACTCTTGGATATACAGCATAATATAGATGAGCACTCGGTCTGCACCACCCTTGATCTCAAAGTTACGAAAAAAGTTGTTTGCTCGGTAAAGCGAAATAGCCTCGTCAATAATATCATCTGCATCAGGATTTGCTAGATGGTTGACCGAATGGCAGTATTCAATACAACAAAAAGGATTAGAAATTCATATTTAGCCCAGTCTTCAAACCTATACGTCCATCTGAAATGGCTTGAATATTTACCTGGTGGAAGTGCAGGGCCTCGACTTTTTGTTTTGAAGGGTAGCATAGACATATTTCCGATCGTGCGGACAGTTTGGTCGTCATTAAACGAAGAATGATACGCCTAGTATTAGTGCATTTTCAAATGTTAACAAGTCGCACTCATCCACTGGACTCGGACTATAGAATACCTACAGGCATGATTACAGAAGATAGCAACGCTTAAAAGTGAAAGTACGCAATATAGATAACGAATCCAATAAACAAGACTAAAGTATGCATTTCCCAGTCATCCATAAGAGCAAGTAGTAATCAATAGATTCGCATATACAAACATTAGTACAGTTCATGTATTGAATAGGCTGGCAAGATTAAGCCCATGGAAAAGAGCTGCAGATATCCAAGTACTAGGGTTTGAAGCCTAAATAGAAGCACTTTATTGGAACTACACTGGTTGTATGCACTCAAGATGCACGGGATAGAAGCCAGCCAACACCTTGTTCCACCAAACTATCCTACACCAAGGTCATTATATGCTACAACTGTATAACAATGCAACAGCAGGTACCGTCAAAACTTGATGTATTTTGCAGCAATTACAGTTGGCAAAAGGTGGCAAGCAACCAATATAACCAGAGGATAAGAGAGTCAAACCATTTCGGATACAAGACACTACAGTTGCACAACCAAGTAGAGTACAAGAGTAATACAGTCCTACCAACAATCAACGAGTTTCTGGAAAAGACGAGCAGGCCCAATAACACAACGACAAGCGATATGATCTCGGGTGAGAACGAAAACAACGTGGTCATCAAGCTTCAAGAGGCAAAGTTGCGTGAATGAATTCCTGGCCAAATGGAACCTTATCGAGATTCCATCAATCGCTGTGTTGGGTTGCACTGGCTAGAACTTGTTTTATTCCAACTGCATGTTCAAGCCAATTCATGTTACAGTTCAATAGCACAACTATCCCAAATCTCAACCATGTATAAAAATATAGATGGTGTATAAACTAGTCCAAAAATATATGTATAGCTAATCCAAAACTATGTGGACAATTGAGTCATAAATGGCATATTATAGTATGGCCGTATTACCATAAATTGAAATAAAGATACAGTTGTACTGCAAAACATCAGTCTTCAGATCCAATACTCTGGCAAAGTATCTTGCCAAACTTTGAAGCTGCTCATGGCTCTTTATAAAACCTATAGAACGCCTCGCGAGCACATTCTCCGCCTTTTTTGGGTTCAAATGAAAATAGGAAATATCCACCGTTAGAACACAGAGCAATAACTGCGTTTTCTCGATCTGAAATGGCGGATGGCTGTTTGTGATGCGCGCTAGACTGATGTTGCGAAAACCCTCCTAGTAAATCTATCTCGCTTTGGTTTGTCGAGGCTGGAAACATCTCAAACATAATTGGTACGTGAGAAAACGAGACTGTACATCGGCATTCAACTGGGAGTGTACAATGAGCAAAGCTCCAATCACTAGAAAAGTATTTGGGTAAATATGATGATATAGGGGATAGGATTGAATGTCGATTGGCTCCTGTAGAAGTACTCTGATATCCAGTGGCTGATCTGGAAACAGAGGGAGAAATGGATGGTGCAGCAGAATCAGAATAGGGTATGGGCTGGGTATTTATAGAGCGATGTGATATGGAAATGTCGTTGGATCGAAAAAATTCGTGCATCTGAGATGGTTCTGTAGCTATTCTTGTGCGCTGAAAGACCTGAGAATTGCCACTTTGACTTGATGATGTGGACGGTAAACATACTGATGATCGTTGAGATGAATCAAGTTTAAAGCCAGATCCATCATGATTGTTCATTTTTGTTTGATTGTATCCAAGATTTGGTATTACTGATCCAAGCACTTCACTATTTGAATCATCTGATTTTGGATTGCTAGCCATTTCTCCATCACCAGACAGATTGAAGATGTGTAATGTGCCCTTGTCACTCGCTACACATATACGCGTGGATACAGAATTAAATACAATTGAATAAATCTCTGCGTAATCTACACCACGTCGCAACTCGTTCAAAAGTGTAGATGTGCGACAGTCAAAGATGCGAATGAGTGTACCACGCTCTGATGCAGAGGCCACAAGTGATCCCTGTCCAGATACCGCCAAACATGCAATTTGTGTCGAGTGCGCAGCGATGATACCAGTCAACGGAACTGGTTTTGAACTGTGTAAAGCCGAGTTGGATCCTACAGGTATCTCAACTATTTGGATTTGTCCCTTTGATCTTGCTGGAAATGCAAGCACAACTGGCATTTCTGTAGATGATGAGATTCCAAGGATAGGATGGTTGTTCCAGCTGCACTCATATTCGTGCATTTTATGCGGAGATGGTTCTAATGAAAACACAAACACCTTTGTCGCCAGTATGATGATGATTCTTGAGATATTGAGATTACACATAGTTAGTAAAAGTGGTCTTGTCAAATCCTTCATTTTTATGGACAACATAGTCAAGATTGATTATTGAATATCTATATTGGGAGTACCTGTCTTTACGAAGTCGCACATCCTTGATCTCAACAGACATTTCAATCTCTGCTACAATCCGCTGTGTCCAATCATCCCATAAAACTACCACATTGGGTGGATATTTTGGGACTCTCCCTCCCCCAACAAGAGCCATTAGATTTGTAGAATAATGCAGGGCAACAATAGCAATTCCCCCTGGTTTTTGATCCATACCAAGCTGCTTTATCTCACCGGTAGGATTATTTTTTAATCCGGTTTGATTGGAGTGGTTAGTAGTGGTGGATAAGGAAGTCGCTGGGATTGAGCTTGGTATACAGGCATCATCTGGACCAAGAGGAACATCATGTATGACTTCAAGGTCTTCAAACAGTGAAGAATCGATAGATGCCAATGGTTCAGATTTAGCTGTAGTTTCGGTTGAAAAAGGTAATGAAGATAAAGCAGTGGTGGTCAAAGAGGAATCATTGTCTATAGCAGCATTCAGTTTTGCCGACTCGAGCGAGCCGAGCAGCAATGGATTGCGTTCTCGTTTTAGCAACAGCCTGAATGGGTTGGAACGAAACAGCTGGAAACCAGTAGTTGTGCCAATGGCAAAGTAAGAGCCGTCGTTGTTGAAGTTGGCATAAAGCAGACCCTTTGCAGTAGACGGTAACTGTTGCTGTCTTGAAGTGGCCAGATGCATAATAAGCACAACAGCAGCACGCTGGAAAGTCCAATTTGACCATCAATACACACCCTCAGGCACTGAAATAGTTTATTCGAATCTCGATATTATCCAAACAGCGACCAATCCACCACTTCAAACTGGCATAACATGTCCACAAACGCATCAATCGACAGTATGCAATCTGGAATTCCCTCAAACTGCGCTCGGCTGCTACTTGTTGCTCCCATCTCTACTGTTTGGTTGTATGTAATCACTACATCTGTCGATGCACGACCCAACTGTATTAGACCCATATATACTGCAACAGTGTTGTATGCATCTGCGCCTCTCTCATTATATTTGGCTATTTGCTGTGTTCCCGCAATCACTGTGGCTTTGGCTCCTTGGCTAGATACACGTTGATTGTATACGAGTTTAGTATGTTGACAATGGATGAAAATCCTCAATACATTGTGTGCAACTCAGTCATGATATATTTACATGGTGCTTGAAAGCATGGTCTCTGGAATGGTTCGCTCCAATACAATACGAGTATGGTTTGGATCGGCCTCGTTATCTCTAGACAACTGCTCAAAATGATATCTAAAAAAATATTGGTCTTGACATACAAGCAATACATATCGCAAACTCAAAACGGCATCACCTTGCTGCAGATTGGATATCTGTTGCATCTTCGTCTGGTTCAAGTAGGTCAAACATAATATTGCTTTCTGCCACTTCAGCGACAAAGACTTCTTGGTGATCCGGAACATCTCTGAACTGGCTGGAATTATACATGCCATGTATATCTTGTCAGTGGGGTTGGATGACTTGCTAAGGATTCAATCTATTAAAGTATTACTACCAACCTCACATCATGGAATCCATCTGGTATTGCTCCTTTAATTGCACCCCCAAATAGTGGTTGTACCAATGTGTGCATTTGGATCGAGGGCATTGTTTGAGCAAACCACCTAGAGCAATATCAATGAAGAAGCTGCTTGAAAAATATTCGATTCTCGAGTAAAGTTCAAAATTCATCATTAATGTTTGGCGTTTCTATTGATATCCTGAATTCTCACAGTCGTATTCATGTAAAATGGAATGCTTGTCTTGCAGTGACTTTCCTTTGGAGTGTGCAATCATTAAATATTTAGTGTATTGCTAGAAATTGGTTTGAATCGACACTCAATTCGTTGAATCATAATGCACAACATCAAACTATACATTTCCTCTTTTAACATTGCCAAGTTTGAAATCAGATCCATTCATTTCAATTCAGATTCAACCATTCTTGAACTCTATACGACTCCTGTATTCAATATATCTGATACACTCGCGTTCTAGTTCAAGAACAATGATTGCGGTTTTGGAAATACAACTGTTGTTTTCATATCAGTCAACTTTGACACTGTGCTTCATTTTACGTGAGTATGGTCGTAATGCATGCGCTCAACAAACACTTGCAGCGCTTCCTTGATTGTAGTTCGAGTACCCGAATCCGTGTCAAGAACCTCAATAGGTGGGAGTTTATGCACTTGTCCCTTGATGACAATATAGTGTAGATTGGCAAGGTGACACGCATTGGGTGGAATTGGACTATAAATGAATATATCATAAAGATTAGTTTTGCTATTCGCTTTACCATCTTAAGCATCAGTATGAATCTTTAAAAAACTATAGGCCATACTTTAAATCAATGCGATTTTCTAAACATGCAATCGACACCTCTTCATGCTGCTGGCTAATATACTTTTCCACCAGATCATCATTGTCCCAATGTAATCTGGGAAACAAATCTCGACTAAGTATTAAATATGTGTTAGTATTCCTATTTGATAGAATTTGACAATACACATTATTTATAAATCATCACACCTTGGTCCTTTGGTCAGCTCAGAAAACTGTGATGGCATGGGAATCAACAGTGACAAATTATGCTCCTTATCAGAGTGATTGACAATTAAAACCTGTACTCTAAACACCCGTCGCAAAACAATAGTCGACATGACTAAAATGTGATTCATTTTAAACCAAAATGAGTTGGGCAGTATCAAGCTTTCTATACATACATGATGTATAACATGTCATGACACTTACCGTGAAATGAAAACTCGAGACCAGATTTACTTGTCAATGGATCCAATTGTATACCACGAACGGCTTGACCAAATTCAAACTGTCTACCATGAAATGCTGGCGCACCAATATAAAACGGAAGTTCTCCCTGCGAACCAACTCGCAGCTTTACATACCAAGTAGAGGCAAGCTGTTGATCGCAGCTTCCAGAAACGTGCGGTCTACTATGAATCAGTATAGATATCAAACGCATTCGATCTATGATTTGTGATCGAAACGTGCGATCATAGGTTTGAGGAAATGTAGGACTCGTCGATGAAGAGAAACTACCCGCTTGAGAATGGTTTGCACTATTTGCAATATGAGTGTGTGGTACGTTTAGATTTTGATCAATTAGTACTACATTGTACAACAAAAGAAGCTGATCGGACTCTTGAATTTGAATGGGAAGCTACACAGTAAAGATCGATATGATGCGATTGCATCAGGCACAATAAAGTCAATATCGCGCTATATCAACATCACATTTTAAGCCACTACATTATTCTTACCATTGATGAATGAGAAACAGGATGAATCAACGCATTCACCATTTGCACTTGAACACTCTCTACCTCTGTAGAAAATTTACCTCGAAATTCTGGATTCTTTTCAATCAAAATAGTAAGAAGCATGGTGTTTTTTGAACCAGAACTCGTGGTATTGATAGAAACTGACAATGTTGGAATAACTGTCAAAGTAGTAATGGATGTGTGACTAAATGCTGGTAATGTGGGCTGGGTCAATCGTTTGTGATGGTTTGATAAAATGAATGTAGGTGGCTGATCAAATAGTACATCTGTAAACCCAAATATTAATCATGACCAATAAAGTTAAAAATAATAGATCCATTGTGAATGTGATTCAGTAATGGAATAAAACATCAAACACTTACCACTATCAAGGTTTTCAAATATATTTACACCATCAAAGTCTTCGGGGTTGCAAATCGGACCACCGAGTGCAACTTCTTCGTCATATTTTGTAATAACCTGACTAATTGTTGCAGACAAATTAACCTTGTTGGTTTTGGATCGGGTCAATTTTGTTCTGCCAATATCTGCATATCAAAAACAGTCCATGTCAACAATTTGATGTTTCTTGCATGCTCGTCATAGCCACAGTATTGCTACATAGATAAAGCCTAAACGTACCTAATTTTACAGCCAAAGGAAACAGAATACAAGTTCCAGATGCACAGATAATAGGTGATTTGCATGACTTTTGAGTGGAATAAGTGTATGAAAACAACAGCTCTTGAGCGGATGATTTGGATGTATTTTGGAATTTCTGTTGCGGATGACCAAGATTATGTAGATACGAATTAGAAGTAGCAGATGAGCGATTATCCAATACATCTCCATCTGTCATTGCGGTTGATCTTTGACTATACATGGACATCATAGATGAAGATCTTTTTGGTCTGGTTACAGTCCCGCTCAGTCGGTTGCGCTGTGAAGTAGCGATGGGTGGGGTATTGAGCGTTGCAGACAACGAGGCTGCTTCCCCTAATGCCGCGGTTGCATTTAAACTCGACTTTGAAGTAGATGTATTGACGGATATTTTTGAGGCTGCATCTGCTGCTACTTCGCTCAGAGTAGCCATGACATGAATCTGCACATACTTGGCTGCAAGCTCTTCCAGCTGGCTTGGTTCTAGTTTGGCTGAAGATGGTCCTACTCTAAGAGCCAGATAAAAAGCAAGTGTTTCATCTATTGTAGCCCACAAAAAAAGAGTACGATGAATGGATACTCAGCAGCCAATGAACCAAGTCGAGTGCATTCAACTAGTTCGAGGTTCATCAAGCTAAATAAATCGGATATTACCATAAAACACAGTTGAGCGGGGCTGGGCAGAAAGAATGTCGTCTGCAATTGTAGAGTTGCTTCCTGGTATTATCAGTTCGTAAGTCGCATCAGCAAGAATACTTTCAATCCAGATACGATGCATGGTTGACAGAATGTTGGAAAAGAACTCGAGATTTTATAGTTTAGATTAATTCTCAAAGTGCTACAAGTGAATTGGATTATTGTTCAATCAATGTATAGATGCAATCATTACAGTATCCGTCAAACATGGCTCATGTGGGTTGATTCATATTTCCGTGTTGTTATTAGAACTGTGCGTGCAGTTGAACCCACTTTAAGTACTTTCGATAATATTATAAACCATACTTTATAGTAGGTTGGGTATGTATTATTCTGCAACCAAAGCCTCTTGCTCGGAAGCAAACAATAATTAAATATTCGCTGTACTAAAAGAAACTGATTATTTATTCAGTAGATAGTCCGAGTTTTTTGCTTGGAGTTACTTGATCTATTCATTGTACTAAATTTCAACAGGATTCAAGAATAAACAATATGAAGCTTATACTTCGCGACATTGCTGTTGGACGATTAAAAGATTGTGTTTAGTCTGAATGTATAGCTCTGTCAAGGAGTTTAAAAAGCAGAATGCTGTCCAGTGAAACTAGCATCAATCATAAACTATGTTTTTGTGTATCAAGTACATTTTCAAAAAATAAAAATGCTCCGTACAGGGATCGAACCTGTGACCTTTGCGTTATTAGCACAACGCTCTACCGACTAAGCTAACGGAGCACATCAATTTCAAGACCACACCCGTATAGCACCTTATGTACCTCCTATTTTACAATCCCACAACTACTAACCGATAACCATGTCTCCTATTTGTGTGACTCAATCTCTTTCCTATAAACAAGATTGCTTTTCCCTTGATGTTAACATCTATCGTGTTAATAACTATAACATTAACACAAATAAAAACCTTTAAAACTCACTTTGTCACAGTTTCTCGTCAGGCCTCGCCCATTTCATAGGAAATCCTCTCGGTCCGCAATACTTAACACGATCAATCAAGTACTCTTTCCTTGGACAGTATTAAGGACTTGACTACAGAAAAAGAAGGGTCCGACGAGAGAGTACTTGATTTATTTCGCACATTTCACTGCAAATTTTTGTGAAGTTTACATAAATGTTGCTTAATAATATGCTAAACAATACATATATCATACTATATTTCGACAGTCCGAGGTAAAAACAATATCAACAACGACCACATCTACGGAATGCGTGCAAAAACTATGCATGTATATCGTTGCTTTAAAAACGAGACGAGTATCCTATTCCAAATCTCCATCCTTTGGAAACCGTCTCCTGCAATTATAATAAATTCATATGTAACCCAGCATTTCTCCTTTTAATCCATCTGCATATATAAGTCTTCTACCATTGAATAACTCAAATCACCAAATTTCACCTCGCTGCCAATTTTCCAAGCAGATACTCGCCCTGATTGTCTGATCGCTCAGTCTGGTCCGCGAATCAGTAATTAAATGCCTTGCCTTTGAAAAGGCGTGCTCCGAGGACGCAGATGTGACTGGGATTGCTAGATAATCCCTTGCCATTTTTGCAAGCAAGGGGAAATCCGATTCATGACGTTTCCACCACTCCAATGGGTCTTGCCTAGGATCCACCACTGGGATATTCAAATATTCTTCGAGTTGCAAAGTAGGAGTCAACTTTTTCTTTTTAAAAACCCTACTTGCTGGAGTAAGTGCATCCGAATTCTAATGAAATGAGCGTGACAAAGTTTAAATACAAGTAATTACGCATGTGATTATCTGACAAGTCCAATGCCGTTTTGAATACCTCTAATTGCATCAAGCCACTTTGATTGTGGTACTCGGCATATACGCTTTGGATTTGCCTTTTTGATTTTTTCTTTCTGAAAAGCATTTTCTTGGGCATTCTGATTTTCGTCGTCGTAAAACTCAAGTTTGTGTCGAGGATCAAGTACCACAGCGACCACACAGTGGTTATTGGAAACATTAAAATACTTGTCAAGCCTCATTTGGGATGCATTTGCTGCGCCTTTCAAATTTCCAATGTATCAATTGCAAGCGATTCATTGGCAATTCTTCGACGACTTGCTGGAGTTCCAGAAATCGAAGCGTCTAATCATTGTCCATAATCACTGACGGCATTTTCACAATGGTCCAATAACACGTTGTACCATGGTATAACGTATGACAACGTTTGATACTTGTTGCTGCTGCATTCCATTGTGGCTTGTTTAAATGGTTGAAAGAAATGCACTAATTCAGTCAAGTCGTCCCAATCTCCCGCTGACGGCACGTCAGGGATCTTCTTTTCCATGTACAATTGATCCAAGATTTGAACGAGTGGTCCTAATTAACAAATTTAAAGACAACATGTTATTGCAAATTTAACTGCAAGGTGGCATACATAAAGTGCTCTTGAAGTTCAGCTCTAGATCCTTGACGTACCTCGCATTTTCAAAGATGTGACCAGCATATCGAATGTAGAGTTCCATCTCGTGGCGACATCAAGGATTGGCTCTAAGAAAGATTCTCCCATTATCTTTTTCAGTTGTTCCATCGATGCGGGGCAACATTGTAGCAATTTAATCCCTTCCCTCAGTGTCTCGATTGATGTCTTGATCTCTTGATGTGCATCTTGGGCGGCAAGATCAAGGACATGTGCAAAGCAACGATGATGACATTCGGGAGATTCCAAATAACCAGAATTGATGAGCTCTTGAATGAAAACCTCATTGTTGGACGCATTGTCAGTGCAGATTCCTAAAATGAGCGATTTCCTATCACCGCATATGGGTTCCACAATCTGCTTGAATAATGCCGCAATGTTCTGGCCGCTGTGGCTTCATTAAATACAAGAAAGTCGACAAGAATGCATTTCAGTTTCCAATTTTTGTCAATAAAATGGGCAGTGACGGCCGTGTAAGCAACATTGTCTGGCGATGTCCATATGTCGGTCGTAAACGAGATCTTGGATGTGTTTTTTTTGATAAGAGCATAAACGTCAGCTTTTGCAATTTCGAAATCACGATTCACAGTTTGTGATATAGTATCGGCGGACTTGAAAATGATATGCTTGTTGATGTACAACATCATTTGTTGAAAATAGGGATTCTCAACAACCAGAAACGATTGCTGGTCACCAACAATCCACCGCTGTAGCTTGTTTTGAAATTCTGTTTGGGTAAACCCTGTCAGTACAAGAAAATAGATTACATCAAAAAATACAATATTAATATTCCAGACAGCAGAAATAATGACGCATCATACGAGTATGCAATGATTACCTTTTTCAAAGCAGTCTTGAGTCTTACTTTGTAGTTTTGTACCCTTCAAACTTATACTTGTGGAGTCTTTGGAATACCGATCCATTGCATCTGATAGAGCGTCGCGATGTTTGGTCACCAAATGGGCAACAAGATTGAAGTTGGTTCTTGAATTTGTCTTGACGAGCTGCTGACAAACTTTACAGGGAATTCTCGCCTTGTCAAGGTCATTTATATCATCAAGCTTGTCAAAAAACTGCCACACCAAACTGGCCTTTGAGACTTTAGACAAACGTGTGGTTGCTAAAGGAATAGAGCATGGGATTGAGGGTAAGGACGACGATGCATGGTCATGAGTGTCATTGAGCCTCCTTTTCCTTTTGCTTGCATTCTCGTGTCGATCGATTGACGTTGACGACAGCTCATACACTTCCATAGAGGAAGTTACATTATGTGATAGCGTGGTAGTTTAAGGCAATCTCAGGAACAGGATTGCGAAAAAATAATTATTTCGCAATCCAAAATCCATTCCATTTCGCATATTTTGCATTTTTTGCGAAACACTAACTGCCAAACATATTCGTGTCTGAAAGTTGATTGTGAGTTGGTGGTTTGCAAGAACTGGACACAACCAACATGGTATTGAACACAGCAACCTGATTATAGTCCAGTCGCATGGTGTGATACAGTGATTTGTGAAATACAACATCCAGGTATTTGTAGTGTTGAACACGACGAATCTGTTGTTCGTGTAGCATCATATCAATTGGTAATTCGGAATCAAAGTGCTGTGACCACGGAAACCGAGTATGTTGCATTTGACTACACCAAAACTTGTTTGACATTGTTCCATCCATCGTGCAAGTACACCAGATGCCAATTGGAGTGACTGATCAGACTCGGCAAATATCACGATATTGTTGACATACATGAACCCTCACATTGGTGGTGATTTACACAATACTCATGCAATGACAATCGGTTGATACCATCGTGTGTGTCATTGATGAACATGTTGAACAACAATCTGACAGTGGACATCACCACCGGACTCCATGTTCAATTGGAAATGGATCAAAAACCAATGATCCAGTCTGAGCACAAGCTGATGAGCATGTGTGCAGCGATGTTAGCAAGACCAGTGTACGTGGTGTCAATCACATATGTTGCAGTTATCATATCAAGGCACCAACCATGACAGTGTCGAATGCATTTCGAATGTCAATCAACACAACAATAGTATTGAGCTGCACGCACTGCTGTCATTGAACAATATCGACTAGTGAACCAACCTGCACAACACATTTGTTTGGTTTGAAATCAACCATGCTCAGTGGTGACGAGTTTGTTGAGCACCACGATCCATCAATGTGGGTTTGCAAGACCTTGCATACCAGTTTATGACACACATCAATCAGTGTAATACCGTGTTTGTCGTTTGTATCAATGTGATCACCGTTATTCTTGTCAATATATGCAATCAGTACAATTAGTACAGTGTATGCAGACTGCCATCAGGTTGCATAGTGGCCGTCAACATATTGACTGAACTGTGTGTAGCAGGACACGAGCAAATGGATTGGGTGGTTCATCAGGTGTATCATCATTTGGTGTATATAATGCGACTTGACAGAATATGACCAATATCCTGTTGTTTTCCAGGTGTCTGGTGTGGACCATCTGCTGTATTGCATCAGCTAGTCGATTTCAAGGTATATTCGAGTCGAGATCAGTGGCATCGTCACGAATTGGAAGCAGTTTGTATGATGGAAGTGAATCACGTATATGCCAGTACTGCCATTACTGCAAGTCAAGTAAATGTCCACTATCGTCCATAGCAAGACCCAAGTGGTGATTACTCGGTATGCCAAAAATAATATCACTGCTGTACTGAATGATACGATTAGCATCACATCGCATCGTATAGTGGAATGGAATGGAGTGATGGCTGTTGTGTGTGTTGCACCACCAGACATGACTCGAGCTGCTGCAAATGTCATATCAAAACGATCGTCAATACTGTCTGGTCAAGTGTGTCAGCAAACTTGATCCAGTTCATATATTCATTGGCGCATTCAAGTCGCTGGATTGTTGTATTGTGTTTGTCCCAGCATGCACCTAGTTGGCTGCGACAGAGTTCATTGTGATTGTCACGGATACTTGCTGTAATGTACATCGATATTCCAGTGTTACCATGTCAAGTTGTCCGTTTGATTGGGCGATACAGTCGACGTTTATGTTCCCGAGCAGTATGTGCATGTGCGTGCAGTTGACAGTCATTCACTGTTGCATTGGCAGCATCCAATAACTGAATGCATAGCTCGTGTGTGTCCGTGTATGATCCATCAAACGCTGCATATATTCCACCAATCTAACACTACAATCCGATCATAGGCATATATGCAGAGTTGTGATATGTTAGTTGGATGAGTGGAATGGACTGAATGAGTTGGTGCATGTGTATTAGTGCGGATGCAAGTGTAAATGACACATCGTCAACAACCGCAATGTTCATGTCTACACGAGCAGATTCTACAAGTGTTTGTTCAGTCTCGTCACACACAAAGTGATTGATAGAGTGTCAATGACATGCAGTCCTGCTCACTCGAATGATGTTACTGTCTGCATAGTGCCAACATACTGCATGACAGTCAAACGCAGTATTCATGCGTGTATGATGCGTTGTAATGACGCATATTCAGTGTTCCAGTTTGCAAACAGTAGCACTGATGAGTGATCGTCAAACGGAATAACTGTTGACAGGACATGTTGAATGGCAGACAAGACATTTCGCGTTTGATGGTCGCATGCAGCCGAGTGTCCAATGTACACAGCCAACAGTCCAAACACAGTCAGGTGTAAAGTTTGGAATGTTTGCGACAATTATGGTGCCATAAACAGTCATTTTGCAAATCCAAACCATTTGTCAATACCGAATGGTGTCTCGATGTTCGGGAACAGTTGCCGAGTGTTGCAATACATTGAAACCACACACTGTGTGCTTGAAACTGTCCGTTGCAATGCAAGTCTCGGATAATCCACATAGTCGGTTTGGCTGAATATATGTCAAAGTAGCGAGTGTTTGCTGGCAATGTTTGACACATTGACTGACAATATTTGACAACAATTAGGAAGTGGTGGAACACACAATGAGGATGTCGTTGGATGCCTGCGTTGACAGTTTTTGTGTATGTGTCAGTTGTTGTACGGATGATTGGTGACAGAGTTGATGGATAGTGTGTGCGGAACATGACTCTGGCACAGTAATGCGGACTCGTGCACCGAATTGAGTTGTCCAGCAATCGATTTTGGAAATGTGTTTGATGTGATGGTTTGAGATGGATGCCAAATGACCACGAATGTTACCAATTGTCATGACAGTTGATTGTTGATTCAAAACGTTGTTTGTTTGGTATTAATGGTTAGAGTGTCACTCATTGACCTGTCAGATCAGCAAGTGTTATTTCGGTGAGTTTCGTGTTTATTGTAGTCACATCAACATCAGCAGGTTGCACTACGGATTTGCTTGACAGAGTTACAGATCCAGTTGGATTGATAGACGAGCAACTGTGCAAACAACTGTGCGAGTTGCAGGATGTTTGAGATCCAACAAAACACTGTTTGCACACAAGTTCATGAATGCAGATTGTCAGACTTGACCATCAACTCACAGTATAAATTGCGTGTACGACAGTTTACACGCTTACCCATCAACAATAAACCCACATAATCAGCAAACCGTCAACGAGCAGCCAGTTCAGTGGTCGGGTTGATGTTTTTTGTTGGAATTTCTGGATCAAACTTGACCTGATTTGTACCGAGTTGTGTCATGACTACAAGTTTGACAGCAATAGATTGATCCACTAATAATCTGATCGTGTTGTTGATTGTATGCATGTTGGTAATCCGTTGCAGATTGATACGGAATGTGACCAGAATACCACAAAGTTTATTGAGTGTGCACATCGCATTCGATGCAAAACGCAATAAACAAATGCGAGTTGCAGCATTCATTCAAGGTTCGACACCAGTCGATACAGCATTGACCGCAATGGCATTTATGTCAACAATTGCACGACTACGGAATAAGTTGATTGTTGCTTGTCATTCCGTATCGACAGTCTGCGTGTGTGTGCAACGTGCTGTTGTCGCATATGAACAACTTGGATTGACTTTGTGGACAAAACACAGTCACTGTTGCGATGATGTTTACAGTCGTGGAAATGGTTTCGAATACCACAACTGGTATAACAACTACAGGTGTTGGTGAGCAACCAGAGTCCAGTTTGACCAAGATCTGTTCCAGTAATGATCGAATGACATTGTCGTGTTTGGTCATCATGACAACAATGCCATTGGTTTGACTCTGCAACTGACCAAATGCGCTAATAACAGCGTTTTCAATTGAGTTCATATTACTTGTGAGGATCGTGGACATATGATGGCATATTGATGGTTGTCATTATTGTCAAGTGTGTTTACAGTTGATTGAAGGTGTGATGGAATGGATCAATATTCGATTGTGTTGTTTATTAACAAGGAAAAGAGTGTGTTCATAAAATAGGAGACAAGAAAGTCATGTGAATTCCAGTTCAAACGTCATTGTTGATGGTTTTTGATTGTTAAACTATTCAGAAATGTCTCACATTCACACACTACTAATGTCTCACACAATGCAAGTCAACACTCTCACACTAGTAATGTCTCACATTAATGAAACATTAATTCTGGTGTAAATTTAACTAATTTCCAAATATTTAAATCGTGTGAATTGTCTTGAAATATCCCAAAATTTTGTTATTTTGACTCGATTAAAAAGTCGATTTTTGTTTTATAATTTGACAAATAAATTGCTTTTTTACTCTTTTTCTTTTGATAAAATGCCAAAACGATTCCTCAATGTTGAATACAACACTATTTCTACTGAAATTGACATTACTGGAATCAGTAGACTTGGCAAATTAAAGAGTGCCATCAAGTCTGAGTATGGTTCTGCTATGGCTGACATTGGTGCTCCTCAACTCCAACTATACACTGACAGCAACAAGGACCAACTAATCAACACTTGGGCTGCTTTCAACTCTCTCGCTGCAGACTACTTTGCTGAAAATGGCTCCTGTGTTGTCATTGGTGTTTCCCCTCCATCTTCAAGACAACCTACTCAAACTGATCTTTTTGAAGCAGGTTATACTTCCTTATCAACAGCAAACCATCAATACTTCTTTCGCAAAAAGCAGCGTACTGAAACCAATGCTTTGTTCTCGCCCTGTCAAATTATCTTCTACAACAACGTTTGCAAAGCTACTGAAAATGATGGATGGATTTTATTTGGACAAGATATTCCGTCCACCTCTTTGAATAAGCTATACATTCGGGACAGTTATAAATCCATTGCATCACGCATCAATCCTGGCATCAAAAGAGCTATTATCACAGGAACTCCTGGCATTGGCAAGTCTTTATTTCTCATCTACTTATTATGGAAGCTTGTCAAGGAAGGCAAACGTGTGCTATTCATTTATCATCCTAGCACTATCTACTACGATGGTCAAGGCGGTGTGTTTTACCCTAATTTTCTACCTTCCAACAACAACGTAAACTTCTGGGCATCTGACTTGTGGTGTTTGTTTGACGCCAAAGGCAAGAACGCAGCGGATCTAAGTGCACTTCCCTATGAAGACTGCTCATTTGTCTTGTCAACCTCCCCACGACGAGAAATGGTCAATGACTTCAAAAAATTTCCTCATCTTCGGATCTTTTACATGCCGATATGGACTGAAATAGAATTGGAAACTATCACCCCTTGTTTTGTTACTGTTATTGACTGGCGTGATCGCTTCAAAATTCTTGGTGGAATACCTCGATATGTTTTGGAAGATACAAGTGGTGATCCAACAAAGTTACTTCAAGCAGCATGTAGGCAATGCGACCTCGATGATTGCATCAAGATAATTGGCTTGAACTCGACTATTACAGACAAATCCCAAGTTGTCCATTCTTTGGTTCACATGACATCTGTTGACCCATTCACAGAATCATCTGTTGCTTTTGCGTCTCAAACAGCCTTGGATATCATTGTTCAAATCAAAGGAACAGAAGCGAAACGCAAGATGGCGGAACTCTTGGCATCGTGTGAAGGAAACCCTCTTACTGCTGCACTGTGTGGATATATTTTTGAACCGTATGCTGTTGAATTGCTGGAGAACGGAGATGTTTGAGAGCCACAAGTTGGTGCATGGAAATGAGAAAACCAAGCCTGAAAAAACGACTCTTACCATTCCATCTTCAGTGAAACTAGTTGTTGATAGAGTTTTACTGGGTCAGACTCAAGATCAGCTATATGTGCCAAAAACTAAAAACTATGCAGCAATTGATGCTTGGATTCCTGGAATTGGTGCATTTCAAATGACTGTTGGCAAGAGGCATGATATCAAAAGCGGTGTCGAAGAAGATTTAAAGATGCTTGGAAAAGGTGCCGAGAAGTTGTATTGGTTACTTCCTCCACTGTATTACCATTCTTTTACCAAGAAAACACCTCAAGATATCGACCAATACGCTGTGAAAATTCCTTATCCTACTGTAGAAAATTAAATTAAATATTGCCATTTTATTAACAGATTCCTATAATTATTGTGCTCAATAATGCACCAGCAATTCTATTTCCTGACACGAGTGAACAATTCCCTTAAGATGAGATTTGAAAACGATTTACAATAATATGTCCAGGACCTCAAGGCAACAGTTGAAGTTCTTATGAAAGCTTGAAACAATATACAAACTCTTCTGTTTACATGTCGGGGGACTTTTCAATATATTGACCAGGCACAAAACCAAGTAATTACAATTGTAATGTCTATACAACTCATTGCATGGATAAGACAAGTTGCTACTCTCAGTGACACTGCTCTGGAAGAAGAACTCGAACTATTCAACAACACTCTATCAATGCATTTGCAAGAGTCATTGGACGTATCCGTTGTTTGAATGTTGATTCTCATACATTCAAAAGTGGAAGTTATAAAGCTTATTTCCACACAGACACGATCAATGTATTACTTTTTGTTGGATAGGCTGTATCATTTGTCATCAATTCAGACACACTTGTCAGTCCTGTTCCGTATACAATGAGTCACATATGGATACCAATGCAACAATCAAGAATCAATTGTCATTTACAAGTCCGAATTGCCAACCAACAATCGTACTAATGGACCAACGGACCAATGCCAAAACACCTGCACATCAGACAGTTTATTGGACATGACTTGATTGTTCTTGACAACTGATTGAAAACTGTTTGATGACTCGAGTAATCCAATCACACATTGCTGGCAATTAAATGTAACTATACAATGTGCCATGTATACATTGGATACCATCAGTTTATCAGTGACTATCTGGTGTTTGTTTATGCATGATTACTTGGACTACTATTTGCAATCAACACAATCACTGGTGTCAATGACCGATAACAATGAAACCAAACGATTGACCACATCAGATTATACACATTCATTCTGGAATGTAACTTTGCATCGATATCGTAAATATCAACCAGAATCCGAGCCAAACGAGTCAAACGAGTGTTGCAAGCTTGCATTCATTTGAAAATACTCAATATC